GCAACCACTGTCGGAATCTGCTAGTGACTAGAGTAGCCATGTCTGAGGGGCTCTGTCACAGACAGAGGTTTGTGGACTTGAACAAACTCTGAGGGGATACGATTTTACGCACAAGCAGCTCATCATCCCATCACAGGGCGTTCCACAGGGCGGGCGCCACCACCGAGAAGGCCCTCTGCCTGGTTCCCTGTAACCTCACTTCTCGCAATGAGGGAACCGCCAGAAGGCCCTCGGAGCTGGATCTCAGTGTCCGGGCTGAACGATGGGGGTGGAGATGCTCCTTCAGGTATACTGGGCCGAGGCTGTTTAGGGCTTTAAAGATCAGCACCAACACTTTGAATTGTGCTCGGAAACGTACTGGGAGCCAATGCAGATCTCTCAGGACCGGTGTTATGTGGTCCCAGCAGCCACTCCCAGTCACCAGTCTAGCTGCCGCATTCTGGATTAATTGCAGTTTCCAGGTACGGTGGTACCTCGGGTTAAGAACTTAATTTGTTCCGGAAGTCCGTTCTTAACCTGAAACTGTTCTTAACCTGAGGTACGGTACCACTTTAGCTAATGGGGTCTCCTGCTGCCACCACACAATTTCTGTTCTCATCTCGAAGCAAAGTTCTTAACCCGAGGTACTATTTCTGGGTTGGTGGAGTCTGTAACCTGAAGTGTCTGTAACCTGAAGCATCTGTAACCTGAGGTACCACTGTACAAGCACAAGCCCTTTTGCCATCCCCCTGTTTCTTCCAGTGCAGCTATAGAGATCTCAGAAGCATCCTTTTCTCTGGAGAGACCTGTCAGGAGTAAGCATGGACCAATGGTACAAAATAGTATGGGAAACAGCTTTATTAGAAAAACTAACCAATAAACTAAAACTGACATGGGGACAAATAGAAGAAGATGCCTTCACCCCGATAAGGCTCCCCTATATCACATATACAGCCTAACAAGACAATGCCAAGAATCCACCAACAGCATACAAATCAATATGGCTAACCTGATCCAAAACACCCACCCACCCCACTCACACATGAAAACAAAGTTCACCACAGCCAGTCACAAACAAACAACCACACCCTAGGCCAACCCCAACCTCTCTCACCACCAAAGGAACACACGTGAATAGTAAAGAGAACATGCACAAGGGACGCTGACACAAAGCCCCACACATACATTAAGTAAAATAGAAGCATCGCCACCTGACCACCTCTTTCCCCCTCCTCCTCTTTCCCCCTTTTCTTCCTAATGTAACACTAATGTCTCAACAAATGAAACTGATCTGTAGAAAATGTAACTTGAAAAAGGAGACATTGCACATACTTTTGTAAACCAAGAAATCTTTAATTAAAAAATACATTAAAAAAAAGAAGAAGAAGCATCCTTTTCTGTCGTAAAGTAATGGTGATTTGTCATTTTCTCCCAATGGGGCACTGCAATTAGTTTTAATTATAGTTTCTTCAAACAAGCTGAGATCATAACCATGGTTTGAAAACGACTTTGGGGCAAACCATGGTCATGATGAACCACAGTTTGTCCCGGTTTAGGCATAAAATGCAGTTAGTTGTAAATGGACACAAATGCTTCTGCTGTCCTGTCTGTGCATGTACAGGAAGAAGAAGCGTATGCAGACGTATGAGGCTTGTTTGCAGAAAGCTAAACCATAGTTTACCAAGGTGTCCGAGAGAAAAATAGGAGAGAGAAAAATAGAAACATCCTCTTTTCTTTTCTTTTTTGCAAGGAGTACCAAAAATCATAAAAAGGAGGGTTTGTTTTCTGTGGGTGAGGGAAGATTGTGAAAATAGTTTCAACTTAGCCCTGGTAGAAACTATCTTATGCGTATACTTATAAAGGAAAGGAAAGGGAAACTTTAATATGTTTCAGATGACAACGCATATATTTGAACTGATGGCAATTTATGGCATGCAATTTGATTAGGCATGCCCTGCTTACATATGAGAAGTCCATACAAAAGGCTGCCTCTTTCCTGCTTCCAGAGAGTTTCTGGTGCTCACTCCCCAGGTCTTTCCAAATGAGAACTTGTGACCTGTTTTTGAAGAAGCAGAAGGATTCACTGTTTATTTTGCTATTTTGTGTAACTTGTGACTAAAATTCAGACATGGAAGGGAACATTAATGAGCTTTTAGTTACTAACTAGCCAATTACTTTAACACACTTCCTTTCTGCTAAAGCAGTTGAGGCACTTGCATTTTGTAATAATGGTTTACAATCTAAGAGACATGATACAAAAGGAAAAAGAAATATGGAGGGAAGAGGAAGAGTCTGTCTAATTGTTCTAGACTGAAGTCCTGCACACTTGAGTTGTGATCAGCCTACGGCAGTGAAACCTCAACAATGTGTGTTTACTTTTGCTGGCTCTACGCTGTACCTGGCAAACTTTCTTCTGTGTTCCAAAGAACCTCCTAATAGATGAGTTGCTAGAAATAGATCTGAAGAAGTAAGAGGTTTAGGCAATTTTACATGGTTGTACCGCCTCTACTTCTTTGATCTTAAGAAAGGTACCATACTTCCTGCTCAAGATATGAGTGCTAGGAAAAGAGAAAAAGGCTTCAAAGGTATGCTTCACTTTTTCTAAAGGCTGAACCTATTGACCTTCATGTAACATCATAGAATTGTAGAACTGGATAAGGACCACAAGGGTCATCAAGTCCAGCTCCCTGCAGTGCAGGAATCTTTTGCCCAACATGAGGTTCAAAACCATGATCCTAAGATGAGGAGTCTCATGCTCTACCAAGTGAGCTATCCCCATAGCTGTCAAGTGTCCCTTATTTGAAGGGACAGACCCTTATTCCAGCGCCATGTCCCACTGCTGTCCCTTATTGATGGATGTCCCTTAAATGATGTCCCTTAAATTTCAAAGGCAGCAGCTGCTCTCCCTCCCTCCCTGCTGGCCAGGGAGGAGGGAGGCTCCAACTGTGTTGATTGGCTATGTTGCTCACCCAATAAGAAGTCTAAGAATGACTGGGGGGTGGAGCTTGCATGCCTTGTGTGTGGCTAGTTAATACAAGCTGAGGGGTTTTTTGAATGCTGGACGCCATTTTGTTGCACGTGCTGCTGCAAACTTTGCAGTGCAAAGCCAGGCCGGGGAGCCATCTTAAGTTGAGGCTGCATAGGCCTTGTGGTGCATGTGATTCAGATTCTATTCAGTTGAACCTCTGGCTACAAAGTTGGTTGGACAGTGTTCTCGAATCTACCAGCATGAGTTTGACTAACTGCAGGAGGACAGGAAGACTGGAGTGCCTGGAACAGGTGAGGCTGCAGGTCCCTTATTTTGGCTGCTGGTCCCTTATTTTCAAGGCTGCTGGTCCCTTATTTTCAAATCTGTAAGTTGTCAGCTATCGCTGTCTCAGCAGCATCCTCCCCTATTTCATGGCTGAATGGGGATTTGAACCTTGGCTGCCCAGGTCCTAGTCCAGTACTCTAACCACTGCACCGCACAACCTCTACCCACCTCTTCAAGCCACCCAAAGTGTTTACTCGTTGGTGGCAAAAGTGACTGTTTTATCGGGTTTATATCACTCAAAGCTCTTAAGATGCAGCTGGTTGAGAGAGACAGAGGCTGTCATCTGCTTCACAGAACATTCTCTGTGGTTGAGAGAGAGGCCTCGTATTTCCTTTCCTCTAAAGTGTCGGCCATTGAGTCGCGTCTGCAATCCAGGTATGAGCTTTGGTAAACAGGGAGCTAAATCTGTTTCCTAACTGCACAGCTAACATTTTCATAAAGTAAGCCAGACTAAACCATGCCTTGTTGAAGCATTTTTCTCTGCTCCAGAATGTCTTTCTTCATGTCTCCTCCGCCTCCCCTCCCGTGGTTGTGTATGTTTCTCTTTTTAAAATATAAACCTACAGGAGGGACACGATGATTTCAATTAGTATTGTACTGTACTATGTCACTTTCAGTGCTTTTAAAATAAGGTAGGAAGATTGGTCTACACCAGATATTTGGTATCAGCTGGGGAAAGTTAAACTTACCAGTTCAGAGTCTCAGATACTTCCCACTTAAGAGGGCATTTTAAGATTTTATCTTGACTATATTTTGCCCCAGAGACAAGTAGATTCTTGCTATGGTTCTTCCATTTAAAAAAGATCACTACCACCTTTTCGACATATGCCCACTTCAGGCATAACACCAAATCATGGTTTGGCATTGCAAGAACAAACCTGGAATGAGCCTCAGTTTTATAGCAGATTCACAATCCTGCTTTTCAGAACAAGTGCAAACTTGCTTTCTGGTTCAGACACAACAGCAAACTGTGTTTTGCTGAAGACCCAGAAGGGAAAGAAATAGCACATATGATGAGAGGAGGAGGGGTCATGCAATCTTAAGGCTAGTTCCAGTCACATGAAACTATGGTACTTATGTCAAAACCAAACTTATATTTAAAAGTTATATCTTCTCCAGCAGTAGGAAAGGAGCAGTAGCCAGGACAACTGTAAAACAGGTACAACTTTGGACACCATCTCGGATCTTCTCTAGGTGCTTAAGCAAACGACTTTGGAATCTGGTCATGAAAATCCTTCATTATTGAAGTTCTTTGCTTCTGTGTGTGACCCAACACAGGGACAGGGTCAAGACAGCCTCCATACAGACTGTCTCGATTTTCATTTGTGAAATTGCCCTTTAACCTCTTTGCAAAAGGCAATTCGCTAAGGATTGGATCTGCATATGCCCAGGCAATGTTTCCACTTTACCTAATAGCTTATAACTGGGAGATTAAAGGGGCAGATGAAATGACCTAGATATACTTTATTTCCGGGTTTGCTTTTAATCTTCTCTAGCGAAATAGATTAAGGGTGTTTTTCTTTTTCTTTTAATGTGGATGGATTAACGCAAATGGAACCACAAATTTAGGCTAGGGGCGGGTGGGGAAACATACCTGGGATGTAGCCAGTGTAAGATGGAGGGAAACCCCTATCAGCTCTGTATATTGGCTTTCCGAAACTTTTTTGAATAGCATCTCTCTTCTTGGGAGTAGAAGTTTGTTCACCCTCTGCTTTTTGAACTCTGACTGACTCCGGAATGGTGGTACCCAATATTTTCTTGTCAGAGGGCCAACCAGGTGTTGCAGAAGAAGAAATCTGTCATGACAGAAATAATTCAGAGTAAAATTATGACACACTGGCCTTCCCTCCTCCGGCTCTAACATCTTCAGTTGTCCAAAAGTCTTAAGGTATTCTGCTCAATCTCTCTTGCTGCCCCTTTTGCCTGGATCCCCTCCAGAACATAATGTGACATCATCTCTGCCCGCCCGCCCCCCACCAGCCTTCAAATCCTTCCTCGCTTCCCTTATTTTTCATGAAGACTTTCCTGGGTTTTGACAAACTACAGTTTCATGTCACATCTGAACTGGCAAAACAATGGTTTGTTCTTACACTGTGAACTAAGAAAGGAAGCCAGAATCAAACACTGGTTCCTAATCCTGATTTGAAGGGCTCATGCAAACTTTTATTTGCCAGATCAGATGTAGCCCTGAACTGTGGTTTGCCCAGGCCCAGGAAGTTATTAGTGCAGGAGAAGAGAGGGAGATGTCACAACTTGATAACTTGTTTGCATAATGCCAAAGAATGGTTTAGTGTGTATCTAGATTAAGCCATTGACTTTAAGTCAGAGGAGCCCTGAAGTCCTAGATGCGTATCATCAAAACCAAATAGCACTGATACTTTCTGGAGTATGTGAAAGTCATAGTAATGCCTGAAACCTACATACCATAACTGTCTTGTCTCCTGGCTTTGTTAGGGTGAGTTGTCTTGTCTTGTCTGGTTTTGGTGGTGGTTTTAAGTCTGCCTTTGCTCTTTCAATTGTCTGAACAGCTGAAGCAGTTGAAGGATCGCAGTCATACAGAGGTCTTCGTGTAAAGAGATGGTGATTGGTATTCATTGGTGGGTATTCTGGGACAGGGATGGAAGTTTGCAACAGTCACTGAGATAAAAGCTGAACATGCATTTGAAATCAGGAAGGGATTGCCTTAATCCTAGATAATAAGGCTTAATGTTGGAATTTTATTCTTGGTTGTCATCTTAAGACAGACAATTCAGTGGGTTGGCGTCCTCTTACTTCCTATTTCATTTTCCTTATAAAGGTTCTCAGTCTCTCATGCACTTTCCTATTAATGTCAGGTGGCTTTGCACTATTGTTGGAAATGTGTGTTGCACACGGTTAGAACTGGGGATATTATGGTAATTTTCATTCTCTCTTTATTCCAAGGGAAAGTGGAATTGAACCACAGTATGATTTTCTCTTTATGAAATGGGGGGAAATAACCTTTTTCAACTTATTTATTGTAGATTTCCACAGGGTACATGGCATGACTGCCCAAAGATATCCTTCAAATGAATTATTTGAATTCAAAGAATCAAAAATTACATATCTAGACCCAGTTCAGGTGCAATGCGTGTGATCTGATAATCTTTCTGGAGTTTGTTAAACCAAGGTTTCCTATTATGTAAAAAAACGGGAAACTGTGGTTTAAGCTCTGACCGTAAACCAGGATTGCAGAACTTGGTTTGATCCTGGTTTGCAAACTACCATTGCAGTCAAAGCATAAACCACAGTTTTGATGTAACAAGAAATGGTACATTAACAAACTCTGAAAATGTTGCATTAAGATGCATGAGGGAATATGGAAGAGGAAGCATGCCCACATGACTCTTAAGTTTGGAAAAACCTTGGTTTATCAGGTGAAAGATAATGTCTTGGTTTTTATTCTCCCTCTCTCCCCCCCCCACACTTTCTCCTCAGATTCTTCCCGATATCCCATCAGAAGCACTTTCAAGGTACAGTGGTACCTCAGGTTACATACGCTTCAGGTTACAGACACTTCAGGTTACAGACTCCGCTAACCCAGAAATAGTACCTCGGGTTAAGAACTTTGCTTCAGGATAAGAACAGAAATCACGCCGCAGCGGGAGGCCCCATTAGCTAAAGTGGTACCTCAGGTTAAGAACAGTTTCAGGTTAAGGACGGACCTCCAGAACAAATTAAGTTCTTAACCCGAGGTACCACTGTAAAATAACCTGTGCAGATGTCTAACTTGCTACCAAAATAGATGGCATATTTGGATATTGAGTATGCAGAGAAGAAGAAGAAGAGTTTGGATTTGATGTCCCGCTTCATCACTACCCTAAGGAGTCTCAAAGCGGCTAACATTCTCCTTTCCCTTCCTCCCCCACAACAAACACTCTGTGAGGTGAGTGGGGCTGAGAGACTTCAAGAAGTGTGACTAGCCCAAGGTCACCCAGCAGCTGCATGTGGAGGAGCGGAGACGCGAACCCGGTTCCCCAGATTACGAGTCTACCGCTCTTAACCACTACACCACACTGGCTCTCAGAGGGGTAAAACAGAAGAAAAGCGGCAACCGATTTCAACATTTGATGGTGCTTGATAGTTGATGTACTATGCAATTTCGTATTTGATTTCGTTTGACAGAAGAAAGGTTCCCTCCTTATGCAATAAATACATAGCACCAACAATCCTACATGTTGTGAGTGGAACAGGAGATAACTCCACACAGTTCCACCCCCTCAGTGATGACACCAGGGGTGGTCCGCCCCCCTTCCTCCGCCCCTGATTACATGTGTAGTACCACCCTTAAAAAGCGGGATCCATGGAGGATAAGGCTATGTTTTACGTCTTTATGCTTCTGAATACTAGTTGCTGGACCACGTGGACCATTGGTCTGACCCAACACTGCTCTTCTCATGTTCTTAGGAATTATTGATGCTGGGGCAGGGGGTATTCTTCATTATAATTTTCTGAAATGTATTGAATCATATCTTAAGGACAGTTGTCATACCATATGCAGTATTTCTGCCTCCTGCCTGCTGAGTATAATGATGACCACATGGCTGTCCGAGAAGATTTCTGTGCTCAGGTGTGTCAGCAGCAGTGTGGCTTAACCGCAGCAACTTTGCCTGACGGGCAAGCAGCTTTCTGGTGGCATTGCCGTAAGTTTCCCCAATAATGCTTTCAAGATTTGGAATGAAACCTGTATATCTGGAAGAAGAAAAAGAAGACGATAAGGCTCAGTAGTGAACTTTTATATGCTGTGTCAGAATGCTGTGCACCATTAAGTCTATCCTCAACAGAGAACTACAGGAATAATCTTAAATTAGCAGAGGAAAATATCATTGTGAATTATATACCCAACACATGGAATCTAACAAGGGGGCAATATGAATGGACTCCCCGTGCCCTTACTATGGCAAAAAGACAGGTATTGGAGAAGTGGACAAATAAAAATGCAGCTCTCTTTAATGATGGAAGATATGCAGAAACTCGCTGCACATGAACAAGTTGAGTACAAACGTAAGCTTGCTATGGACAAATTTAACAATATTTGAAATTCATTTTTATAAATACTGTATTAGATTGAGGTCTGGTTAACCACAATAACATTCTTTTCTTTTCTTTGGTAATGTATACATTATTTTAGTTCTGTTTTGTTTTCTACACGGGTACTATTTCTTTTTTCTTCATCTTTTTGTGTCTTATCTTACCGTGTGCACTTGTAATTGTGTACTTTTATTTTTCAATAAAGGATGTGTGCGTAATATCTATATCTATATCTATATCTATACAGTGGTGCCTCGCAAGATGAAATTAATCCGTTCCGCGAGTCTCTTCGTCTTGCGGTTTTTTTGTCTTGCGAAGCATGGCTATTAGCGGCTTAGCGGCTATTAGCGGCTTAGCGGCTATTAACGGCTTAGCGGCTTTAAGAAAAAGGAAACAAACTCGCAAGAACTCGCAAGACGTTTCGTCTTGCGAAGCAAGCCCATAGGGAAATTCGTCTTGCGGAATGACTCAAAAAACGCAAAACCCTTTCGTCTAGCGAGTTTTTCGTCTTGCGGGGCACCACTGTATCTATATCTATCTATCTATCTATCTATCTATCTATCTATCTATCTGACAGGCAACTACAGCTAACAAAGCCCCCCTGACCAGCAGGCCAGTACAATGCTCCTGTTTCATATTTTTTTCCTGTTCAGTGTATCTTTAGAGAAAAGGGGAATGGGAATCACTTTCCCTCCGTGTCACTGTATTCCAACCTCTTTTGGCCCCAGTCAGCATGGCCAGTGACCAGAGATGATGGGCCTTGTAGGGTTAGGATGGAATAGGGTCCTTCAAGCCTCGCTTGGATTCTCCCTAGGCCTCACGTCCACCCTAGACCCCACCCCTGCTCCCTCTGCCCCATCTTGATTCCCAATGGAAACACGACCCTGAGAAACCACCTGGTACCCCTAGAGACTTGCTACAGCTTGGCAGAGATTGGGGGTGGCATGCAAGCCTTGCAACAACATTAAACAAACAGCTGTGTTGAAAACATGATAGCATGTCCCTCCTGAGGCAGGTGTCATCTTCTGCCCACATGGAATAACTTGAGGGCCTCTTCTCTTGTTGTGTTCATGGTATGGGAACTGCTAGGATGCAGGTGGCGCTGTGGGTTAAACCACAGAGTCTAGGACTTGCCGATCAGAAGGTCGGCGGTTCAAATCCCCGCAACAGGGTGAGCTCCCATTGCTCGGTCCCTGCTCCTGCCAACCTAGCAGGTCGAAAGCATGTCAGAGTGCAAGTAGATAAATAGGTACCGCTCAAGCGGGAAGGTAAACGGCGTTTCCGTGCGATGCTCTGGTTCGCCAGAAGCGGCTTAGTCATGCTGGCCACATGACCCAGAAGCTGTACACTGGCTCCCTCAGCCAGTAAAGCGAGATGAGCGCCGCAACCCCAGAGTCGGCCACGACTGGACCTAATGGTCAGGGGTCCCTTTACCTTTACCTATGGGAATTGCTGTAGTGTAGTTCCTTGCTGACTTTACTCAAGGGTCCTTGAGAATCCTTGGACGACACAGGAAGGAGCCCACACCGATGCTCCTCCCTGCAATCAGCGTCGCTTCTTGGGAAAACCGGCAGAGAAGGGAACCGGTGTGGGCTTTTCAAGTTATCCAAGCAGTGCAGGAAGGAGCTACAATGCAGTTTACCCCAATAAAGCAAGTGTAATGAGCAAAGAAACTGCAGGATCCCCATGTATCCTCACAAGTCCTCAAAGCAAAGGGTGATTCATACAGAATACCATTAGCCATGACGTGCCTGTGCTCACCACGCTAGCGAGGTATAATATCCTAAGGAGCAACGTGAAGAATTTTTCCAACTTGCTGTTCCTGATCAGAAATTTGGAGAGGGAAGCAGTAAACAACTTCTTACTGCATGCCACAACAGTGTGTGATAATCAGCTTATCGGTATGCGAGATGCACCCCATTTAATTAAACAATTTTCAGTAGTCCCCCCCCCCAAAGTCTGGTTGAAGAGTAGTGACAGCTGAAAAAAAAGTAATTTCTAATGTGCCCTGTTTTTGGATCTGTTTGCATGTTTCCCTCCAGCCCTGATTTATCTTCACTCAAGATTTAATCGGCTTTCAGTAGAAACTGACAGGCTATCAATAGCCCCGTGGACTGGGAAGAAATATTTTCTTTGCAAATTGCTGGTGTTCTAAAAGTTCAGTTTTAAGCCCTTACCCTGGTATGTAGAAAGAATTGTATGAAAGCATTAGTTCTGCTGATCCAAGGAGGGTTTTAAGTATCTGAGATTAGAAGACTGGCAGGCAGCAATTGTTCCTTCACTTCAAGCGCAGCCCAGTTATGAGAAATGTCAAGCATATCTTAGGCTCCCTTTGCTTGTGTAATAGCAACGCTTGGGCACCAAAGTTTTGTCACTATAGCTACTCAACTCAGCTGGGGCTAGAGTAAATAAAACGTGGAAAATGTAACACTGCCAGCCTGCACATTATGTTGGCAGCAAAGTACGTCGCTTGATTTTCCAAAACAAACGTGGGGTTTTTAACCACTCATTCAAACCATGACTTAAAAACACATGGGGTGAAACCAATGTTAGTAATACTCCGAGTAGACCCATTGAAATCACTGGAGTTAAGGGGTCTACTCTGTTTATAACTTTGGACATCACCTATATAAATGTAGTCATCCCCAACAGTGCATCTAGTAAGTATAATACGAGTGGTTAAGTATTTGCTTCAATGACCCTAGGATCAGTTTGGGGTGGGGGGCTGGGGCTGGAAAAAGGTAGACTTCTGTGAAAAGATTCTTATGAGTTTGTGGGTGCATGACACCCTAAATTTGTGAGTCCAGTAGCTGTTAGAATTCCATCAAGCCCCCTGAAGCTCTGGATCCAGCAAGGGTTAAAATATAATCCAGGCTAGTCTACTGATGTGGTAATTGCCTGGGAGATGAGCCATTAAGAAAACAAAAGGAAGATAATAGCCCATTATGGAGAGGGGCTCTGGGGCAGACAGCAAGTGGATGGGGCCCCTCCTCCAGCCCTTGGTTAGTGAAAGGAGAAAGGTAGAGTCTTTAGAGTTGACCTAGGAAAAAAGGTTGCAGTCTGTTAAAGGTGACAAGCTGGAGAGATGGTCAGAGCACGGTGTCTGATCCCAAACCTCCCACTGCCTTGTGGGATATCTGATCCCAGCTGATCCCAAACCTCCCACTGTCTTGTGGGAGAAGCAAAGGCTAAGGAGTAAACCCTTCACAAATCTGGAGTGGAGTCCCTAAGACTGTTGGATGGTGCCTTGTATGTCTCCTTCCGGAAACTCTTGCATCCAAGCTGGTGCCAAACCTATTGCTCTGCTTTCCTTTGGACCCATCAGTGAGGCTGAGAGCGGGGTCTTGTCTGGGCAGCCCAGGACCTCCATCCACACTGCCCAGGCTTGCACCCCAGGGAGGTCACTTTGGTGCTGCCAACACAGTGGTTTGACTTCACCCCCCAGAGGTGTCTCTCAAGGCAGATGGGTGCCAACTAACTAATAGAATTGTACAGTTTTCGTATTGGATCAGATTAGTCTAAGGTGTGTGCACCTTTTGTTGCTGCAAACCGCCTTGTGTATTGCAATGTAGAAATGGCGGTATACAAATTAAAAGTGAAATTGAAGAAAATGAAAAGACCACGAGGGTCATCTAGCCTGACCCCCTGAAAGGCAGGAATATTTTTGCCCAATGTGGGGCTCGGACCCAAGATCCTGAGATCAGGAGTCTCATACTTAACCAAGAGAGCTATTTATTTAATTGCTTTTAAAAAATTGTCATCTCTCCCCCCCCCCAAGGGAATGTTTTTAAGGTGTTCTCATTTTTACCCGTCAGCCTCCTTTAGTCCCTGCCAGGAGGGAAATGTGGGGTATAAATAATTACATAATAATAATCTCCCAAAGGCCTTGAATGCTGCTGCGGGTCTTTATAACTGAGGAAAGCCTCCATGAGGGGCAACCAAGGCTTCCTTTTGTGGCTGCGGAGCAGAGTGCTCTAACCAAGACCCCCCCAAGTGCCCCTATTTTCCAGGAACAGTCCCAGATTTACAGAAGCCATCCCTTTTTCTGATTTGATCCCGCTTTTCCTTAGGCTGTCCCTATTTTCATCAGAGAAATGTTGGAGGCTTTGGCGTTATCCCACCCCCTGAAAGCCATCTGAAGGCAGCCATGTATAGGGAAGTTATTTTTTTTAACGATTAATGTTTTATTATGTTTTTTATATATGTTGGAAGTCTCTCAGAGTAGCTAAGAACAATGCAGTCAGATGGGTGGGTGGGGTATAAATAGTAAAATTATTATTTTTATTCTACAATAGGACGTCTGTGTTTTCACCTGAGGTACCACTCTAGCTAATGGGGCCTCCCACTGCTGTCGCACTGCCAGAGCACAATTTCTGTTCTCATCCTGAAGCAAAGTTCTTAACCCGAGGTACTATTTCTGGGTTAGCGGAGTCTGTAACCTGAGGTACCACTGTACGGAAATCCGGCACTGATGGAGCCCTGCTGCTTTGGCTGCCCCTGACTGTGTTTTGCAGGGGATTGGACTAGATGATCCTAAGGGTCTACAACTCCGACCAAAGAAGAGTGGCAGACAAAACTGATGAACGACGTCGAGATGGCAAAGCTTACAGGCAGAATTAGAAACCAGGAAGAGGACCTCTTTAATAAAGAATGGGGGAAGTTTATAATTTAGTTGAAAATCTATTGTAAAGATTGGTAGGATTGACAGAAAACCTGTAGTAAAAATTTGAACTATGGATGGACAAGTGATTTATAAAAATAGTTATGAAAGAGATGCAGAGGGGAAAATCACTACATTAAGATGCTGCACTGGCTGGAGGGGATGCTAAGCAGTTCGTCAGGACTGCAGTCGTCTTGGAGCGAGGAGTTCCATCGGCCCTTTCTCGCCAGAGAGAGAGAGAGAGAGGCGATAGAAGAATGGCAGTTGAAGATGATGGATTTTTCGGAGCTAGCCGACCTAACCAGAAGAGTCCGCGGCCAGAAGGAGGAGGAGTATCAGGAAGAATGGATTAAATTTAACGATTACTTAGTTAAATATGTTAAACTGACTGAAAACAGCTTGCAGATACTTAATTGGCTCAGGATTTTATTTATGTTAAGTGTCGAATTAATATGTTTAATTTCATACTGTGAAGATCTAAGGGTGTTAATGCTCCCCCCCCCAAAAAAAATTTATTAGTTTTCACAATATTATAAACAAACAGACACACAAGACAAACAAACATAAACCATAGCCTTATTGAAAATTACACTTATTAACTTTGTTAAGTGACTTCCTCGCTTCCCCTTGCTTGAATTTCATTGCATGTCCTTTTAACGGTTTTCCAAATCCCAATACTTATGAAATTTGACTTAAACATTAACATCCTGAAGAAATACAGTCATAAAAAGGCTACAATCCTAAGGATGTTAGCAGACCTGAGGATGTTAACGTTTTAGAAGAACTGTGATTTGGAAAACCGTTAAAAGGACATGCAATGAAATTCAACCAAGGGGAAGCGAGGAAGTCACTTAACAACGTTAACAAGTGTAATTTCCAATAAGGCTATGGTTCATGTGTGTTTGTCTTATGTGTTTGTTTATAATGTTGTGAAAACCAAATAAAAAAAATTTGAAAAGAGAGAGAGGGACGGAGGGAGGGAGGGAGAGGGACTCTCGCCCACGCCGCCCGCCAGCCCGCCATGAGGCAGTTGCGGCTGCCGCTGAAGCGCCGCCCTTCTGCGTCCCTCCCTCCCATCCCCTCCTCTTCCTCCTCCCTCAGGCCGCCTCCTCAGCCGCCGCTGCCGCCTCCGGCTTCCCCTGGCAGCGCGGCGGAAGTCTCGCAAGAGAGGGGCTGCCTGCCCGCCCGCCCGCCCGCCGCCACCCGTCTCCTCACGACGCGCCCCTGAGGGGGAAAAGAGAGAGACGGGGCCGCGGCAGCCCGTGCGCGCGCTCTCTCGAGGCGGAGGACCCCGAGCCGCGGCTTCCCTCAGAGCCGGGCGAGCATGGCAGACGGAGCTCACGCCCTGCTCGGCGGCGGCAGCCGGGGCTCCAGCCCCTCCGCCAGCCCCCTCATAGGCAGAGGGGGAAAGAGCCGCTCGCTACCCACCACCACCACCACGTCGTCGTCTTCGTCGTCGTCCTCCGCCTCGTCGCTGCACCAGCAACGGCGGACGCCGCCCGCGTCGCCCAAGCAGCAGCAGCAGCAGCCGCAGCAGCCGCATCAACAAGCGGCGTCTCGTGGGAACGCGCCCGGGCATTGCTTCAAGAGGGTGACCCTCACCAAGCCCACCTTCTGCCACTACTGCACCGACTTCATCTGGGGGCTGGCCGGGTACCTGTGCGAAGGTAAAGGCGGGCTCCGGGGGAGGGAGGGGGAAAGCGGGAGCGCGCGCGCGGCGTGCGTGTGGGAGGGAGACTCCTGCAAATTGATCGATCGATCTATCGATTAATTAATTTGTATACCGCTCTCCAGACGAAAATCTCAGGGCGGTTCGCAGCATACAGATAACACACACACACACACACACACACACACACACACACACACACACAAAAATCCAGAATAAAAAACAAGAACGTGAATCTCTTCATGACCCCTAGTGGGGGAATTACCAATAGAAGAGATGTGGGTTTTTTTCGTGTGTTACACGTGAGACCCTGAATTAATCAATATGTCTGTTGGTATGCCGACCTCCACCCAAAGACTTCAGGTGGTTCATAACATATGAATACTATGTACACGTATGCACGGAATACATGATAAAAACAAGAATAATCTCCTCATGACCCGTATCGGGGAAATTATCCATAGAAGAATCATAGAATTGTTGGAAGGGACCTTAAGGGTCATCTAGGCCAACCCCCTGCAATGCAGGAATATTTCACCTGATGTGACGCTTGAAGCCGTGACCCTGAGATTAAAAGTCTCCTGCTCTGCTAAATGAGCTGATGTGGTTATGTGTGTATGTGTGAGACCCTGGATTGATCTATCTATCTATCTATCTATCTAGTTAGTTAGTTAGTTATTTTGTATGCTGCCCACCACTCGAAGATCTCAGGGTGGTTCACAACATACAAATGCAACACACACACACACACACACATAGAGACACACATGATACATAATAAAAGCGAGAACGTTAATCTCACAACTCCTGATGGGGGTGTTATCAATAGGAGAAATGTGGTTTTGGGTGGGTGTATGTGTGTGTTAGGGACAGATTTCATTTTTCTTCCTATTTTGGGTGAGTGGCAGCCTGTCCTCAAGAGAAAGGGTTAGGCAACAGACACACACTCTCGATTTGCAAGAGCTCCTGTGCCTGCGAGCAGGCAGAAATGCAGCTGGTGAAGCTTTCTCAGTCACTTGATCTCCATACCAGCAGCAGATGCAAAGGACTTCCTTTTGTAGGTTTGCCAACATTTCCCTTCCTGGTGGTTCTTGTTTTGTCTTAAACCAGCCTCTCAGTGTGGGGTCCCCCCCTTCCTCTGGCAATGAAACTGCTAGCACATTTGCAGGGCCCGGTGTGGTTTCGGATTGGATGGGGGGCTGCATGTTCAGATTCCTGCATTGCAGGGGGTGGTACTAGATGACCCTTAGACCCCCCCTTCCAACTCTACGATTCTGATTCATCTCTGTGTTAGGAAAAGCTTTTCCTGTTGCAGCAGCAGCAAATGCAAATCACTTTCCCTTGTAAGATTGCCAAGGTGGGGCTTCTGTTACTTAAATAGTTGCCTAACAGGTTGGTATCATTCGGGTGAAGCTGTTCGTGCCATTTATGTGCCGGTAAAAACTTACTAGGGGACGCGGGTGGCGCTGTGGGTAAAAGCCTCAGCCCCTAGGACTTGCCGATCGAAAGGTCGGCGGTTCGAACCCCCGCGGCGGGGTGCACTCCCGTCGCTCGGTCCCAGCGCCTGCCAACCTAGCAGTTCGAAAGCACCCCCGGGTGCAAGTAGATAAATAGGGATCGCTTACTAGCGGGAAGGTAAACGGCGTTCCGTGTGCTGCGCTGGCTCGCCAGATGCAGCTTGTCACGCTGGCCAGGTGACCCGGAAGTGTCTGCGGACAGCGCTGGCTCCCGGCCTTTAGAGTGAGATGAGCGCACAACCCTAGAGTCTGTCAAGACTGGCCCGTACGGGCAGGGGTACCTTTACCTAAAAACTTACTGGGTTGCCATAGATCCAGATGCCAGGGACTTTCCCTTATAGAGGTGGCTATGTCTATGTGTGTGTATATATTCCTGACCAGATTTCTTTGTCTTGACATCTTGAGGTCTATCAAATGAAGCTTTCCTCATCACTTCGTTTTGCCCTGGGAAAAACCTTCCTGTTGCACCACAGCTATAAGGGAATTCCCTCTTAATAGGCTTGCCAGTACTTGCAGGTCCCGTTATCCAAGCACTCGTTATATGAAAATTCACTTATCCAAACACGAGGAATTAGTACCCAAACCTTGCTGTACACACCACTGGTTCAGATATCCAAACAGGCAGACCTGTGTGTAGCCATTTCACCAGAAACCATGGTGGGAGGGAGGACGTGGAGAGACTGGACAAATAAGAGAGCATTTTACCCTTCCTTGTTTGCCTTTTGCAAGGTTTCAGAGGGTTTTTCTGGGTTTTTCATCGTTTTGGGGCCAAAATTCTGTGGTTGGGAACGCATTAGAAATTTCCCCATAGGGATAAATGGAAATTGTCAACTTCTTGTGCAAACATTCGCCTAACAAACAATTTCCTGAGAATGCATTGTGTTTGGGTAGTGAGACCTGTGTACATTTGTCTCCTGAAAAGCTGCCTGGCAGTTAGAAACTTAGCAGCTGAGTCCTTTATCATAGTTTCCTCTCTGTTGCCAGAAACAAACTACTGTATTTTTTGCCCTATAGGACGCACTTTTTCCCCTCCAAAAATGAAGGGGAAATGTGTGTGCGTCCTATGGGGCGAATGCAGGCTTTCGCTGAAGCCTGGAGAGCGAGTGGGGGCGGGGCGCACCGACCCCTCTCCCTCTCCAGGCTTCAGGAAGCTATCCGCAAGCCTTGGGAGCCCGGTGGGAGTTAGCAGCCTGTTCTGGGGTCGGGGGAAGCTCAGGCGCCTGGGGGGGAAATAATTTTTTCCCCTTTATTTCCCCCCCCCCCCAAAAAAACCCCTAGGTGCGCCCTATGGGCCGGTGCACCCTATAGGGCGAAAAATACGGTAGTCACATCATCTCAGAGAAAGTCATTCCGTGGAAGCTGGTTGTGTTAGATTTGATTACTCAAGAAACTGCCAGCCACAGGTAGATTAGAATACATAGGCTGGTGATCTGGTGCAACATTTATGGTTTTCTGTGACTGGCTTACTCTTACTGTGGGACTTACTCTCTTTTTGAGGGGTCAGAGATGAAGAGATGCTTACAAAGGGTGTAAGTGTTAAACCCCTTCTGTGTGCACTTAAGTCTTTTGGGACTGGCAGGGTCTTGGTCCTTCCATGCAGATGGACTGCTATTGGTGGGCTGAAGAGTTGTTCCTTAGTGTCCATTGTTTACTGTGGTTTTCTGTGGTAAAATTGCCTCCTGTTCATGGCCTGCTATTCTTCCATCTTGGAGGCTGGTAGGTCAACTTACGCAAATGGTGTTGGTTTCACTAAAGGAGAAGAGAGAAGGGGGAATAGGGTTGTGCCCCCCTCTGCTGTGCATGCTAGCCATGCCATGCATTTGGTGCACATGGCAAGAGGTTCTGTGCATGTACTGATGTACACGCATAGAGCTCCTTCATATGAATGGGGATATTGGACCAGTCAGGATCACCTTTGCATGGAAAAACTCTGTGCAGACGCCAGTATGCCTGTAGAGGCCGCTTCTTATATGCATAGGAAGGGCGCCCAGTGTTAGAAACTCTGATATATAAGGTAATTGCCAAGTGGCACCTTAAACCCAGGTTACAGTCGCCACAATGGACTTTCTCTGTGCCTTTTTGGGCACAACTCCACTGGCCAGGGTATAACACTTCTGTTGTTTGTCTTTCTCTTGCCTTCCACCAGAAACCTACATTTTATAGTTGAAATAAATACTGAACAACCTGAAGGTTATTCTGAACAAAGAACTTAATTATCCTTTATTCAGAACTTGGATTATTTTCACTGTGGCATGCATTCCATCCTGTCTAGATTATACTTTCTTTCTGAAACATGGTTTTGACATCCTTGTTAGTTTCAGGTAAAGATCCTTTTTCTTCCACCCAGCTGTTAGAGCCTGTTCAATATGATACTTTGCTACTTGGTCTTTATTGAGGTGGGAGCCAGTTTACTGAGAGTAAGATCTCCCCAGATAATTTGCTTTTTTCTCCATACAGTAAGGGACCATGATAAAAAGGGGAAGGATCATTTGGCTTTGAGACTTGCTTCTCTTACCTACCTTGTATCCTGAGTGTAAAGCAAGTTATTGGACACATTGAGCCTAATTGAACTTTTATGCTATGCATAATTTCTGAGTCTGCAGGGCTGTTTCCTTCCCTTTCCTTTGGAGGAAGCAGCTGTTGTCCCTGTTTGTTCTTGATGCATTAGGGTCTAAACATCTTGCCACGCCACACTGATCTGTTCTAACTTGCTAAGATGCAGACATTATAAGATGGCCTTGAGCACAAAGGTCGCATACAGAAGGGTGACATACTTTACTTAAAGATTTAGAGTGGCACTATGATTAAGCATTGCTCATATCCATATTACATAAAAAAGAGGGTGTGAGCTAGGTACGGAACCCAGGGAATGAGTCATATACTGTATAGCTAGGTATAATTGAGCAATGCAGTAGTGTGTGTGTGTTTATGCACCAACCAGGAGTTCTTTTGCATCAACTAATTTGGAAGAAGTTTAAACCAAGAACACTGAAGTGCCTATTTGCATGTGAGAAGAGAGAGAATCTTATGCGAACTCACTTACAGAAGATTACACAAAAATGTTTATCATAAATAACAAAGGAAAGTCTTGATGTAAAGGTGATATGTTATTGCTTGCCTTAATCATTACTTCAATGCAAAGCAGTAATATACTTATCATGAACATGTTCAGTAGATCTTTCCTTCCTTGTTTTCTAGTCCCTTCTTTAGCTGATAAACATTGAAATATTGACCCATAGATGAGGGACGCGGGTGGCGCTGTGGTCTAAACCACTGAGCCTAGGGCTTGCCGATCAAAAGGTCGGCAGTTCGAATCCCCACGACTGGGTGAGCTCCCGTTGTTCAGTCCCTGCTCCTGCCAACCTAGCAGTATGAAAGCACGTCAAAGTGCAAGTAGATAAATAGGTACTGCTCCGGCGGGAAGGTAAATGGCGTTTCCGTGCGCTGCTCTGATTCGCCAGAAGCTGGTTAGTCAGGCTGGTCAAATGACCCGGAAACTGTACGCCGGCTCTCTCGGCCAGCAAAGTGAGATGAGCACTGCAACCCCAGAGTTGTCCGCGACTGGACCTAATGGTCAGGGGTCCCTTTACCTTTTTACTAGTATTAGTCTCTTTTGTAAAGAACGTCATACTTCTAATGGCCTTTTACACAGCTTTTTCCCTTTCATCCCTGGTCCCATTTTAGTCAATAATCCAATTTCTGTCTCTTTCATAAGACTGTAGTTCTTTCTTTCCAACACACCTTGATAAATTACATTCATTATAAATGGTCCTTGGCTAGAGGAAAAGTCATCATAAAATGTCTGCTCAGTGTGGTTATGCTCTGAATGTTTTAAACAATGGATATAAAGTATTTGAGGTGAACATTTGCAGTTAAGAAATAGCAATTTTGACTGCATAATTGCACTTTTGAGTTCATCTACTAGCTAAAGCTTTGTGGGATTTTTGACTCAGAGCAAATTAAAACAAAGTTTAGGCATACAGTTTGTTTTAAAGTACTTTGAAAATGTTCAGAAATGCTTTTTCAGGACTGCTACTGAAATGGGCTACATTTTAACCTAATTTTAATCTTTTTTACATCTCTGAAAACTTTATCCATAAGTTAGAAAAAATAAACAAGATCAATTACTATTTCTCATTACAAAGAGTTCTGGAGCAAATAGCAATACACACAGCTCAGCCTACTTGGTTGGACTTGTATGCTTCCATCTCTAAGTTTGTTCCATCAATTTTCTTCAGTATTTACAATGACTCACCATTAGATCTGGTCATATATAATGTTTTTCATCTAGGCATGGCTAGGAGATATGGATATTTCATTTTGATGACTGTAACCTTGGTTTAAGATGCCATTTGGCAACTAGCTTATATATCTAAGTTTCTAACACTGATAGATTAGTTTTCTTTTTGACTTGGATCCCTCCACCTTTTGAAGTTGCTCTGTACAAATTAATTTCCCCAACATGTCCCCCCCCCATTTATTTTAGTTACGCTTGATTCCATTATTGCTTGAACCTGCCATAGACCTTCTTTCACTGATCCGTTGAAAGTTGATTCACTTAACTAGCAGTAAGGAAAGTGATGATTCAACCATGAACTCATAAGCGATATCCAATGTGATAATCGAGAATTTTGACACCTTTGTGAAAATACTGCTAAAATTCCTGTGCTGTTAGATAGTTAGGTTTGAGCATAATCCCATTATTTATCACACATACAATATTTGTGAAGAGTGCCCAGTTCTCTCTTGATCTGGTCCTCATCCCTGAGTTCTGAGTTCAAAGGCTGCTTGTTGAAAAGAGGACTGCAATTCCAGGAAATCATCTTACTACTTTCTCTTGATTACCAAAACTGATCAACTGTATGTTTTTGGGAGCTTCATGCCAAAGGATTTCTTCAGGAGAGCCAACAGTTTCTGTAGGAACCAGAAAAGTGAATTTGAGAGAAGTCTAGGGCCAGTAACATGCAAAAGTTTTCAATTTGGATATAGGTCCTATGATCACTGCTAATACATTTTATCACTTAAGGCAGAGATTTTCAACCAGTGTGCTGTGGCACCCTGGGGTGCCTTGAATGATGGTCAGGGGTGCTGCAGGCAACACTGGCCACTGTCCCTCTTTCCTTCCATCCCTCTTCTTATGCCCTCTTGCGTCTCTACCTCCCAAAGGCTTGCACAGCTGTTTATTGCAGCAGCCCTGGCTATGAGCCCCACAGGTGAATGATGCCTCTGAGAGACACCTCTCTTTGGGGCAGGGTGGGGGAGCTCAGAGACTAGGGCAGGCAGCAGCAGTTGCCCAGAGAACTCCCAAGGAGAGGGGAAAGGAGAGGAAGCCGAGGGAACACTCCACAAGGAAGGGTGTTCGAAAAAGGTTGAGAGGCTGCCAGTTCTGCAGGCAATGGGTGACATAACTGGGCTCCTGAGCCCCACAGGGGTGCCACAGAAAGAATGTAGTCAGTCAAGGGAGCTGTGGACTCAAAAAGGTTGAAAACCTCTGACTTAAGGTAACCAGCGAGAGTTTTTATATACTTCATGTAATGCTTCTGTTTCAATACCATGACTTGCTTTGTGAGGCAAACATGGTTATAAAGGCCTTAATTTTCTAGGGAGATCTCCCCCTGCCCCACAATGCTGGCTCTTGTTTCGGGGAAAAAGAGCAAAACTCATAGATTTTATAAAAGTTAGCAGTCATCTGAGTGCATTTTCTGGAAACCTAAGTAAATTTCGGGTTGTGGCAACCCCATTGGCAAATAATAACCCAGACTGAAGTTGAAGAGGGAAATGAGATCACTTAAACGTCTTTGGCTGTAACTTCTTTCTTCGTTCAATTGCAGCACTGCCACAGTGAGTAACATTTCTGCTTCAATTAGTCAGTTGTTTCAGGCTCCTGGATATTGGACTATTAGGTTTCCCTCCATACATGCATAAGCCTGAGGATCTGGTGTTAGTTCCACTGTGCTAGAATTGTATTTGATTTTCTTGGCCATTGTGGTTCAGATTCTGCACAGCCTCTTGACAGCTTGTTTATCTTTTCCACAGTTTTGACTCCATTTCTAACTGGGGTTTCCTGGTGAAACGTATGGGCCTCCCCCATATACCACAGGTCCTCTGGCAGGTATCAACAGTGGCCTATAACTGCTAAGCAACATACCAGGGCACAGTTATGCATCACTAAATTGACAGGGGCAGTACAGTTCCTGCCCATGGGCCAAATCCATCCAAATGGGAAGATGGACTATACTCAGTGCTCAGAGTGAAGCCTGCTTGTGCCATTAAATCTTGTAGCAGTTGTTACTTTCCACGCAGGCTAAGTCTTCCCCTCCCCGGAAGCATACACCCAATGTTGATTGAATGAACATTAGGTTAGAAATAGCTATTTTTACTTCTGGTTTTCTAAGAAACACAGCTATAAAAGGTCTTTGCCACACAGTCAACCCACAATTTAGAAGTCAATCGTGAGCTTGGTTTTGATGTCTATATGTTCCTATGGTCAATTAGATAGGCAGTTTCTGTGCAGATTTCTGTCAAGCTTTACCTGGTGATTGCTTTATTGTGTATATTTGAGATGTACTTTTCCATTTAGCAGCTAATTTTTACCTAATAGTGAATACAGTCATACCTCAAGTTACGTTTGCTTCAGGTTGCGCATTTTCAGGTTGTGTCCCGCGGCGACCTGGAAGTACCGGAAAGGGTTACTTCCGGGTTTTGTCGCTCACACATGCACAGACGCACAAAATGACGTCACACGCATGGGCAGAAACGGCGAATCGCGACACGCGCAGACGCGGGTTGCGTTCTGCTCATGTTGCGAATGGACCTCCGGAACGGATCCCGTTCACAACCAGAGGTGCCACTGTATGGGGGTGGTGGCCTAATCTTGGAAACAGTTGTTCAACCATTGCCACACTGTGCAGTGTTGTCTTCTTCCCTACCCAGTCTTGTTTTTTTAAAACATATTTTTTATTAAAGATTTCTTGGTTTACAAAATTATGTGCAGTGTCTCCTTTTTCTACAGATCAGTTTCATTTGTTGAGACATTAGTGTTACATTAGGAAGAAAAGGGTGAAAGAGGTGGAGGGGGGCATGGTGAGTGTGGGTGGAGTCGGGTGGCAATGCTTCTATTTTACTTAATGTATGTGTGGGGTTTTGTGTCAGCGTCACTTGTGCATGTTCTCTTTACTATTCACGTGTGTTCCTTTGGTGGTGAGAGAGGTTGGGGTTGGCCTAGGGTGTGGTTTTTGTTTGTGATTGGCTGTGTTGACCTTTGTTTTCATGTGTGAGTGGGGTGGGTGAGTGTTTTGGATCAGGTTAGCCATATTGATTCGTATGCTGTTGGTGGATTCTTGTCGCTGTCTTGTTAGGTTGTGTATGTGCTATAGGGGAGCCTTATTGGGGTGACGGTGTCTTCTTCTATTTGTCCCCGTGTCAGTTTCAGTTTATTGTTTGGTTTTTCTGATAAAGCTGTTTACCAGACTATTTGATACCACTGATCCATGCTTACTCCTGACAGGTCTCTCCAGTGTCTGGCTATGATGTTTCTGGCTGCTGAGACTAGGTGGGTTATGAGCTCTTTATGATGTGAGTGGGCATTATTATCTTGGAAGATGTTTAGTAGGGCCAGCTCTGGGGTGACTTCTAATACTTGCTTAGTTATTTTGCATATTTCTTGTATTATTGTTGTCCAGAATAGTTGGATTTTGGGGCATTCCCACCACATGTGGAGGTATGTGCCCATGGAGGTGCATCCTCTCCAGCATTTTGGTGAGGTTCCTGGGCGTATTAGCGCTAGTTTCCTTGGTGTTAGGTACCATCTGTAGGTGAGTTTCAGAGTGAGTTCTTTTCTTTTCGCTGATACGGATTTAAAGGGAGGTTTGGACCACATTCTGGTCCACTGAGTGGGGTTAATCTCATAGCCTATGTAGTTCTCCCATTGTTTTTTGATTACGTCTAGGAGCTTTGTGGGATTTTGGAGTAGTATTTTGTATATTGCGGATACCATCCCCTTGCTGTGTCCCTTTGTTGTTAGGAGGAGATTTTCAAAGGTTGTTCGGGGCCTAGTTGCTGCTGATTTTACTACTGAATCCTACCCAGTCCTGTTGTGTTTCCAAGTAGTCCAGCCATTGTTCCTCTGTCTTACCATTATGAGCACAGTGTCATGCTGTTGTCTCTGCCAGCCTTTAGCAGCTACTTGCCTGATGGAGCCCATCAATGTCCCTCATAGGGATGTGTAGGCTGCCAACTGCTTGGGGGCAGTTGCTACTTATCCCAGGAGAATTGCCGAGTGCCACATTCTAGGGCTCCCCTCCCTTGTGTTTTTTTAAAATACTACAAGCACTGAAGATATTATCTCAACCCAGGATGCATGTCTCACCTGGGAAGAAGTTCACGCGCGCGCACACACACATGGTTAGGTTCATAATTAATCACAGACTGGTTTTGCCTATCTTGATAACCTTGATAACTAACTCAAGTTTGAATGATAATGTTTTCTGAGCAGCTTGTTCCTGTCTCAGAAGCAGTTTGGGTTTACCGGATACTCTTTTCTCACATGCACTTAATCTAAAAAACTGGAACAAAGTATTCAGTTCTGGAAGTTTGCCTGTAGAAGCAATTTCATCCTTGATTCAAAAGACAGAAGAGGTTTGATAACAAGTGGAGCAGAATACATCAATTACTTGTAACCAGACCGAGAGAATCAATATCTTGCAACTAATGGAAGGCACGACCTTTTATGATGTGGAACTTGGAAGTCTTGATGGGGGGGGGAAAAAACATTTCAACTGCCTATCCATCCGGAAGCCGAATTTATTTCCAGGACTACTACTAAATTATTTCAAAACCTTTCATAACAAGAAAACCCACCAGCCATACATGATGATACATCGGGTTTGAGAAACTAACTAATTGGGGCTGTTTGCTTGAGTCTGCAATAGCTCAACAGTTCTACAATTTGTACAGTTTTCTATCTTATATGTAAAAGGAGCAGTTGATTGACATGAAGGAAAGGCAGGTATTAGCTTCCCTTTCCAATGGCTGAATATCAGTATGGAATTTTCTGTTGCACAAGTTCATTAGCTGCCTGGGGTTTCCCTGGGAAATTAGGCATGGTAGAAATGGCATTAAATTAGATTAAATTCTGAACTCTTCCTTATAATATGCTTTTCGGGGGAAACCCCTGTTAGGTTATTATGGGTTTTAGACCCCTACCATTATTTACTGTGAGCCCAGTATTTTACCTATGCATCTCTTGTGTTTTCTTCCCCAGGGCTTCCTAATAATTTAGTGAGGAATTTAAGTTGCACTGTGAGGGTCCAATGTTCTGCAGTTGCTTTTGTCTTTAAGACTATAGTTTTGGAATGTCATACCAACGAATCCCCCCCCCCCCCCATTAAACTGAACTAATTTTGAAATCTATTATAGTTTTTGTTTACAGCTAGGATAATAACAGTTTTCCTCTGTTTAAAAATGGTAGAGGATTTTTAAAAAGTATAAGTACTTTTTAATTTCTTCTCTTCTTTTACTTATGAAAGAAAATAATTGCAGAAATGTGTCATTTTTCTATATGTGAGATGTTTTGCCTCCTCAGTTGTCAGCCACTGAATAAAAGGCAATGTCCATGGAAGTCGTTGAAGATATGAACACCTTTAGCAGGGCCCTGGCTAGTAATGATCACACTAAAGAGGAAGCTGTTTCAAAAAATATTTTGTATGATATTGCAAAGCAAATATATCACCTTGATGTCATACCATATTTACCAACATGTTTCCTAGAAAGGATGTGTTTATTCACAATTCAGACAAAAATACTCTTTTCCATTAAATATTTACAGAATCATTTTTTGAAAGCATGTTGTGAAATAGACAGATATTGGCCACAAAACTTTTATTTTTTAGGCAATCTAGTAGGTAATAATAATAATAATAATAATAATAATACTTTATTATTGTCAATTAGTAGCCCTTGTTATGAAGTTAAATTTAATATAAACTGGTATAGCACAGAAATGAGCAAAAACAAGTTTTAAACTCTCACTTTCCCAGTTTCTTGTATTACAGTCCAAGGAGCTCAAATTGTCATCAGCTATATAGCACTTAATAGGATCCACTCTTTGCATATTAATTTAGGTTCTGATTGAGAACTCTAATCAACACGACTTAAAACAGCTATGATAGATAAAGCAACGACTTAGATGATTCAGCCTAAACGCTACAAACAATAAAGGCTTCTGCTTCTGCATCCAGTAGCTGATAGCTTCAAGGTCATCTGCTCAGCTGCAGCATCTGCTGAAGAGGACAATGGAAAGAAATAGAAGCAATTACCCTTCAAACAAAATGAGTAGCACATGATCAAAAGATGGCAAATCCCACAGAGCCCTTTTAAAATGGCAGCTAAATTTTAGCATCTGAAAAGCAGCCATTGTCTCCTTGAAAACTGGTGCTGCCTGTCAAAGTGTGTGAGTAAGGTTGAAAGCCTAAGCATACTCATGAGGAAGTCAAGTCTTAATGAGTTCAGTTGGACTTAAGTAAACATGTTTGGAATTACAAGACAACATAGAAAATGTGGAATTGCCTTGCCAGTGACGCCACATAGGAAGAAGTCAAAGCGAATAAGAAATGGGTTCAAACTACTGTCTGTTGATCACAAGATTTACATGTGACAATAGATGTAACAGGATGTGGAATTCAAGCACTGATAGAGCATAATGACAAGGTGTGACTAAGGATGTCCTTTTTTCACAGCTGTCATGTGCTGGGTTGATGTTTTTATTGAGCTATCCGCTAAAACCCCAATATGTCTTTCCTAGCTGGTCACTGCTAGTTCAGACATCAGTCTGCATGCAACAACAGGATTTTTTGCCCTTATATGCCTCTTTTTACACTTGCTTTCATTGACCTGCCTTTGCTATTTAGTTGTCTAGTCACCCAATCTGGAGAAACTGATTTGGAGCTCTTTGCTTGGATTTTCACTTTTCTGAATAATTTATATAGCAGAATTCAGTGCTCCAGACTGCTTTAGATACTTCATCTCTGTATGGTAGGCAATTATTGTCCCCATCTTTCAGATGGGAGAAGGTAGGCTGTAGCTGTGAAAAATGCAAATTCCATGCTGCAGATGATTAAGAAATGAATTGAAAATAAAACTTCAGAAAGCATAGTAGTACCCTTACAGAATCTGAAAAAGGAGAGCTTAGTTCTGGAAGAGAGGCAGAAGAGCATAACCAAAATAATCAGGGGCCTGGGACTATGAGGAAATTCTACAACATTTGGGTTTGTTTGTTTTTTGGCAAGTATGGAGGGACATGACAGGTTTATTAAAAAATTGTGGTGGTATGGAGAAAAGGGATAGGAAGAAGTTTCTCTCCTAATACTAGAAGTTGGGGTCATCTAATGAAACTATCAGCAGTTTCAGGACAGAAAAAAGCAAGGACTCCTTTACACAATACAACATTGAATCTGGGATTAATGGTGTAATTGGAGTTTTAATGGGGTTTTTAATGACCAATTAACACACATACTTTCTTTTCTACAGTTTGCAATTTTATGTCTCATGAGAAGTGCCTGAAGCATGTGAAGATGCCATGCTCTTGTGTCGCTCCAAGTCTTGTAAGGGTAAGTTGCCCAAAATGTCTACTTCTCCTGCTTAACTCTTGAGTTTCTTTCGCCTTCCCTTTCGTCTGCCTTTATGCTGAAAACCATTTGATGTTATATGCTTTTTGGTGTGCCATGAAATGTTTCTGTAGGAGAAATACAAGTAAACAAAATAACAAATTGTCCCTAAACAAAGGTGTAGGTTAACATTTCAGTATAGTAATTCTGTTAAAAACTAGAAGAGGTAATGAAATGCCTAGCAGTATTTATTCTGTCCCGAAGATCTGGAAAATTTGCAGCATTAAAATATCACTAAGCAGAACTGAAATAAGGCAATATAATACATTGTGTGACAACATGTGGTCAATCTTGTGCAAGGATAATAAATGGAAACTCCTATCTTGCAAGAGTTTGGGACATTTTAAAATAGATCTTCAAAATTGTATTCAGTATTTCAGTCTGGCCTGAACTTTTCCCTGTTACTTTAAGAATTATTGCTACTATTGTTTACTGGAACACAAACTGGAGATATCTGAAGCCTTTAGTTCTGTTCATAGAAATATAATCAAAGCAAATGCAGTTATGATAGTATCTACATGTAGGTGGCTAAATAGGGTGCAGATGGAATTGTACAACTTGTGAAGAACAGTTCTTTTTAGTTTAGAGATTTTATAATATCTTCTAGACCAAGGGTAGCCAACTCTCAAGAGACTGCGATCTACTTTCAGAATTAAAAACTGGCAGTGATCTACTCCCCCCCCCCTTTGGTGTTCAGCTCAAAGTTGTTGAGGTTTTTTGGGTTCAGCTCAAAGTTGTTCAGCTTTTTTTAGGGAGGAGGAAAGCCCCGTTTTTTGGGGGGTGGTCAGCTCACAGTTGAGCTTTTTTGGGAGGAGTTCTATTTGGGGGGGTTAAAGGCAAGGGACAAAGGGGTAAAATCACTCACAAGAAGATTGCTATGGCTCAAAACAGCAACACAGAGAAAGCTCCATCTTCCCTTCCAGAGATCATACAACAGATCATACAATGGAAGGTGGGGCAGGAGTCAGTTTTAGTGATGCTAAGGAAAGGGAGCCAGAGATCGGCCGCAATCTACCAAAACCTCGCGGGGATCTACCAGTAGATCGCGATTGACCTGTTGGACATCCCTGTTCTAGACATATGAAGGTCTTCGTGATCATTGGCCATGCAAAAGACCAGGTGTTCAGAGCCAAATGATGGAGAGTTGTCAGGGTGACATAATAGCTCCTACCACCCCTTTTGAAAATACCCTAGAGTCAAGTGGACCCTGATTTCCTGATATGCATATATACCTTTCAAGGTGAATACATGTCTACATTCCGGAACACAATGAAAAGGAGAAGGAACAGACATTTTCTTATTGGATATTACTTTGACAACAGCTCCTCCAGGCAGAGGGGTAGGAAAAGGAGAGGATGTGGAATTGCATGTTTCTGCACTCCGTCTGTATGCAAATAGCTGCACTTTTAAGTTTAGATTTAGTATGTCATCCATAATATTGGTTCAAAGTCATGGCCAACGATGATTTCATTTTTTATTATGTCAGTTTCATTATGATTCTTGTTGATTTTGAAAAAGTTGAGGTCAGGAGAATACCCTTGAATTTATGTTGCCTCTGTAGCATGATACTTACTTTTTAAGCTTAAAACTATAGCAAGCATAAGTGACATGGTTGCAGTGGAGTTTCCTTCGTTTGCTACTGCAGAGAATGCTTTTTTATTTCTGTGCTTTATCCTCAGAAGCCTTTTCCTTTCAGCTAACATAAGCAACCCCCTCTTGCGTGTGACTTTTAAGTCTTCAGCATTAAAAGGTGTCATGAAATGTTCAACTGCTTCTGTTAATTACAGGCTGCCTGATGGGCTTCGAAGACAATATTCTGCTGTCTAAAAGCAGCCATATGGGACAGCTGTATTGTGTGTTGGCTACATGAAGCAAATATTCACTTTGGCTCTTAGCTTAAAAACATAACAGAAGGCTTAATGCTAGTTTATTCTATGTATGGGAAGCTTCTATTTTTGTCCCCTACCCTTCTTGCTGATTATACAAAGTGGCTATTTGTGGAAAGTTCTAATATATGAAGGGTGTTAAAGATTTCTTCCTGCTGGATTCTTAGAGCATGCTAATGTTATAAACCAGGAATTGCATTTTGAATACTTAAGGGTAAAGGGAATCTGGCTAAGAGTCAGCTTCGTCTGAATTTTTCGTTTGATGCTAAGCAAAATGGGGATTATCCCGGACTTAATGAAAATGTCACTTTAAAGCAGGACATGGAATTCAAGGTCAAGTAAAGGCTCACAAAATAAGAAGCATGGCATGAGTCAGATAAGTTCATGTGTCGACACTGTTCAAAGAGAAATTATGGCATTTGCGTACTATGACGAATCTTTGTTGCTTGGACTTGGTTACAAGCTGGATGGAGTCCAAAATATATCAAACATTTTTTGTGAGCAGCCTGTATTGTCTAGTACTGTACCTATTTTAGTTTAAACAAATGCATGTATAGTTCTCTTCAGGAAATTATTTTTGAGTTCTGGTTGAACTCTAAAGCTTCTCACTGCTTTATGTGTTGTTTCATTTGGTCCTGATAAAAGTCTTTTGGTACTATTGCTTTAACCTGCATGCAGTCTTGTTCAGTACTTCTTCCTTGCATCTTTTCCATTATCGGGTGGCTAAAGATCTTTTGTTGTCTTGTTAATTTGGCTTTTATCACCCCAAAGTATACAAGGATAAGATAAGATGTAGGATTTATTTGTTTGTTTGCTTGCTTTGCTTACAGCATTTATAGTTAAGCAAATCACCTTGTGCATGAACTATGCTTTAGGAGGGGGAAGCTAGTCAGGTTTTTTGCCCTGGGTGAAGCCTCCAGAAGAGCGATTGAGGCTCCCAGCCCGTGTGTGTATGGGTACGCAAATGTGCATGGGGGTGTGCCAAACTGGGTCTTTGACCCAGGTGAAATAAAGCCTAGTTTTGCCCCTGGCACATGCAGCCCTTGATCTTCCTCTAGCAGGACATAGAACATAGGAAGCCACCTTATAAGAATTGTTCTATATTGTAGGTTGAATTTGATTCTTCTGCTGCCTCCTGTAGTTGGCAACACGGCATATATATGGTTTGTGCTCCAAACCAGAATTGAATTATATCAAGACCATATCTTGATAAGGATTTTTCATCATGTGTTTATCTGTTCTAATTGCCTCCAGTTTGGCCCTTGCTGAGCAAATTGTTTACTGTGTAAACAGTCAAATGCAATCCTCTTTTCAAGCTAGATTTGCATAGCTACTGCTGCTGACTTCAATGGATTTACTTGCTTTTGTTGATATTGGAGAAAAGTCGCTGCCTTGAAAGTGCTTAATCTCTAAAATGAAGGATGTCAGGTTTCTGAAAATTATTTCTACTAACCAGGATGTAGTTAGCTAAAACCCCAGATTGCGGGTGCTGTGTGGAATTGTAATGATATCCTGTGGTTTATGGCTTTTGGGGATTGCAAGCTGCTCAGTTGCTTCTGCTTCGCTCTCCCCTGGTGCAAGCAGGAACAGCAAACCAAACTTGTTTCATCCGAACTCAGGGCTGTGATCCCCCCCCCCCCCGACAAACCACAACCAAGAAGCCATTGTTGGTTCTTGGCTTGCTGCTTGTGGTTTTGTTTTAGGGAAATAAACCATGACTCTGGGTTTGGCCATAACAGTAAGCCTTGAAACCTTGGCTCGATTCTCCCACTTGCACCTGGGGATGAGGGCAGCATGCATTGGTATGCTGTGTAATATATTGGAACTAGTATGACGTCTCATATATGAATGAGGACATTCTGTAGTTGCTGAAAAGGGTTCTGTGCATGCTCACAGGCATCTTTGTCAATATTTCACATGTTCCAGGATTCTGAATAATTTTTATGCTGGTGAGTCCTGGTTCCAATTCAGCCGTGCATTGAACATAGCTTTTCAAAGGTAACAATTTACCATCTCCCTGGTGACTTTTGTTCCAGGCTGAGTGCCTTTTCAGCTGTCTTTGGTTTGGTATATTGTTTTCCTTTTGCAGTTGCGTGTGTCATTGTTCTAAGCCTATCAGTGTAATGAAGTCTTGCACAGCAAAGGGAAACCCCTACCAAAAACTTGAAACAGGAAGTTTAACTGCTGAAGATAGCTGAAAATAGAACAGGCATCCTTGTGCCACAAATAACTCTTAATGGTACTATTATCTAGAGCTAAACTACGTGTTTGTTTTTTATTTGTTCGTATTCTCTCTGTCTCTCTCTCTCTCTCTTGAAAAAAAAATGCAGTTTCCCTTTTCTGCTGCTGTATAGCATGTTGATTAGATAATGTGTTCAGTATAATAACGGCACTTAGATGGCTTTAAAAGCATTTATAGAATCAGATTGCTATGCTGTGTTTTGCTAATTGATTTTAATGGCTCATATCAAGATCATATTCTAGAAAGGGCTTTCAATAATAAATGAGAAGCAAAAATTCTACAGCTTTGTCAGGGTGTCTTGTGACATCACCACATAGAATTAATGTAGCTAAATTGTCTGCGGTGACTACTGTATTTAGAACAGGAATAACTGAGACTCTGTGTGGTGAGGACAGTATAATTAGTCTCTGTTTCCTTAGTATCCTCTGTGGGGACGAGGAAGGGGAAGATGGGATTGGAGAGAGTAATTAAAATTGCATCTTTCCACCCACTTTCAGAAGCAGAAAATATATGCGCATAGTGGTTCCTTGGTGCATATCCACTTTAAGCCGTACACTGACACGGAGGCAAAGGAAGTGACTATTCCCTTTGATTGTTAGAAACCAGTCAGTAGAAATTGCGTCATTTGATAACGTAAAGAAGGGAGAACATTCCTTTTGCAATCTTTGTGTAACAGTGAAATTTTTATGCCTGGGTCACTGGGTAAGAAGTGGCTGGCACTACATCATCCTTTTTATTCATCATCACTGTCATTTTATTTCTTTGCCACTTTTCCAAAGTTAAAGCCTTGCTCAAGGTAGTTTGCAACATGAAAAGATTTACATTACAAACATTACAAAAACAGAACACATCAAAAAGTACACAACCTTTCCACACAAGTCATAGGGTCATTAGATCTAAAAATAAAGATACAAAAAATTAATGTCAATAACAGCAGCAACCCCTCCCAACAGAACTTCTAAACAATACCCCAGCCCAAGACTCAGTTCAGCAGGCTCAGCTTTTGTAGCTGGAGTCAGTCAGGGCCCGTTCCCGCCCAGGCCAGGTGGAACAAGGCCTGCAAGACAGGGAGCAACTCTTCCAGAACTCGTAGTTAAGATTGATCCTTGTCATTGGAACATTGGTTTTCTTTCTAGCTTTGCAGCATTTTCTCCTGTGATTTATTTTTGTTTTTTCCTTATGTAATTTTGTGCCTATATTAATTTGCCTTTCTGGGATGCAGATCACTATACCATGATGGTGTGAGTACCTAATTGATCGTCCTGTGTCCCTTCTAAGGATGTGGTTGGCAATGTTCTAATGGGATCTCCTTACTGAAGTGTGATTAAGAAATTGTATAAATACAACTAATCTTTAAAATTGCTTGATTGGACTGCTGCTGACTCAGTATTCTCACAGGAGATGTTAAAGAAGAAAAAAGATTCTCACAGAGGGCCTTGGTTTCTGATTGGGCATAAACCGAATACACATTAATTAAAAGTCACCCAAGTTGCTCAGTGTTTTCAGTTGCCTATACAGTAACAGTTATGCTGCACCTGTAGATCTTAAGGGCACAGTATACAGTTAAAGCACACTTTGTTTTCTGTGCAGGTTCCAGTTGCACATTGTTTAGGACCTCCAGGACATTACAAGAGAAAGTTCTGTGCCGTGTGCAGAAAGCTTTTGGAGTCTCCAGCATTTCGCTGTGAAGGTAAGGCTGAACTGTAATGGATCATGGTGTTGTCAGCTTATTCTAATTGGTATCTTAACTTATCTGCCACCCTGGCAAAAGCACAATATTTTTAAGACACTTCCTAGAATGATAAATGAGGACTTACTAGGAAGTGTGAGGGATTGTAGAGAGTGCGGGGAGGAAACCTGTTGATAAGCCGAATTTCTCTCTTCCCCCCCTTTCCCAGCATAGTTACTACCCTTGAAAAATGTGCTCTCATAGCATTTACCAGTTGTTGATGTTGTATGAGAAATGGCGAATTCGTAGGTTAATCTCAATGTACAAATCTAATGTAATTTCATACAAAACAGCCTTCTATCTAACCCAATATCTGTCTGTTTCAATTGATGGTGGGCCTCCAAGGTCTTTGGCAGAGTTCTAGCAAGTGCAAAAATTAGAGACAGGCCAGCTCCCCATGTCCAGGAGATCGCCTGAGGGAAAGGCCATTGACACATAAAACAAACTAGATAGATGAGCCATCAGCAAGGCTGAGACTTGCCATTCGGGCAAATGTGCGAAGTCCCTCCTGGATATCTCTGTTAGTTAGAAGATGGAAGGCTTTTATCTGTTAACAAAAATCTCAGTGAAAAGTAATTTAAAGAAAAAACTACTCTGTATTTGAAACTATAGCATGTTCTGTTTCCCAAAGGGACAGAAATATTTCCCAGGTTTGATGCATTAGTTACTGTGCTTTTTAGGGGGTAGTGCTAAACATGGGGTTTGTGCTCCAAAATGATTCAAAACAATTGCAGAAATATGACATTGCTTGGAATCCATTGGACAATATGGGATTTTGAGTTCTGTTAACTTGTGACATTAATTGGGAACCCAGGTTTTAGTATCAGTTCCTCATTTTGAGAGTGGGATTTGTGGTGCCAAAGGGGTTCAAACTATTGCAAAATTTTGGCACCGGTTTGGAATGGATCCCAAATTTTGGGGTTCCTATTTAATAAGATTTTTAAGATCCTTTAACTGGTAATTCTAGGGACTGGAGCTGGGATCTTTTGCATGCAAAGCACTGAGGGCAAATCTAGACATGACACTATTCATGACATTAGAAATTGAGTGGCTGTTGGTTGTTTGTAAATAGCAAGCATGCCTACCTCTGCTCCAGGTCAAGTCCCCGGTGGTCTTCAGAATTGTGTCTTAATGCTTTGGCCCTATTGTGGTTCTGGCCCACATTGGGCCTCTGTACTTGTTACTTTAGGGACGCAGGTGGCGCTGTGGGTTAAACAACAGAATCTAGGACTTGCCGATCAGAAGGTCGGTGGTTCGAATCCCCATGACGGGGTGAGCTCCCGTTGCTCGGTCCCAGCTCATGCCAACCTAGCAGTTTGAAAGCACGTCAAAGTGCAAGTAGATAAATAGGTACCGCTCCGGCGGGAAGGTAAATGGTGTTTCCATGCGCTGCTCTGGTTTGCCAGAAGCGGCTTAGTCATGCTGGCCACATGACCCAGAAGCTATATGCCGGCTCCCTCGGCCAATAAAGCGAGATGAGCACCGCAACCCCAGAGTTGGCCATGACTGGACCTAATGGTCAGGGGTCCCTTTAACTTTACCTGTTACATTAAAGCCACCCACTTGGATGGATTTAAATAAAATTAGGCAAATTTATGGAGGATAAGGCTATCAGTGTCTGCTAGCCACAGTTGCTGGGGTTTTCCTCCACAGTCACAGGCACTGTGCTTCTGAATACCAATTGCTGGTGCCTGCAGGAGGGGAGACTACTTTTTTTGCTCAGGTCCTGCTTGTGATTGCATCTGGTTGGTCCTTGTGAGAACAGGATGTTCGACTAGCTGTGGCATTGGCCTGATCCAGTAGGCTCTTCTTAGGTTCTTATGGTTCTGCTAATCGTGTACATGATGTTGCATCTTTACTATAATAATGATGAAATATATTTTAAAAGTAAAGTAGAAGAATTAAAAATAGAGATAAAAGCAAGAGTAAAACAAACAAGAGGCAATTTCCTCCCCTTTCCCTCTGTTTACTCCTAGTTTGTGAGCTGCACGTGCATACAGATTGCGCCCCGTTTGCTTGTAGTGACTGTCGCCAGTGCCATCAAGATGGCAGTCAGGATCATGTAAGTACAAAAGTTTTTGTTTAAACAACAGAGGAAAGAAATCTGTTAGGAAAGCTTTGCTTCCAAGGGCCTAATGCAAAGTTGAACTTTTTGTTACTTGCTTCGAAGACTCTGTCGTTAAATGTTTGTTTTGGTTGATTTTTCTGGACTTACTGAAAGGTTAGATATTCGGATTTCGAGTGCAGCTAATTCAACTGCTTTACCAAGATTCCAAAGCAATTTTAAAGGTTGCAGTACATTTTTTAAATAATGGATTTATTTAATTGCTGTAGGATACATACCATCATCACTGGAGGGAGGGAAATCTTTCTTCAGGTGCGCGTTGTAAGGTCTGCAGGAAAACGTGTGGCTCTTCAGAGGTTCTCTCGGGTATGAGATGTGAATGGTGCGGCATTCTGGTACGTAAACAAGATTTATTTGGTTTTTTTCCAAATTTGATACCCTGGCATGTGAACCTGCCAGAATCCTCAAGGCAACTTAAAAGAAAGAAGCAGTGAAAGGTAGTTTAGCTGGAAGTCCATCACAGTATATTATATATGATAAAACAGGATGTTAATGTATTCTCTGTTATAATTAAAGATGGTTGTTTTTAAACAATTTCATATGTGAAGTTTCCCTGTTCTCCAGAATGGACGAAAGGTGTGGTGTAAAAACATCAGATAAGTAAATAAACAGAATAACAAAATAACTGAAATGTCCATAATACAGTGCATGTAGTCTGGAAAAATATCATGATAACTGTCTTTACAATCCATAAGTGGTCACTATGTAAACATTTTTTAGAAAACCCATCTGGCTGGGTTTCTGCTATCTTAAGAACTATCTAACAGGACAGTAAGTGTACTCTGGACATTGCAAGTAAAATAACTCAGAAAATGTAAACTGCCTTTCTTTACTCTTCAAATACATTTTGTTTGTTTCTGAATGGCAACATTAAACTAAGAATGTACACTACTGTAGAAATTCCCTTTTAGGTGTAACAGTATGTGGAATTATTTTCTTAGCAACATACTCTGCTTTAGACTACCCTTCCTTTGTGTTTGTGATTTGGTTTCTATTTTAAACATCATATGAACATAGTTGTTTTCTACTGAAGCATATCATGCCCCTCTAGCCCAGCACGTCCTCTGACTTGGCTGTACATGCCCCAGTGCTTCAGACAAAAGGTCTTACTCAGTCTTGTTGCCTGACATCTTTTAAATTGGAAATGCCAGGGAGTGCACTCTGGACCTTCTGTGTGCATAGGATGTGTACTGCTACTCAGTTGAAGAAGAAGGGTTTGGATTTGATATCCCGCTTTATCACTACCCTAAGGAGTCTCAAGGGACGCGGGTGGCGCTGTGGGTTAAACCACAGAGCCTAGGACTTGCCGATCAGAAGGTTGGTGGTTCGAATCCCCGCAATGGGGTGAGCTCCCATTGCTCTGTCCCTGCTCCTGCCAACCTAGCAGTTTGAAAGCACGTCAAAGTGCAAGTAGATAAATAGGTACCTCTCTGCCGGGAAGGTAAACAGCGTTTCCATGTGCTGCTCTGGTTCGCCAGAAGCGGCTTAGTCATGCTGGCCACATGACCCGGAAGCTGTATGTCGGCTCCCTCGGTCAATAAAGCAAGATGAGCGCCGCAAAACCCAGAGTCGGCCACGACTGGACCTAATGGTCAGGGGTCCCTTTACCTTTAAGGAGTCTCCAAGCGGCTAACAATCTCCTTTCCCTTCCTCCCCCAAAACAAACACTCTGTGAGGTGAGTGAGGCTGAGAGACTTCAGAGAAGTGCGACTACCCCAAGGTCACCCAGCAGCTGCATGTGGAGAAGGAGGGAATCAAACCCAGATCACCACATTACGAGTCCACCGCTCTTAACCACTACACCACACTGGCTCATTTGTCTCTCTTCCCTATTGAAACCACATGTTTCCATCTAAAATACTTGTATTGAGCTAGGCTTAAGGCCAGGCAGTATGTGACTGTGGCAAACCTGTCTCTTTTTAAAGTCTGGGTCTGCCTCAATCTTACGTAACACAGGGAGTGGGTCTTACTGTGGGTGTTGTCCAAATCTGCAGTTTTCCCCTGCAGCAGACTGGGACCCACATCCCAGCATTTTCTCTCAGCTGGGATCACTTCCAGTGATGGGGCACTGGGAGACAACTTGAGGGCAGGGAGTGCGGTGAGGCTTCAGCATCCCTCCATCCTGCTCTAAAAATTTGACCTTGGTGATCCCAAACTTGCATTAGGTTTGTGAGCATTTGTTTTGCTTATTCTTGCAAAGCCAGAAATCATCAAGTTGAAAAGGTATTAGGCACTGAATCTGAATACATCTAAACTTGTATTTTATTGTGCTTTGGCAATCAGTAATAGTGCTTCCAGTGTGCCAGTGTGTTATATTTGCTACTCATTAAACGCCACAGGTTACAGAACTATCTGTTTAACCAGGTTTTTATATATATATAAAGAATATGGTTAATGAATCTCTATAGGGAGGAGAGAGGCTGTGATGATTGTACTTTGTGTTCAGTTGTACTTTGTATTTCATTTCATTTCATTTGTAAACTAGCCAGGAGGGGAAACTAAATGAAGATAGTTTTTTAAAACAAACAAAAAACTAGAAGAACTGAGGCAATAAGCTTTTACTTATCTGTAAAATGGACTGTTCCCCAATATGAAATGGCTCCCTGTTTAATTTTACAGGAAATTGCTGATCCACGCTCACATTTTCTGTGTGACCAAGCTTCTTCCATTCATTGAACTTCTGAGCACATAGAATATGAATATTTGAGCTCACATGGGATTAACTTTGCTTACTGATATTTAATATCTGTCTTCTGTGACTAAGGGGATATACCGGTAAAATAGCACAGAATTTTAAAGTGTTCATAATTATTTACCATATGATAGGGGATCTGAAAGAAGTACTAACTTTGTCAAAGGTTGCAACTTTTTTTTTGGTGCCCTTTATCTCTGCCACACACACACACACACACACACACAGCCAGCTAGCCACAAACTGTGGGTATAGATTAATTTAAATTGGGTGGGAAACAGCTGTCTAGGCTCAAAATTTACAGCTCTGAAATAGAAATTAGACATGACTTTACAAGAACCTGATGCTGTGTTTTCCATAGGCTCATGCTGCTTGCTCTGTGATTGTACCTCCAGAATGTACATTTGGAAGACTAAGAAACATGATTCTTCCTCCAAACTGTGTGCACTTATGTTCTCGCAACTTCAGTAAAATGCACTGTTTTCGGATATCGGAAAGCTTACAAACAGAAGCAGGTAAAGTTCTGACTGTGTAATATTAATCCATTGGTTTATTTAACAATTTAGTGATTACTTTTTGTTTTTATTAAAAGCCAAAATGCACAATTGTCAAAATGGTATCCTTGTTGAAAGGAGGAACTTCTGAGAACAGGGGTAGGAAGCAAGCCCCTAAGCCTCATTCAGTCCACCCATGTGCTTTCTTACCCTCTGTAGTTCTGGGAATCTGCCTGGCCTGGAGGTGGTTGTTCTGGGCCGGAAAGCATTTCTGAGAGCTAAAGTCTTTGTGAGTCAGATTTGGGTTGAATACCATCTGCTGTCCAGTTGCTTACGTAGGCTGCCACCCTATGAACACTTACCTGGGAATACGTTTAATTGAACACAACAGGGCTTTCTTCTGAGCAGGCATGCATTGTGCTTTAAGAAGTCTTAGACATACTTGTTAAGAATTTACCATTTTAGGCTGCTATTTGCTAAACTAAAAATCTCTTGCTTCTTATTTTTTAAAAAGCATGCTTGTTAGTTTCTTTACATCCCCGTCCCCCAATCAAATTACCTTTATTCAAGATTTTTCTTAGCTTAAAGTAGGAGCGTGCCTGGTTTAAAATATCAACACTTTTTCACATTTTGAAAATGTATTTGCTGTAGAAAATAAGTAGGGGGTGAATAGCTTTAAGCAAGGTGCGTATTTTACAACCTGTTTGGGAACTGTCAGCCTGTGGGCCCGTATTGACCTGCCAGGGAGTCCAAGTTGGCTCATGACATCATTTCCCCCAAGTAATGCCCTACCTACGCATCAGCTGGCATCACTCATAATGTCGTCTGATGAGTGGGAGGACTAGGCCAAATCCTGCTGTAGCTGTGCTCTCCTGTTCCCTGCAGGGAACAAAGGTGCACAGCCAAAACAGCAAAGTTTAACCCCCCCCCCAACTCATCAACTGAACCTCCATTTTAGAAACAAATTTCTGTACATCAGGAGTCAGCAAACTTTTTCAGCCGTGGGCCAGTCCACCGCGCCTCAGACCATGTGGTGGGCCGGACTATATATTTTTTTTGGGGGGGGGGATGAACGAATTCCTATGCCCCACAAATAACCCAGAGATCCATTTTAAATAAAAGCACACATTCTACTCATTTAAAAACACCAGGTAGGCTCCACAAACAACCCGAGATGCATTTTAAATAAAAGCACTCATGTAAAAACACACTGATTCCCAGACCGTCCATGGGCCAGTTTGAGAAGGTGATTGGGCCGCATCCGGCCTCCGGGCCTTAGTTTGCATACCCATGCTGTACATAGTGCTTTAAAGTCCTGATTTTGGGACTTCAAAGCACGTTGCACCTTGGCTGCACCCATCTGTCAAATTTGGCCCACAAGGCCATTCTTGATGAAGACTTAATGGCCTGTGGAGTCAAAAAGATTCCTCACTTTTCTTGTACAAAGTAAATGACTTTTGATTCATGGCTGAATTTGAGGGGATTGGTTCCTTTTGCAGTGTGTGGGGAAGGTTTGCTTGCTTTTTATATGCAACAAATCTATAACAACGGAACACAAGAAAGGGGCATATTTTAGTGCGTACATTTTCTTCATATTTTTGTCTTTGTGCTTACCCAGGTACAGGTAAATGTTCTGATACTGTACTAGAAAAAAAACACTTAAGAATGATGGCAAACCTTCATGTAAAACATCAAACTAATTTTATGTAGCGCTGAGGCAGTAAATAGCATGTATAAATGTGTTTCCTTTGCCTTGGCTGTACTGAAAATACTTTCTACCATAATATTTTACTGCCACCTAGAGTACATCCTACATATATTTTTTCCCTCAGGTTCTCAAGAATATATTCATATTTCCCTATTTCCCCACAAGGCTAGGACTGTAACTATAATTGGCAGTGCAGATAGGTCTATCTGTGGCTTAATAAGCCACAATAGCTAAATGGAACCTCCATCTTCAGTGTTGAGCAGGATTTGGCCTTCGTCTTCATATTCTGTGTATAAACTTCCAGAGCGATATGCTTGGCTGCTATTTGAAACTACTGGATGAACCTTGGACAGTCCAACAAGTTGATTCTTATGTTCTTAAATTCTTCTGTTGCCTTGCATATCCTGCATGCTAGGTACTTTACAATCCATTATAAATGTGCTGCTTTAGTAAAGCACATTTTAAATCTTGCAACACTTCACGTGTCCTGGAGATAGGTAGGTTTCAGAGCCTTTGGAGAAGGTAATTCATCAGGTTGTCATTAAACGTGAATGTCAGTGGTCATGAATAAACTTGCTCAAATGGTTGCAAAGATTTATTTTAAGCACACATGAAAGATGGGCAAATGTATTTTAGCGTAACTAATGGTTTCACCCCGAGTCTTAGCTTAGGGTTTGTGAAGTGCTACCTCCCTCCTAAATATGATTTAGGCTACAATTCTGAATGCAGCTACTAGGCAGTAAGTCCCATTGACCTCGGTGAGACTTCTGAGAAAACCTTTTTAGGATTACACTGTTAATGTTACTGTTTGGTTTTTAAGATCCCTGGTTCACATTAGCTGCGCTTAAGGTCAGTGCTGACATTTCCCTTGAGAACAGTGATGGGAGGAAGGAGCTTGCATTCTTGTCACTGGCCTCCAAGTGCTAATCTCTTGTATGTTTGTATTTTACAAATAAATTATCTAAGGCACAAATTGACCAAACAATCAATTGGGTGGCTTGTGTCAAAGCTGACCATGTGTCCCCTTTGCTAAAAATGTTAGCTTGGAATTTTTAGTTTGCAAATGCACGGTGTTTCTTTTCAAACCTGTTTGCTTATGTATGAAGCTACCTTTCAAATCTTTGGATAACTATTTATTGTTTTCTGGATAATTTTAAAGCTAACAAAAGCAACTTGGCCAGACCTTTCCCATCAAACAAAAATAGCTTATTGTTTGTGCTTATTCATTAGGTTGCATTATGTAGCTTGAAAAGTGAATAAACCTGTTTCATTTAGATATGTAAACAAGGTGAGGAAGTTATAGGACCTTTGCACATATTAAGTATGAATAAATGCACTTTATGCATATTTAACAATGTACACTCGTCTAGAAAATGACTCCCTCTATAAAAATCAAAAAGACCCAATTGTCTGTCCTTCAAAAATATGAGGAGTAGAAATCGCTTGAAATACTGTATTGAATTTGCTGGAATGGTTGAGTTCTGCTTTGCTGGTGGTTACAAGAATACACCTAAAGCTGTTATGTACAGGCAATCCTTGTTTTGCTCGAGGGTTATGTTCTGTCCTGCTCCACCCAGTTGTGCCATTTGGGTGACATTTTTGGGTCATTTCTGGAGTTGGCGTCATGCATATGTGCACGATTGCCCATCAGTTGGACATGCGTAAATTGGTTGTTGCCTATAGTGATCGTTTTCCACCAGAAATGCTAATGGTATTTTCTGGAATTTTTTTGAAAAGTGGCTTCTGGATCAAGTCAGTGCATGTAAAATCTCCCTCTGTGAGTGGACATTGCATCATGTTTCCATAAGCACGTAGGCTGGTGTAGCTGTGATGCTACAGATTAGCCTTTGCTTTCTTTCGGCATATTCTTTTAAACTTGTTTGTGTGTCTGTTCTCTTTTGTCATGTTTTATCATGCCCTCAGCTTTTCCGTGCTCAGGCATGGCTTGACAGAACAAGCAACATAAGCAACTGCTTTGGACTGCAATAGTTTTTTGAGAGGCACTAATGAAACGTCTTGTGGCTGGAAAACTGTGTATAATACCAAGGGTGCAAGCCCGGGCTGCCATAGATTTTGAGACACACCCCTCAGGATATATAGGGCAGTTGTCTGGGGCCATAAATTGTATTGGGATTGCTATGGCAGTGTGTCTCTTAGGAAATTAGTAGATTTTGAAGTAAGATAGCTGTGTTGTAAAGAGATTATGCTGGGAAAGGCGTAATCTGCCATTCTTTTCAGATCAACCTAGCATGCTGCATAGCATACAGTCACTACTTTTGCTTTTGGTGTACATAAGAGCTGTTGCACACATTGCACAGCAGCAAGATCAGGTTGGCTGTAAAGTGTGTATTTATCAGGGAGCCAGAACCCTCCCTGACTCTGATAAGTGTGCCAGTACAATGCACATGTCTTCAAAGACCTGTTTTCAGATCCCCTTTTTGGAATATGCCTTAAACTAATGTGTGAAGAGGCCCTTAGGAAAGAGCATAGGAGTCAGCTCCTAGGGGCTGAGGTCCCTTCGACCCCCTCCCCAATAAAATATTTGAGGGGGCCAGGGCGCCCAAAGTTGATAGGCATTGCCATTCAAATGGTGTGTGTGTGCCGTGTCATGTGACCAGTTATGTGGGGGTGGGGCTTTCCTGCCCACCCCCAGTATTTTATTCAAGTTGGCACCTCTGGGAAAGTGCAGTAATGGAAAATCTTTTGATGGACAGGCCAGGAAACTAGTGGAAGAATTGGCTTTGCATTTCTTAGTTAAGTGATTAACATCCTTTTTAAACAAGAGAAATTCTCTAAGCTGCAAGCAGAATCTGTATGTATTAATTATGCCATGGCTGATCTGTCAAGACTTATGACCAAGTATGGCCTGCATCACTTGATTTACAGAAATTAGGCAAGAGGTCTTCTCCATCCATTCAGGATGGCAATTTGACTTGTTTTTAGACTCCCACAAATACCTTTCCCCCTTAGCTAAAAACTTCCTTATTAGAATTTGAGAAAGAAATACCGAAGAAGTCCTCTCATCAATAAAGCACTTGTTCCTTGTGTCTTGGTGCAAGTTATTTTTATTACTTTTATTTTCTGTCTTAAGGAATAATTTACAAACCTAGAATTGTGGCTCTTCTAAAACTTGATGCTAGATAATGCTTCAAATGTTACTATCCTCAGCTATGAAAGATGACTATTCCATTGTCATTCTATGTCACTCTTTCTCTTTGACCTTCAGTTTGGAGAGTCATATTTGGAGGAATGCTCTAGTTGTCCTTCAGTTTATTTGCTATGAATGGGCAATTACATTTTGCACTTATTTAACATTCTTCTTGTTGAATACTCCAAATGCAGCAGTTCAACAAACCTGGAAGTATCAATGATAAAAATGCAGAAGAGTTTGGATTTGATATCCCGCTTTATCACTACCCTAAGGAGTCTCAAAGCGGCTAACAATCTACTTTCCATTCCTCCCCCACTTTGTGGTGGGGGGGACAGGGAAATTGAGCCGTTTTATTCTGATGCCAGTCTAGAGAATGAAACAGAGGATGCTTCTACCCATTATAGCAAAACCAGAATCCAAGCTGAAGAAAGTAGTAAAATATATTTGCCATTGGTTTGGGTATATTGGTATATGGATTACCATTGGTATTGGGACATGGGTGGCGCTGTGGTCTAAACCACAGCGCCTAGGGCTTGCCAATCGGAAGGTCGGCAGTTTGAATCCCCATGACGGGGTGAGCTCCCGTTGTTTGGTCCCAGCTCCTGCCCACCTAGCAGTTTGAAAGCACGTCAAGTGCAAGTAGATAAATAGGTATCGCTCCGGAGGGAAGGTAAACAGCGTTTCCGTGCGCTGCTTTGGTTTGCCAGAAGCAGCTTAGTCATGCTGGCCACATGACCTGGAAGCTGTCTGCAGACAAACGCCGGCTCCCTTGGCCAGTAAAGCAAGATGAGCGCCGCAACCCCAGAGTTGTCCGCAACTGGACCTAATGGTCAGGGGTCCCCTTACCTTTACCATTGGTATTATGGGATGGTTTATTCTCTACTTTTGTCTGTTAAAAAAAGCATTTGCAGGTTAGATCTTTTTCTGACCCGCATTAAGAAAGTGATAACTGCAGTTATCTTACAAACATTACATTTTCACAGAAAAAAGTGAGGGTGATTTAAATTCTTTAAATGGAGGCATTTCCCACCTTTCCTCTAAGGAGCTAAAGGTGGTGAACATGGCTCTCACATAATAATAATAATAATAACAGAATAATAACAGTAATAATAAAATATTATTTATACCCTGTCCATTTGGCTGGGTTTCCCCAGCCGCTCTGGGCGGCTCCCAACATCATAATAATAATAATAATAATAATAATGCAATAAAACATCAAACATTAAAACTTCCCCTAAACAGGGCTGCCTTCAGATGTCTCCTAAAAGTCAGATAGTTGCTTATTTCCTTGAATTCTGATGGGAGGACATTTCACAAGGTGGGTGTGACTACCGATAAGGCCCTCTGCCTAGTTTCCTGTTGCCTCGCTTCTCGCAGGGAGGGAACTGCCAGAAGGCCCTTGGAGCTGGACCTCAGTGTCCGGGCTGAACGGTGGGGGTGGAGACGCTCCTTTAATCCTCACAACAACCGTGTGAGGTAGGTCAGGCTTAAAGACTGTGGCTTGCCCTGGATCACCAAGTGAACTTCATGACTGAGTGGGAATTTGAAACCCTGGTTTTTCAGGGCTCTTAAAAGTATATATGTCAGCTTCATAAAAACAAGAATTCCATGTGGCTTTCCAGTATACGGCTGTAGAGAATGTATATTTATTTATTTATTTATCATGGGCATGCTTGCATGTGTATCTGTTTCAGTAATGTGAGTACTATAATAGGAAAATCTGATAGTATTGTTTTCATCGCAACATTTTATTTTAAAGGATGAACACCTTGTTTTTAAAGGCAAACCTTTAAAGGAGACTTTTATTTTTACAGATGATGACGACGATGTTGACAGTTCAACACAATTATCACTAAAAGAGTCCCAGGTTTCCACAGACTCAAGTAAGTAGCATTTGTTACTAAGCAGAGTGTATTTATTTGCAGCAAGATTTGTGCTAGGAGCATATGATGCCTTTTGTTGGTGTGCAAAACATGGTACAGTCCAATTTTCAAGGAGTTGGCAGTAAAATGCAACCAGGCATAAGCAGCTGCTTGCAAATGCACTTAGTCATCTCCTACTGTCATAACTGAGAACACATATGTACAGTGCTAGTTTGTAAGCCTTCTTGTGTATTTCCTTTAACAGAAAGACAGGATAAACTTTATTTTTAATAAATAATAATTCAGTAATATAATTCATTTTGCCCTTTCTCCTCGAAATGAGCTTATTATTTTGCTAGCTTGTTTTCTTTAATACATCCTATTTTTTGGCCAGAATGACTCCCCAAAGTTGCTCGCGATAAAAATCAATAGAAATATGTCATATAATTAGGGATGCATTCTGCCACCTGTTTTTTTCATCTTATCTGGCACGTTATTTATTTAATTTTAATTCCATCCCATTTGTGAACCGCTTCTTATGAGACACCTTGAAGTGATTTAACAATAAACAGTAATAATTTAGAACTCCATATATAAAAGGTTGGTTTGCTAAAATGAATGCAGATTTGTAGGTGAATACAATGACTTCCTTCGTAGTTAACATCACAATACCTTCATGTTCAGGGTCTTTAATCGCTCGATATCTTTTTGAAATGTTTGAAGAGCTGTGCTTAATTTTAAGCTCCGTAAAAATAAAAGATGCTGGGTAGAATCCAAGAAACACTGGAACTAGAATGTTTTCTTCCTGTTAGTGTTTTTACTCCTCCAGTACCGGAATATCCCAACTTGGTCCATTTTGCAAAACAGAAGCTCCATATAGTCAATTTAGGTGCAGCCATGGCTTGTTCTCTTGGTTGGCTACATTAATTATACACACCCAACTTTTGGGGGATTGTTTTTCTTCGTTTGTTAGTGCTATGAACTTTCAATCCTCTAGTATTTACTTTGAAGAGTGTAAACCAGGGGTCAGCAAACTTTTTCAGCAGGGGGCCACTCCACTGTCCCTCAGACCTTGTGGGGGGCAGGACTATATTTTGAAGGGAGGGGGAATGAACGAATTCCTATGCCCTACAAATAACCCAGAGATGCATTTTAAATAAAAGGACACATTCTACTCATGTAAAAGCACCAGGCAGGTCCCACAAATAACCCAGAGATGCATTTTAAATAAAAGGACACATTCTACTCATGTAAAAACACGCTGATTCCTGGACCGTCCGCAGGCTGGATTTAGAAGGCGATTGGGCAGGATCCGGCCCCCAGACCTTAGTTTGCCTACCCACGTTGTAAACTGTTATTTCTGATGAAAATTGCCAATAAGCCACTACGGTGATGTTCAAACCACTAAAGCCATAGTCCGTCATGTAACCATTGCTGGTGTATGGTGATATAGTTAACTTCAAATTTGAAATCAAAAGTTGGCAGCCCTGAATCCAAGAGTAAGCTGCTAATGGTAAGGGGGTGTTTGTGTGTGACAAATGAGTGAAGGAGAAAAAGGTTCAAACTTCACTTTAAAGACATCATTCCTCTTTCAGAGAAATAAAACAAGGTTCATGTGGAAGCTGGTTAATTTCGTTACACTGATGGAAGCAATGTAAATACAATAGATTTCCAATGCAGCTGAAAGTTAAAACTCCCTGCAAATTGTCTCAGTGGTCTGGATGCAGTTCACTACTTTGTATTAAATGCTAAAATACTGTTTTCCTTTTAGGTAAACAGATCTTGAAAATATATGACGGGAATGATGCAGTAAAACGCAATCAGTTTCGGCTTATTACAATCCCAAGGATTACAAAAAATGAAGAAGTTGTGGTAAGAGTGCCTGTTGCGTGCTTTCTAAAATTGCATGGATTCTCAAATAGAAAAATGTTAACTGTGCTTATATATGAGGCTGATTATTTCATCTTAGCTTTATTATTAAATATTTTCTTTCAAAATAATAACGTTTGTAATAACGTTAAATACTTAGGTGTTCCTAAGGTGTTTGTAGTTCAGGTGGCATCTGATACAGTGGCTATGTGGTCTAAACCACTGAGCCTCTTTGACTTGCCAATTGGAAGGTCAGCAGTTCGAATCCGTGCAATGGGGTGAGCTCCTGTTACTCTGCCCCAGCTTCTGCCAACCTAGCATACCAGCGCAAGTAGATGTGGCGGGAAGGTAAACAGCGTTTCCGTGCGCTCTGGCTTCTGTTACAGTGCTCCGTTGCTCCAAAAGTGGTTTAGTTAGTCATGCTGGGCACATGACTCGGAAAGGTGTCTGTGGAACACTGGGTCCCTCGGCCTGGAAAGTGAAATGAGTGCCGCAACCCCATAGTCGCCTTTGACTGGATTTAACTGTCCAGGGGTCCTTTCCCCTTTTTTTACCTTGTTAATAAGAACCTGTGCAGGATCACATCTTTTCTTCTGGGAGCCTCTACCCTTTCTCTTGACTAACAATAGTTAGAGCTGCTTCTTTCTGGGATACATATACTATCTTTTAGTACCTCTTTCAGACCTACTATCTTATGCATAATAGTACTACTTACTATTGTGAGTTTTGGGAGCCGGTGTGGTGTAGTGGTTAAGAGTGGTAGTCTCGTAATCTGGTGAACCGGGTTTGCGTCTCCGCTCCTCCACATGCAGCTGCTGGGTGACCTTGGGCTAGTCACACTTCTCTGGAGTCTCTCAGCCCCACTCACCTCACAGAGTGTTTGTCGTGGGGGAGGAAGGGAAAGGAGAATGTTAGCCGCTTTGAGACTCCTTAGGGTAGTGATAAAGCGGGATATCAAATCCAAACTCCTCTTCTTCTTCTTCTTCTTCTTCTTCTTCTTCTTCTTCTTCTTCTTGATTCCCACCCCCACATTTGGGGGTCAGCAACTGCTCCCAAACCAAATCCTTACCAATGTGGAGTTCCATCAGCTACCCAGTTGCTAACGTGGAAATAAAGCAGATTAGAAAAAGTGACATGTGGTAAGCAATATTGCCATAAGGCCACATGTTCCCTTGACCTTTGCCTATCGTACTATGCCTGTCTTCAAAGACCTGCACTGATTGCCATTTGCTACCAAGCTCAATATAAGGAGTTAACACTGACATATAGAACTCTAAATAACTTAGACCTCAAATAGCCAAAGAAGCACCTCCTCCCACATTGACCTGCCCGACTGCTAAAGTCAGCAGTCGAGACCCTTTTGGTAGTGCCACCATCCTTTGTGGCTCAAGGAGTGGTGGTGCATGAGAGAGCCTTCTCTGTGATGGCCCACAGGTTGTGGAATAACTTTCCCTCTGGTGTGTCTTGTGTCAGCAGTGTGTGCTTTCTGACAATTGACAGTCGGTCAAGACGTACATCATTACCCAGGTCTTGAATTGGGTAGCTATCTTGCCTCCCTTTGTATTGCTATGCACTGCTGTCCTGCTTTTTCTTCTTTTGGTGGTTTTTATTTCAAGATTTTAAAGGTACTTACTTTAATGGTAATATTTTTTTAATCCTGGGACTATTTGGTGAAAGGAAAGCTGTGAATATAAATAATAAAATGACATATTAGGGGAACAGTTCTTCAACTGGCCACTTTAGGAAGTGGGTTGAAGGAGTCTTCCACTCCTTACTCTTGCCAAAATTGTTCCACAAGAAAATATAATTGCTGACCAGGGCTCTGTTGTTGTTGTTGTTTAGTCGTTTAATCGTGTCCGACTCTTCGTGACCCCATGGACCAGAGCACGCCAGGCACTCCTGTCTTCCACTGCCTCCCGCAGTTTAGTCAAACGCATGCTGGTAGCTTCGAGAACACTATTAGACCAGGGCTCTAATAGGTTATATTTTCATGTACATGATGGTTGCTGCTTCTCTCCATTCAAGAATATTCATACCATCTCAAAATGCTCAGCTACTTACTTTGTGTTTGTGTGTTTTGTGGTGTTGTAGGAGGCTGCACTGAGGTCATATTACATCAACGATGATCCACAAGATTATGAGCTTCAGACATTCACTCAACAGGCCTTGTTTTGTGATGACATCATTAATAGGAATGATACCACAGAAGAGACCCAGCCAGGGTCTGTATTCCGAGAAGCCGTTCCTGAAGCTTGGATCATTAGAGCCAAACCGAGAGATAATGAAGTCGTAAAAATTTACCCTGGATGGCTGAAGTAAGTGATACTTCCTTTTCTAAATTCCATATTTATGGTACAATGTCATAAATAAGAGGAGTGATGTGTAGAATGCATTTTAATAAATCTATGTTAAGGAAATGAGAGGCTGTTTTATTGGTTTTGATATATTGAACCCCCTTCTGTTTATAAATCAAAGTAGCTTCCAGAATGATTGAAGCACATCCATACAGCTATCACTTTCCTCCTATAGAGAATGTAGGCTCTGTGAGGTGGTAGTTTGTTTGTTTTTTTAAGAAAAAAAACCTTTGTAAGGTTTGTCTACACATCAAAAAGTATTAATATACCGTATTTTTCGCCCCATAGGACGCACCGCCCTATAGGACGCACCTAGTTTTTTTTTGGGGGGGAATAAAGAACCCCCCCCCCCAGGCACGGGGCTGGCGCGGGGGAAGCCCGAGCTTCGCCCGACCCCAGCCCCCAGAACAGCCTGCTATCCGCAAGCCTAGGGAGCCGTGCCGGTCTCCCCACGCTTGCAGAGAGCTGCGCGAAGCCCGGGAGTGCAGGCAGCTCTGCGCAACCCTTGGGAGCCCGGCGCGAAGTCACGCCGGTCTCCCAAGGGTTGCGCAGAACTTCCTGAAGCCTGGAGAGCGAGAGGGGTCGGTGCGCACCCACCCTCACGCTCTCCAGGCTTCAGCGAAAGCCTGCATTCGCCCCATAGGACGCACACACATTTCCCCCTCATTTTTGGAGGGGAAAAAGTGCGTCCTATAGGGCGAAAAATACGGTAACTTGAAAATTTGAATCTCTAAACTTCAGAATGAACTTAGAGCAACATTTATTTGATCGGTTTTATGGACAGAAGAGTCATGGTCATTCAGCATAATGAATAATCCTATTTTTGTGGCTGTTAAACATGTTGGCAAAGCAGTATTTCCCTGCTGATGCTCCTTAGACCCAACCCACCTTCTGTAAATTATTTCCCCTCTCTAGGATTGGAATGGCCTGTGTCTCAATACGAGTAAATAAAGAAAGCACTACCCAGATGGTTATTAAAGAAGTTCTCCCGTTACTTGGACACCAGGTAAGCAATATCAAATGTATTGTTTCATTTTCAGTTTCCCCTCTGCTTTGACTTGTATTTAACTATATGATTCAAATAAGAGTACCACAGATAGATTAAACAAACAACACAGTAAAAATTGCAAGGGAGTTCCATTGAGCAGAGACTAGACAGTTTCAAGTATTTATTTAAAACATTTATAACCTGTTCTTCATTCACACAGTTGCAGAATGAAGAACAGTACTCATGGTATTTTATTTATTTCATAATATTTATACACTGCTTGATTGTAAAAACAACACCTTAAAGCAGTTTGCAAAAAGATAAAAGAATAAAATCAAGAGAAATTTACAGTACTTGAAAACGTACAAAGGATAAAATACTAAAACAGATTCAGATATAATAAATTAATACAGTGGTACCTCAGGTTAAGAACTTAATTCGTTCTGTAGGTCTGTTCTTAACCTGAAACTGTTCTTAACCTGAAGCAGCACTTTAGCTAATGGGGCCTCCTGTTGCCGCTGCGCCACCGCTGCATGATTTCTGTTCTCATCCTGAAGCAAAGTTCTTAACCTGAGGTAATATTTCTGGGTTAGCAGCATCTGTAACCTGAAGCGTATGTAACCCGAGGTACCACTGTATTTCATTTAAATTCAGCTTAAAAACAGACAGTGTATTAATAGTATAACTAAATTAGTCAGGTGAGGGATGCTACTTTAGTCAAAAGCTTGTGGGTGGCTGGGTGGTGGGGAAGCTGCCCAAAGCTAGCTGCCCAAAGTAATTATTTTATGCAAAGCCCTCTCCTGTTAGTTAGCTTATTGGTCATTAAACTATATGCAAGAAGCCCCACCTTTTCTCCAACATGGGTAATGTTTTCATATTCTGGCAATACTGCAGTGAGTGTGGAAGTTTGTGCTTCAGAATTAATTGAACCCTTCAATTTGGTGTAGCTCTACAATGTGGGGTGGATTGCGTTAAATCAACAAGGAAAACAAATACGACTTAAATCAAGTTTATTGTTGATACTGTCTATGTTTTTCTTTAAAATGCTGCAAATTTTTTCACTAAACCATGTTTATTTACAGCTACAGTATTATTTATGTGGTTGTTTCATTATTAGTACAACTGGACCTTGCATCTGTTTGTTCCACTGTATGTTTTGCACACTTTCGTTTTTATCTGTAGGGGAAATGTCTTTGAGGTAATCCCCTATAGGGTCTTCCTTTGACAATATGTGAAGTATGGAGAATTTGATCCTCTTTTTCTCTCTAGCATCACTCTTTTCTGTTTCACTCTGCTATGGCCTTATTCCAGCCTCACAAAAAGAAAGTAGAAAACAAAAATGAAATGCCCATGAATGATAGATGGAAACAAAGTCTGCTAGTTAATGGATTTATTTTCATTGCATTTGTATTTGAGAGTGGATTGGATTGGTTCTTTTTCAATTCAAAGTAACTGTCAGAGGCATTGATTCAGTTTACAGATGAACTTGTAAGGTTTACATCCAAATTATTTAACATAAACATTTAAGATAACTTCAGGGGTTTTTTTTCAACATGTAAATACCTTTTTTATTTTTAAAGAATTTATTTTTATCCAGTCTTACACAGGGTGGATTTTTAGTATCCTGGTTCTCACCTTAATTTAAACCATAGTTTAAAATGAATGTGTGCTGTGTTTCAGAGTGCCAGGGAAGAATTGGAACAGGGGATAGCTTCCAATTACATGTGTGCCAGTACTCGTGGTTTGTTTGTCTTTTAGCAAACCATGATTGTAAGCCAAGAACTAACCTCTTTCTTAGGAAATGGACAAACCACACTACTTTCCACATTATGGAAGTCAGCCCTTCTTTGTTTTCCCCCTGACATTCTGAAAAAAGAGGTGGAAGGGGGGGGCAAGGCGCAATCTTTTGAGCAATGTGTACCAACATGCTGCTCATTCACATTAAACCCAGGGCTGAACCTTTCTGGGCTGGCAGGCAAAATTGTTTTCTCCCTCACCCCTGGCAGCCACCCACCCGACGTCACAGTGACATCAGGTGACCTTCATTGCCTCTATGGGTCTTTGGGAGCCCTTATCGAGGTGCAATTTTTTTTGTAGTGCTTTGAGTGGTGCTTCTGAAGACCTTACCATAAGCTGGTTGGTGATGGTTGCAAAGCACTACGCAGTGAGAAGGGCTTCTGAAGACACCTGCAGATGCCCCTCTCAATTAACCACTCTCAATTCCAACCTGATAATTGCCACCTGCCCAAATTTTAACTTGTCTGAATGAATTTTAAGGTGTATTTTAATTAAATGATGTCTGTTTTTATGCATATTGTGTTGTTTTTATGATGTCAGCCGCTCTGAGCCTGACCTCAGCCGGGGAGGGCGGGATACAAATAAAGAATTATTATTATTATTACTACTACTACTGCAGTGGACGCTCGGGTTGCGAATGTGATCTGTGCGGGAGGCACGTTCGCAACCCACAGCATTTGTAACCCACAGCGCCATGTCTGCACACGCGTGGGTCGCGATTCGGCGCTTCTGCGCATGAGCAAAGCGCGATTTAGTGTTTTTGTGCATGCGCGAGCGCCGAAATCCAGAAGTAACCCGTTCCGGTACTTCTGGGTTTGGCGCTTCTGCACATGAGCAAAGCGCGATTTAGCGCTTCTGCGCATGCGTGAGCGCCAAAATCTGGAAGTCACCTGTTCTGGTAGTTCCAGGTTCGGTGCAGTGCACAAGCCAAAAATGCGCAACCTGAAGCATCTGTAACCTGAGGTATGACTGTATTATTATCATCAAAGTACAGTGCCTGCATAACCCTTTTGGCTAAGCTTAATCTTACAAGCCCCACACTTGCAGGGCAGGTAGGCATGGCTTCACCAAAACAACCTAATGGGCCAAATGCAGAGGCACTTGATGGGCCCAGTTAAGACTGTGGGCTAGAGGTTCCTCATTCCTCCTGCATTAAACCATCGCTTAATTTGAAACTGTTGTTTAATGTGACAGGTAAACCAGGCTAATGTCTTAAGGTGAGACAGAACCACACCACAAAAGGAAGAAGAGAGGTCTAAAGCACAGCTTTAGTCATATTTCTTCATCTTTAATGCTGTCTAAAAACAAAAACAAAACCTTAAGGGTCTTAAAGTTAAAAGATTGTAACTTACTAGAAATCTTGATGAATTTTTTTGGCAGTTGGAAAACTTTCAGAACTTCAAACTGGTGGAGGTACTCATGGGCTCTAAGCAAGGTAAGTCACAGATAGTTCTCAGTATTACAGGATGTCACTGCAGTTTTAATGCCTGCACTTGTTATCAGAATCCTGAATGTTAAGTTCCAGCTTCAAGAGGCTGGAGATTTGGGGTTTTGTTTTTTTAATTGTTGTTTCTGGCGTTTTCACTTTCTACTTGGAAGGTTAAATTTAACTGGATAAATTAGTGTCCAGATTGGCAGTGCTTAGCGTGCTAATGAACTGCACATTTTCTAAAAAAAATTTAAAAAAGGAACCACATATGAATGGATATTTTTCTTCCCCCTTAGTTCAACGAATGGTTCTGGATGATCATGAATTGATTCTCAGCAGATTCCAAGACATAAGAAAGGTAAACAAAGAAAGAGATGAATACAGTGCCACTCTCCCATATTTCTTTATTGAATCAATGTTCTCATTTTTACATCATTACTGGATTTTATATTTAAACCAAAAACGAGAAGAAATTCAGACAAAAAGTTGCTAGCTCTTGCCAGCCACTGCTAATAGCTGCACATACCACTTTAAAATGCACCTAGTATCTCTTCAGTTCTGATTTGTGCATTCTGCTTCCTGGTGAGGCATCACATAGAAAAAGGCATCCCAGCTGTTGTAGTAACTACAATTCCTGAAGCAGCCAAAAAGCAGCTGTACCTCAAGACCTCCCGTTAGCATTCGCCTCATACCATTCTTTGGACAAGCAGAGAGCCACTGATGCTCACAACTTCAGTTCCCTGTTGGTCTGTTTCCCAGCTGAATTCCTTTTGTTTCTGTGTAAAAACAACTCTGTGGGTCTTTCTATAGCTTACCCGTTTTAGAATGTTGAGACCTGCTCTGTACTATCCCATCCCATGTCCCCCCCCCAACCTCTTTGTTTTGTTTTTTAAAAATTGAAGCAAGTATCTTCTGGCTGAGCAAAGCTTGAAAATGTGTGGGCAGAATATGTCAGAAGGCAGGGGAGGTAAAGGGGTTTTTCAGGGTCCAGCTTCTTCAGAGAACTCACCCCAACCTCAGCAAAAATGGCCAGGAAGAATTAGACATGCCTGCTTAATGGGAAAGTGGTGTGGGAAAGTGAGAACCCTTAAAATAAATATATATATATACCATATTTTTCGTTCTATAAGACATACCAGACCATAAGACGCACCTAGTGTTGGAGGAGGAAAACTGCATATTTCGAGAAGGGTACTAAAGAAGGGTATGCGTGTTTACTTGTGTCGTGTATTTTCATCATGGAATTCAGAGTTTCGTGACACGTAATCTAGAATTATTTGAGAGGTTGCTCATAACTCTGGCATTTTGATTGCCGTGCATTTAACCAGTACTCCTCAACCTTTTGCTAACATGTAGCACAAAATGAGAACAATTGCACAAGTCCAAACAAAAAGGAAGTTCTCTTACGCAGGCAGGCTTAGTGGAGTGGTCTGGTAACTGTTTTTGGTAGTTGGAGGCCAGAGTTTCTGCTTATTGGAATCTTAACCTTCTCTCTGTATGCTTTGTATTTGTAATGTGAGTTCTCGGCTGTCTTTTCCCTTTAACAGACTTCACTACGTCAGATGAATCAAACAAGATTTTACATTGTAGAAAACAATATATCAGCTACGCGGGTACATTTGTTTGTTGGTGGTCTGCCACCTCATCTCTCTACTGATGAATACACAAACATCCTCAGAGATGAATTAAGCCTCAAAAGTAAGTCGCATACCAAAACAGTTTATGTTTTCATCTCTGGCTGCTTTCAGATGATCAAATGGCTAAATGAACTGACATATGAACAATCCTCACACATCCGCTTACATCTGCTTTGCCCCTACTTCACATGAGTGAGCCCACGGTTAACCATTGTTTCTCATTATGTCAGAGCTAGGAAACTATGGTTAGTAGCTTCCAAATAAGCCAAGACATGAAGCCATGGGAGGAATTAATCATCACGCTCTTCCCATGGTTTCATCAGTGTAAGAGTTTCAGCCTCTCCAACAGAATGATCTCCCCCTGGGTTGCTGTTCTGGGGGTTCTGCAGACCCCCCCCCAAGCTGATTTGGAGGGGTTGCATGGAAAGGAGGAGAGGAGAGGAAATCCAGTTGTGTTAGTGGAACTTACTCTGGACCCAGGGTTTAAAGATAACTTACTTTTACTGGCATGCGTGGAAGCTCTCAGGGCAGTTCACAATTCAGATATCATAGGAAACTATTAGTTAACTGAAGTTTTCTGGCTTGTTTCTCTACTCACACAAAGGGAGGAGCAAAGCAGCTGTGTGTAGGTACATGAAGTTCATATCTTGCTTTATTATGATATTTAATTATCTGGGCATGCCCACTGTCAAATAAAAATCTATTTTAAATTCTGAAACACACTAAAAGGCACTCTGTCATTCTCAGTCTTGTTTTTTGAACCTTCGGTGCATTATTTTTCTTGGTGCTATGTCTTAGAAGTTGTAAAGCAGAGGCCAGTATTCAATGAAATGACTCATACATAGTCACCTGTTCTTCCCCACAGTTATTTGTACTGCCTTTTATATTTGTTCTTTCTCTGAAACAATACTCATTGGGGTTTTAAAAAATGTTATTTCTATTACTTTATATGAAAACCTGATTTGGACGTTAAAAAGTTAAAAAAGTTTTATTAATTAATTATTATTATTATTAATTGACATCCAAGGATATCATACACAATCTTAAATACACGTACAAAGAAAAGGTATAACTAATAATAATAATAGTAACAACCTTAAATAATTATACTGTTAAATATTGATTTAAAGTTGTACTTATCCATGCTCTTTTCTTATACTTTCTAACTAAACAAAAATAAACCAAAGTAAAATCCAATAAACTAAACTATGTCAAAATAGACTTCCCGTCATTTCCCGATGTAATTGACATTTACAACATTGAATGTACTTATACTTAATACCTCACTCTTAATATATTTGCTAATACTTTCTTACAACATATCGTACCATTTTTCCTTATTTAATAATGTTTAATTTACACAAGGGTCATTCAGACGCTGCCATAGATGTTATGTCGTCATTATATTTTTGTAGGTATTTCTTGAACATATCCCATTTTTACGTGAATGATTGTTTCGTATTTCCCCTTAATCTATTTGTCAATTGAGTTTTAAGTTTTAAATGAATAAGGTGAAATAAAATTTTATGTGGGCTTAAACAGATTGCATAAAAGAGCTAGAAGCCAGCGAACGCTACTGGATTGTTTATATCCAGCTTGGCTGGGCTTCTGGCAAAGGGGGAATGTGGGGGGAAGTGAAGATATGTGGGTCTGTTGCCTAGCTATTGGACATTGTGTGATGCTCAGTGCTATACAGTAACTACATGGGTCTCCTGACCACTTCATCACTTTTCAAAGATTGACCACAGAAGGAGCGATGGTTCTCCACAGAAGCTCCATTGCACGCACAGAGCTATGCTTGCATCCCTTTGGAATCCCACCCATGCAGTGTTTGCTACAACAATTTAAATTAAGATTAATAGGCATCTTAAATATGATTTGTGTTTATTACTCAAGCTAATATGTTCCATTAGCAGGATTTGGAACCAGCTTTGTTCTGCTGCGAACCAGTTGATCCTGTTTATTGTCCTGAAGCCTTTAGCTTTAAATCCATGGGCAATTGTGTTTAACATTCATGCATCTTCAAATAAACAAGACTGATCTCACAGAATGGGACAGCATTAAATTTTAAAATTTATTTTGGTAACCTATAGTTTGTTTCCACCTGGGGGGGTGGGGAATAGACATTTTAATGTTACACATAGAAAATAAGTTTTGCTTTTTCTACTTTTTCAGCAAATCTAGTTTCTGTGAGCCACGTATATTCATCTCAAGGTAAGACTATAGCGTTTTATCTTGCGTTTAACAGCTGTGCAAAAAGTGTTTGGTTATAAAGTGCACCTTTGGGTCTGTTCAAATGTTTTGCATCTCTCGCTCTTCATATTGTGAGATTGGGAGAGGTCTTTTGGCATGTCTGCTTCCTCCGAATCCCTTCAATACATGTAGTAATCTAGTGATTTTTATATTCAGGCATAAGAGGCGCATAAAAGGTAAAGGTAAAGGGGACCCCTGACAATTTGAGCCAGTCGTGGCCGACTCTGGGGTTGCGGTGCTCATCTCCCTTTATTGGCCGAGGGAGCCGGCGTACAGCTTCTGGGTCATGTAGCAAGCATGACTAAGCCGCTTCTGGTGAACCAGAGCAGCGCACGGAAACGCCGTTTACCTTCCCGCCGGAGCAGCACCTATTATCTACTTGCACTTTGACGTGCTTTCGAACTGCTAGGCTGGCAGGAGCAGGGACCGAGCAACGGGAGCTCACCCCATCGCGGGGATTCGAACCACCGACCTTCTGATCGGCAAGTCCTAGACTCTGTGGTTTAACCCACAGTGCCACCCGCGTCCCTTATAAGAGGCGCATGGTGGGACCTTATTGTCCAAGTGTTTACTTCTTTTTGTGGTAAAAAAATATAATAAAAAATACATATTATCTCCTGGATAATATTTACTGTTACATTCAAATGTGTAGTTTGTTCTTGCCACGGGTTGGAATGAATTTGGTGGCAGCTGTACAACTGAATAATCCCTGCTCCAGTTTTACTGCAAGCTACCATCATATTGCCTAGAGGTCTAGGATGTTTGGGAAGCACTCCATGACTAGAAACCAGGGCCACTCTCCTGCCCAAGCCTTGAGTAGGCTTTTCTTTCACAGGTACATAGATTTTTCTCCTGAAAACGTAAGAGTTTTGTGCTGGAATCAAATGTGCATCCCATTTACAAAGGCTATGAACATGCTACCGTATTTTTCGCTCCATAAGATGCACCTGACCATAAGACAAACCTAGTTTTTAGAGGAGGAAAGGGGCAAATCCCCGTTTTTAGGGGATCAGCTCACAGTTGTGCAGCAAGGGGACGGGGCCAGAAAGGGAGCCAGCGATTGACCACACATTTGCTTCATAAGACACACAGACTTTTCCCCTTACTTTTTAGGAGGAAAAAAGTGTGTCTTATAGAACAAAAAATACGGTACCTGGAAATATGTCAAAATGTACTTGTGAAGATGCAATTGCGCTATAACAAAAACCAAAAACACCAGCCTGGAAAAACTGAGAACAAATGTGTATTTAGAAAAAACACAGATTATGTTGAAAGGTTCTGTGTTGCATACCTTCCTATGATGCCCATTTAAATCATACCATTCATCTTGCGTAATTCCTGTTTCAGTAATCTTTTTAAGGGTGGAAGTACACTTTACCATCAACACGGTCTACTTATCTCACTTTCTCCTGTAACGTGCAAAGATACTCATGCTGTAACATAAATGTCACTATCTCCACAAGCCAATGATGTGGCACATGGGGAACAAGCAATATGAACAAGAATGCCTTCTGAGGATTTCGTCTTGGAGCCCTGTTTCATGTTTCCCTTGAACAGATTTGAAATCCCCCTACTTTTCTTGACAACCTGTTGAAAAACATAGCAATTTGTAGCACAGCTGTCCTCTCTGGAGGAAGATTAAGTGCACTATTCAAGATGCTAAGTACTTATTGTCCCCTCTTATGTTTAGCTTAGATTCTGGCCCTTTTTGAGCTCTTAGATATTGATTTGCAGCTCTTCTGACCTTAACTGCTCATGGTCAGATGGCAAATTGATCTGGAAGGTGGTGTGCTAAGCACTAAAATGTCAAAGAGTGTTCTGTCTACGTAGGAATATGGGACATTGACGTATACCAAGTCAGAGCACTGGTTCATCAGTCTCAGTGCTGTCTTCAGTGACTGGCAGTGACTCTTTAGGTCTTCAGGGGTCTCTCCCAAACCTACCTGGAGGTGCTGGGAATTGGAACAGGAGACCCTTTGATGCAAAACATGTGCTTTACCACTGAGCCGTGACCCTTTCCCATAGAAACTCCATTGGGAGAAACAGACCCTCTGTTGGGTAGAGAAGGTACCATCAAAAAGGTGTATCATAGCTGTGCTCATATTGTCAAAGAATAACTTCAATCACCCAGAGGCACCAACCTGACCAGGTTTAAGCCTCTTTAACTTTTGTGAGCTGAGTTACGTTCAGTGCACTCAATCTTCATTGGATATACCCTTTAGTGACACGATAAAGATATTGCATCATATCACTATGTGCATTTATGTGTGTATGGCCTTTAAAAAATTATTCTTGAATTAATTTGTTCTAGGTGCTGTTGTACTAGAAATTTCATGTTTTGCTGAAGCCGAAAGACTCTATATGCTAGCTAAAGACACCACTGTTAATGACAAGCCACTAACTGCAGTTGTCATCCCTGAAGTTCTGGTAAGAACAATTGGCTTCCAAGTTCTATAAGAAATTAACTAATGCTCAGACGATAAATATAGCATGTTTCATGTGTAAAGCAGAGGTTGGATGGTCATCTGTCATGTGTGATCCAGTTGAGATTCCTGCATTTCAGTGGGTTGGACTAGGTGGCCCTCAGGTTTCCTTCCAATTCTACAGTTCTATGATTCTATGAACTCCACATGAAAATAAATTAAATCCAGCCCTACTTTGCTTGGCCATTTTACTCTGGCTACGGAGGGGATGGGAGCAATTAACAAATAAGGGAATGGAGCAAAGTTTACTGCCAACAAAGGAATGTGTGGTTATAAACAAAGAACAGTCATGTTTGATTTTGTCCTTAAAATAATGAGCTATTTTTGTTCTACCTAAAAGAAAAACAGCTTTAACATTTATAATCTTGAAGGATAGTTAAAATGTGACTTAAATAACAAAGCTGTCTGTATGTTGAGAGCATAATGATGGATTAATTTACTCCACTTTAAGGTACCCTTTAAAAATGAGTCCATATCTACTTGGCTCTCTTGAAGCCTGTTGTGTGAGCTCATAAGTAATTTCTAAACTACTTTGCCAAGTTTAAGTCTCCTGAAATATGAGAACGCATTGTGGCCTCTTAAGCAAGCATTTGCGTTAGTATGGGAGCCTCTTCCCTGTGGTGAGATTTACATGCCATTCAGCAAGGTATATGGGTGTGAAAGTAGCAGGTACATGAACGAGACCAACAGCTTAGGTCTTTCTCTCCAGACAGATTTATTCACTACCTAACCTGTTGGTTGCATTATTTTTGCAGTGCCGGATTGTGCTATTGCTGGTGCTTGCATCTGGGGCCAGAACAGGTCGTTTTTTTTCTTATGAAGTGTAGGGAAAATGGCATTCTAAATATAGGCTTTGAAGATTGCATGATGAATAATGGGTGCAGTTGCATATATCTTTGATTTATAATGAAGTTTTTGGAAAGCCTCCACTCTCACTTGAAGATAAACGGCGAGAGCGACAGTTCTTGTTGTTTTTTCATCACCATTGCAGAGGCCCCTGTGCATATTATTTTAATGCAGAAATTGGATTAACATAAATAAGAGTCAGGTTACACCAGCATTCACCAACTTGTTCAGGCCAGTGGGCACGTTCGGAATTTTGAGAAAGTTTCAGAGGCACCAGTAACAAAATGACTGCCGCCAAGGTGGGACATAACACAAATTGGGTGCTGGGGAGCATATAGGACAGGCTGAACCTGTGCAAACAGGAACTGTACAGGAAGAGCAAATAATATCTCATGCATTATGATTTTTAATGGTGGTATTTACAGTGGTACCTCAGGTTACATACGCTTGAAGTTACATACGCTTCAGGTTACAGACTCCGCTAACCCAGAAATAGTACCTCGGGTTAAGAACTTTGCTTCAGGATGAGAACAGAAATCGTACTCCGGTGGCATGGCGGCAGCTGGAGGCCCCATTAGCTAAAGCGGTGTTTCAGGTTAAGAACAGTTTCAGGTTAAGAACGGACCTCCGGAACGAATTCAGTACTTAACCTGAGGCACCACTGTACTGAAATTGTTTGCAGGCATCATAGGCAGTACCGTGCTGGTATACCCTACTCTTCATCTCAGCAGCTTTGCCTTTGAGATGACTGAAGTCTCCCCCATCTACAGGCCAAGAAAATTTAAGATCACACATGGGAACAGAGGAGCTACTGGTTGATTTTCTCTGTTTATCCCTGCATGGTTCTCATTTTCTCTGAGAATTGTGAGAGTGAAGAGCAGGGAAAACTGCTGCAGGAAGAGAGATGCAAAGATAAACAGGAGTGGCTTCTTATAGTGAGCTTTTCCTTCATGGAAAGTAAAGCACGAAAGTCACACACACGTAATGCTAAGCTATAGTTTAGTAATACTAGAAGAAACTGCAGTGAGCTTTGCTCTTGCACTCCTGCCGCCTTTCTTCAGCAGCATGGCTTAAAAAGCTCTTTCTTCCATTTTAGATTGCTGTCATCTGGACCCAGAGTGTGGCTAATCTTAGCTAGGGTTAATGGAAACAAGCTAACTTCAAACCATACTGTATGAGCTATCCTGATTTAACTAACCGTAGTTAAGACAAACCATGGTTTGTGATTTGAATGACATGCTCAACTGCTGTTAACCAAAAGTGATTTTGGAAGCACTAATGTTTATGTAATCATAGTGGTTTCACATTTGTTTCACTCCACATACAATCACTAGGAAGTTGAGGCCCATTGTAATCATGCCAAGTATTCTAATGATTAAAAGGGAAGAGCTATTCTAGTGCATATAGAATATAGAAGCAGAATAATATTCCTATCTGAACTAGCTAGTTAAAAATGCTAGTCTTTTAGATTCTGGGGTTGTTTTTCAGGTGTATGTGTGTAAATTTAAACCAACAATTAAGTAACAATGAAGCAAGTACCAATGGCTGAGGATAAACGGTGGTTTATGATTGGCCATCAGACCATAATTTGAAACTATGGTCTGGAGTGGGTTAGCAAATCATGAATTGTGCTAACCGTGGTTTACATGTGATATCTGAATTTACCAACCTGTAGTTAGCACTGTTGCTCTGCCTATGGTGACCTGTGCATCTTAAGTTTTGAACAAATGGAAAACCAAAGCAGAGAACCTGTTCTAAAACATAGTTTGCCAATGTGGTCAGCAGCTCAGCATTTTTTCAGTTCCAAATTGTGGTTAGTGCAAACCATGGTGTGATGTCTGATACATCTCATGATGTATCCTGCCATTGTTGATCTGTAGGCACAAACAGATCTGGGTTTGGTTGTGTTAGGTCATTCATTCTATGCAGAATAAATCTCTCTCTGTAGCTGCCAGCTCTTATTTGCCTAAGCTAACAAAAGTTGCTTTCTTCCATTGCTGGTATGATTACCAGTTGCCTACAGAGATAGAAGCAAGCTGTCCATGTGTTTTAGCAGCTGCCTGAAACAATCAGTACCTTATCCTCAATTCCGATTATAAATTGAGGATTGTTGCAATCTTGCCTCTGTCATGAACTCAGAGTGGCACCACATTTTATGTAAGAAAACATTATTGGTGTGGGTAGGCTAAGTCTTGTTTGGAGTAAGTGGGTGCAGTAGGAACAGCATATACATACCTTTTTAAACAAGTTGTGTACACATGCCGAAGCCCCACCCCCATCATTCATCCCAGGGATATACTGTATTTTTTGCTCTATAAAACTCCCTTTTTCCCTCCTAAAAAGTAAGGGGAAATGTGTGTGCGTCTTATGGAGCGAATGCAGGCTGCGCAGCTATCCCAGAAGCCAGAACAGTAAGAGGGATCCCTGCTTTCACTGCGCAGCGATCCCTCTTGCTGTTCTGGCTTCTGGGATTCAGAATATATTTTTTCTTGTTAATCCTCCTCCAAAAACTGGGTGCGTCTTATGGTCTGGTGCGTCTTATAGAGCGAAAAATACGGTATTTAAAGAAGCAAACATATTGATTCTACTTCAAACAGAAAACATGATGGTTGCAGTTACAGTTGAAGTATGGAGCTGCCCTCTTAGTGGGCGCTGTTAGATATGCCACCACCTGATTATCTTACAAGATCTTCATGGTTTGCAAGTTAGTTGTAAGCTGCAATAATGTTTATGAACCACTTCAGACATAATAAATCAGCTGTATAGCTGTTGCTTGGTAATGTGTTTGTGGGATGCTCTCCCCAGGGAGGCTTGCCTGGAGCCTTGATTACATATCTTCAGGCGCCAAGCAAAAGTCCTTTTGTATAGCCTTTTAAACTGGAGGAGTATTGTTTGGTTTTTATTGTGTTATGTATTTTTGTGTTTTTATACTGTAAACCGCCTTGTGGTCCTCAGATGAAGAGCAGTATATACATGTAATAAATAAATGTGTAGAAGAGCTAAATTATAGTTCGCCACCTGTGTACATATTACTTCCAAAAAGTACAGAATTTGCATCATTTATATTGTAGGAAATGGTTGAGTTCCTTATTTAGCCTTAAGTGCTGAGCTCCTGCATTGCTTGCATGTACAAAAAAGAGGGGCAAAAACACCCCTGTAATCCTTAAAATTGTTTTTTTTTTAATGCAGCAGTGAAAAAACCTAAAACTGAGAATGAGGTAAAGTAGATAGTGCCCTGAGCCTCTTAGAAGCCCATGTTTTATGTTTTTCTTTTTTAGGCTTCATTAGGTATTTTTGGAATGGTGTCTGTTTGAGTACATGCGCAGCGTTGTTTAACCACTACTTTCCCCCTCTTCTAGCAAACCAACCTTCCTCAGAACTGCTGCCCATTGCTTGTATTTGTGAATCCAAAGAGTGGAGGACTTAAAGGCCGGGCTTTGCTCTACAGTTTTAGAAAACTGTTAAATCCTCATCAAGTCTTTGAACTAACGAATGGAGGACCACTGCCTGGGTAATTATTAGGTTTTGCCCAATTCAGATATCTCTATTAATGTATTATTATTATTATTATTATTATTATTATTATTATGTGTTGGGCTCCTTGCTTTCATTCTTCCACTTCCTAGTCTCGAAAGAAAATTATACTGTTCAGCTGCTGAAACTAAGCTGCTTGATCCTCAACAATGCTTAGGTGAGGAGACTATCTGAGAGCCACATGTAAGGTGCTTGGAGAAAGAATTGGGTGTATATACAATGAATGAAACCAGTAACCTTTTCCTCCCAATCAAACTGCTGTACCCATTTCCCACCTCACCGTTTCCCCTCCTTGAAGCCCCTTCCATGATATGGCATTGTGTGTGATAGAGCTGGTTTAAGAATTTGTGCTTTGGGTGCAATTCAACATTGCTCTATTACAATCGTGCCATCAGCACAAGTATTTCTCCTTGCCGGGTAGAAATGTCTGCTCCCTCCTCCCCCCATGCAGGGATGTGGAGGTTCTCCCAACCTCCCAGAACTGATTTGGGGTGGGGCATGCACAGTGGGAGGAGAGTAGGGCTGGGCGATACCTGGTTTTCAACATTGATATAGCATCAGCTAAACACCGTGAGATACTGATACAGCACGATGTCTGAAATAAGGATGGAGCTATGTAGAGGCATTGGCTGGCTTCATGGTTTCCGCCCACATAGTGATTTTTGATAGTTCAGACACACACACATCATGATTTGTGATGTATTGCCAGGTCAAAAATTGTGAAACTGATAACACAATATGGACTTCATACCGATTTTGGATAATGTATCGCCCAGCTCTAGAAGAGAGGGAGAGAAAGTCTAATTTAGCTCCTGCTAGTGCAACTGTTCAGCTGAATCCAACCCATAGTTCATTTTTACTTAAAACTGTTTTCTCACAATGTCGTCATAAAGGCATACTTGCTTTCAACATTGGCCAGCAAACAAACACAAGGGTTGGGTTTTGAAAAACTGTTTACGGTTCTTCCAAGGTCTTAGCAGCTGTCTACTGGGATTTGTTAGGGGTTTCATTTTTTCTTTGAACATAGCTGCTATGCTACGTCATATATAATTTCTGAAACCCCATGCTTTAGTAGTGGTGTAGAGCTCCTGTTTGCAGATTGCCAATCCAAAGCCTCATGGATGTGCAGGACGTCTTGTCCAGGTCTTTGGACCCCAGCCATCAGTTCCAAAAACTTTGCATTGTGGAAACTGCGCACAGCTGCAGTGTGAGTGGTAGTACAGCTGAGGATGATCACTGTCAATGCCAAAAGACTCAGTGGCATTATGTATAACCCTCGTGTCAAATAATAAACCTTTTCACCATTTCCAACAGCTTTTACTGTCAGCTAACAGAACTGTAGGGGTGGGCTTAATAAATAGCATTTCTATTTTTACATCTGGCATTTGGCAGCAGTTAAACAAATGCAACAGAAGCTCATTTGTTTGTACAGTGATGTCCCAAGTGTGAACCGAGAGTGAAAACTGCAAAGTCTAATGATCTTTCTTGTCTTTTATTGAAAATTAGAGTGAACTGTTATTATCTGACTTAAAGAGTCAATCTATTTGCCTTTTGCTGTTTGCTACATCTTTCAGTCTTAAGGTAGCAGTGGCCACTTTTATTATTTCTATGGGATTGTTTATATGAAAGCCTCCTTGGGGGGGCTAACCTTCCAAGTGTTGAAATAAATAAGTGTGTATAATGCTTTTTTTATCTAAAAAAAATCAGTTAAAATTGCTACCAGTGGTTCTTTGTTGTACTAGTAGTTGGAGTCTTTTTCACTCTCTCTTTTTAGCATTAGTCTAGCTAGGCATATTTCATATACATTTGGAAACCACTTGGTAAGTCCCATAATACTCTGGATATAAACATGTGGTCCTGCATTCAAAGAACTGCACAACTTGTTGGAAGGGAACTTTGGATCACATGAAACACATATTTTTGAGACTTAGGCTACAACCCTATATCCACTAAATAATTAGAGAGCTGAATGTGTGTTTGAATTTAACAGCATTCCTTCAAATATGTTGTGCTCACTTGTGTTTTGCTTTTTATATTGAAGGTTTCACACATTCTCTCAAATTCCATGTTTCCGAATACTGGTATGTGGTGGTGATGGCACTGTTGGTTGGGTTCTTGGCGCCTTGGAAGAGATCAGACACAAGCTTGCCTGTTCAGAGCCGTCTGTGGCTATTTTACCTTTGGGAACAGGTGAGTTTGAAACTGGATTTCAGGAACAACAATGCGAAATTGTTATTTGCACTCATGACTTCACAGATTCCCTCCTCCCCTGAAAATACTCTGGTTTGATGTTCTGGCGAGCAGAATATTTGTTAATGATGAGGTCAAGTGCAACAAAAAGTTTAAAGCATTGTAAATTTGCAAATTACATTAAAAGAAAAATGTGGCACAGAAGTAGGTAGCAGCCATGATCTGTTTTGGAGTGAGGGCTTTTGCTTTCATATAGGTTGTTAACAAAAACTTGTCCTTTTTAAAAACAGGTAATGACTTGGGGAGGGTGCTCCGCTGGGGTGCTGGATATAGTGGCGAAGATCCATACTCCATTCTGATATCTGTAGATGAAGCTGATGATGTGCTTATGGATCGCTGGACCATCCTTTTAGATGCTCAAGAGGCTATTGAAAGCGCAGAAAATGGCGTGTTAGAGCCTGAGCCTCCTAAGGTATTTTTCTCATGTTTATTTTCTTACGACCCCGCCCCTGTTACGCCCCCTTTTCTGGCTGCTTCTGGGTTGCCATGGTGTGTGTGTGTGTGTTGTTGGGTGTCAGTGGATGTGCGTGAATCGGCCGTTGCCTCTAGTTGAAGGGGTTGTGATGTGAATGTTCCGTTCTGCTTGTTGGAAATTAAAAATTCTGGACTAGGTTGTAAAATCTTACGTTTCCTATTTTATTAGATTGTGCAAATGAACAATTACTGTGGCCTTGGAATTGATGCAGAGCTGAGCCTAGGTTTTCATCATGCCAGGGAAGAGGAGCCAGACAAATTCAACAGCAGGTATGTGGGCCCTGTTCTTGTGCAGATGGATAAAACTTTCTCATTCATATTCACAGAGAAAAACATGGATGCTTATGTCTTTGACACTGCCTAAGATTATTTTGTTCTTTCTGTAACATTTTTGGCCTCTATATATAATCCCTATATATAGATATATATATTTACTTTTAAATATATATATTTACTTTCCCCTGGGGTATCAGGTACATCAATAAATGGACATTAGCTTGGAATTGTCCCATTGTGTAGGCAAAGCCTTATTTGCACTTGCATCAATATGAAACAGGTGGGTGTGGGAGCACTTTTTTGTGGCTTCCTGCCACACCCTCTCTGTGAATTGGAACCATGTAGGCAGGATCTGTAATGTGGTTTTCCCTATCTGATTTAAACCACTAGCAAGATCTGTTTACATGACTGTTCTGAAGAGCTTCTTTCTTTCACAACTGCAAACCATAATTAATCGGCCTCAGCTTAACCCATCACTGCAAAATCTGTGTGTTTTAAGATGAATTAGAATGTTGTGGACTTGCCTGGAAGTTCGGAGCACAGTTTAGGGTGTTCTGACTATTCAGTATTCCTTAATGATCAGAAGCCAAGCTGCCAGTTACATCCTTTGTTAGGGAATTTATGGGTATATGGCCTTGAAAGGCTAGGAATCTCCTTAGGAAGCATTCCTCTCATCATCCCCACTAAGGATAAATAATGGGAAACTAGGTTTGGGTGTGTACAGGAACAAAGAAACTAGTTTGAGTGAGTTTTAGAGGGGGGCAAGGGAGAGATGGATGAACTGGGAGCTGAAGAAAGGTAGGCACTATTTGGGGTTCTGGAGATCTGACGGGGCAGTGGAATTGTTGTTTGTAAGAGTGATACAAGGTGTACCTCCACCTATGCTTAAATTGTAGATTTGTAAGTAAGCACAAATATTACAGTGGTGCCTCGCAAGACGAAAATAATCCGTTCCGCGAGTCTCTTCGTCTAGCGGTTTTTTCGTCTTGCGAAGCAACCCTATTAGCGGATTAGCGCTATTAGCGGTTTAGCGGCTATTAAAGGCTTATCGGCTTAGAAAAAGGGGGGGGGAGCGAAAAAAATTGCAAGACTCGCAAGACATTTTCGTCTTGCGAAGCAAGCCCATAGGGAAATTCGTCTTGCGAAGCGCATCGAAAAACGGAAAACGCTTTCGTCTAGCGGGTTTTTCGTCTTGCGAGGCATTCGTCTTGCGGGGCACCACTGTACATAAACACCACTTTCAACATAGCTCCCTAGTAAATATTCATAGGATCAAACTGTTTTTTTCACTCTGAATTCAATTTCCTGATATTTCCATTTAAGGGTGTATTTAGCCAGGTTATGCTATGAAATAGCAGGCTACCAGGGAAGATCAGTGGTTTGTTTTGAATTGTCCCATTCTTGGGAGCTGTAGTATGTAGTTGTACATGTTGTTCAGCCTTTTTGTGTATGTGTTTTAGCTTGTGTTTTAGCTATATTCTGCACCTGAGTATTTTCTTACCTTAAAAAGAAAAAAATGAGTCTCCCTGAATACATTTTCATCTTCAATTTTTTATCAGCAAGGAAAGCAAAACCAGTGATGCAGTATGAAGCGTTCTGTTTGTGTTGAATGAAGACTTTCTTTTTCTAGGTTTCACAACAAAGGTGTCTATGTAAAAGTTGGATTGCAGAAAATGAGCCACACAAGAAATCTTCATAAAGAAATAAAGCTTCAAGTGGACCAGCATGAAGTTGAGCTTCCAAATATTGAAGGCCTTATTTTCATTAATATTCCCAGGTAGAAACCACACATATGTCTGTGCATGCGGTTTTGTCAGAGTTCTTGTCTTTTGGAGGAAAAGAATCCTGCTGTTATGGTTGCACCCTGTTCTGTATTTTAATAGCCAAAATCTCTTCAATAGGATTTTTCCATTTAGCTTCAGCTTCACTGGCACTGAAAGTATATCACAGTTGGTCAGGTGTCAGCAAGAACCGTTTGCAGAGTTGAAATACATTGATTTGAGGAGAGGCAACTATTTTGATAAAGTGTGGCCCATTTCAGAAATGTGTAAAGACACACGTTAACACAGAGAGTCTGCGCTGCTTTGTTCATTCTCTCTTCTGCCTTTGTCCATTCAGCTTGCGTTGGTTTGAAGAGCTGCCTTATATTGAGTCATACCATTGATCCTCCTAGCTCAGTAATCATTTGTTCCAGTTGGCAACAGCTTTTCATTGTTTTCCCAATTCTTTCCCTCCCCCCTTCAAACTAGAGATGCCAGCAGCCTCCTAAGTGCAAAACATGGGCTACATCACTATGTTCTTAATCCTTTAAATATAGAGTTACAGCACAAATGAATTGAACAAAACCAGTTCTACTAACGTTCTTGATGAAATAGACCCAGACAAACCTTAGATAAATCAGCATCTGTTCAAAGAGTGGTCAGATGCAAATGCATAATAAGTTTTTAAGGAGAATTGGAAGAAGGTTTTGATGAGGATTTTTTTAAAAAAAAATCTATACATTTTCTTTATATAAGAAATGTTTGTTTTCTTTCTAACGTTTCTCAGTAAATTAAAAGATAATGTATTATGGGCCTGGTGTTCTGACTCAACCTAAACTGCAGGACTAGTTTCTTACACAGTCACATTCCCCTCCAAATATACTGTATAATGATAGCACATCTCTTAAGGTCCCTATATCATGTCTAGATAGTATATGGTTCTAACCGGAAAATCTCCATTCTAGCTAAGAGGCTTGATAGACTAGCTGATACATTGCTTGCTGGTGGCGTTAGGGTTCATCAGGATATCCGTCCTCTTCTTATTTATATATCTTCATGCCAGAGCCTTTAAAGTGTTCCTAGATTAGCATAAAGTGTTTGTAGTTGGTGTAAGGTTAAAGGCTCACCTCCACTTCGTTTAGTAACTTGTGCTGTCTTCTGAAGTATCCTAAAGTGCCCTCTGCTGGCCATTAAGTCAAAAGCACAGAGTCTTCCCGAAGGTTGGTGACTTTCCTGATAATCAGAGTGCGTTGTAGATCTCTGGTCCCGATGGCAATATGAAACACTCTCTGGACAAATCATTACTCCTAGACAGAAGGGCTATGTTCACAGCTGCTTATGGTTACTTTAACTCCGTGCTTAACACATAGTTTGAGCACAACTCCAGCTTTATCTGCCACTACCAAAAGTAAAATACATATTTGCATTTTACACAGCCGAATGAGTACTATGCGTGTCACATCTTTTGCCTCCTTGTGGTCAAATTGCAACCATTCTGTTTCAGTGTGGTATGGATTTTAACATCACAGAACTAAAAAGCATCGCGTAAGTGTTTTATGTTGATGTTGACAAGCAATGAGAAGCCTGCCTTGGAGGTGGGTTGAGGGCACAAGTATGGCTTCTGAAGGAAAAATAAGTTTAGTGCATATATTAATGATTAACTGAATGAGAATGGACTCTTTTTGCTCCCCCGCCTTAGAGGTTCAAAGTGGTACCTTCCAGATGTTATTGAACTGCAGCGCCCATCATCCCAGACCATTGGTCCTTCTAGCTGGGGTGGATGGAGAAACATCTGGATGGCACCATGTTGTTGAAGGAGTTTCCCATCCCCAGCTCCATTCACTTCAGTGGGTGCATCTCCTTTCCTGCACCCTCTCTCCAGCTTTTTAATGCTATGGGTCAGGGCAGCTCACAGGGTCACTTAAGAAGTGTCAACAAAAGAAGCACAAGTGACTCTTTGCACTTCTGGACAGTAGAGGACATGGGCCTCACACTTCTGCTGTCATTGCTTCTGTAAGAAAGCATGAACTATAAGCATGAAGGTTGCTGGTCTGGGAACATATTCATGTAATTATTTTATGTTATGTTATAAAATAATTCTCCATAGGAGGATATTATGCTGCACTGATTAAAGAACAAGGTACTTGCTTTTGAAAAAAATGTTACTTACAGTTCTTTTGTATTCTGTCCAGCTGGGGTTCTGGTGCCGATCTTTGGGGGTCTGATAACGATAATCGGTTTGAAAAACCAAGAATTGACGATGGCTTACTAGAAGTGGTTGGTGTCACTGGAGTTGTTCACATGGTAAGTCTAGTGTTAAATGCCATTGCATTCGGCTAAATCAAACAGAACCATTAGCGCCTTATGTCTAAAATTATCTTCCTTTGACTCATAAAGGCAATGTGATGCCAATCGTAACAATATTTTCACCCCATTTGACTTGACATGGGATGCCTTAAGTCATAAATGAAATTTAAATTGATATATAAATGAGAGTTGTAAAAATAAACTGTATTGGTGATCAAAGTACAGTGCAACCTTGGTTCTCAAACTTAATCCATTCCGGAAGTCCGTTCGACTCCTGAAATGTTTGAAAACCAAGGCATGGCTTCTGATTGGCACAGGCGCCCTGGAAACAATAGCCAACAGCTGCATCAGATGTTTGGCTTCCAGAAAACATTCAAAACCTGGAACACTTACTTCCGGGTTTTCGGCATTCGGGAGCCAATTTGTTCATCAACTAAGCCATTTGAGGACCAAGGTTCCACTGTATTCTCTTACCATTCCCCCCCCCCCCCCAATAAATACATTCTCTGGTCACAATTCTGGGAATGTTTCATGTGAAGAAAAACTTAGGAAAGATTTCCAGAATTGTAAATATCTAGTACACTCGTGCTATAAGTTTGATCAGTACTTTATCTTGTAAAACAAGTTTGTGGTTTCTCTTTACATTGATATTTGATTTTGAAAGGACCGTTCTGATTGTTCTTCATAGGGTCAAGTCCAGGGGGGTCTACGTTCGGGCATCCGAATAGCCCAGGGCTCCTACTTCCGCTTGACGCTTCTGAAGCCAATCCCAGTACAAGTTGATGGAGAGCCCTGGATCCAGCCACCAGGCCAGATCATTATTTCTACAGCAGGACCAAAGGTATTGATAAACATTTTATGTTGGGAATGTTATAGAGATAAGGCATTAAAATGCATACACCCTATACATACAGACCAGGGCAGCCCAACTTTTCATACCAAGTGGGCTGCACACTGCCTTGCCAAGTGGAGAGTGAGGGAGGCTAATATTTGTGTCCGTCCCCCCCAACCTTTGCACTGCCTTCCCAAAGCTGGCTAAGCAAGGTGCCGGGCTTTAAGGAGGAGGCGCAAGATTTTAGCAGGGTCCTATAGCCCTCCTGGGACATGGGTAACGCTGTGGGTTAAACCACAGAGTCTAGGACTTGCTGATCACAAGGTCGGCGGTCCGAATCCCCGCGACAGGGTGAGCTCCCGCTGCTCGGTCCCTGCTCCTGCCAATCTAGCAGTTCGAAAGCACATCAAAGTGCAAGTAGATAAATAGGTACCGCTCCAGCGGGAAGGTAAACGGCCTTTCCGTGTGCTGCTCTGGTTCGCCAGAAGCAGCTTAGTCATGCTGGCCACATGACCCGGAAGCTGTACTCCGGCTCCCTCGGCCGATAAAGTGAGATGAGCGCCGCAACCCCAGAGTCGGCCACACCTGGACCTAAAGGTCAGGGGTCCCTTTACCTTACAGTCCTCCCACCTCCTTCCCAAAGCTGGGAAAATTCTAACTAGGCTTTGGGAAGGAGACACGGACTCTAGGACCCTGTCACAACCCTCACACTTCCTTTCTAAAGCCTAGTGCCTCACTTAGTTGGCTTTTGGAAGGTGGCACGAGGGCTGGGTGTGTTTGTGTCAAATGTTTCTGTACTTGGGTCATGCATTGGACCACCCTACTATGGACCATAAATATTCAGAACAATCTTTCAGATCATTCCAGCTCAGACATAATCCATGTTGGCTTGTTAAGCTGCATGAGCTTTGTGCCTGCAGCCCCATTCTCCCTCCCTACCTTCTTGGCATGCTGTGACGGAAGTCTTCCTGGCTTAATTTACCATAGTTTCCTATTACATCTGAACCAGAATCAGAACAAACCAGGATCCAAAACTAATTTCAGGCATGGTTTTAAATTGTGGTTTCTTCCAATTCTGGCCATTACAATTTTCCATTAAGTTAATTTACCCAGGAAGTTTTTATTGTTAGCCTGCCAGAAAGGGCTGACTGGTGCAAGCATAATGCTCTTGCACATTTCAGCTTGTAGAATTGATGTTGCATCCAAAATGGGCAATGTCTAAGGTAGGGTTGGCTAACCCACAGCCCAGATCCAGTTCACCAAGGTGCACTGCGTTATCTCTTGAGAAAGATGGATGGATTAAAAATAAGTAACATCTGTGCTATGGGGGTGTTTTCTTAGCATGTACGCTCTGAAATGTTGAAAGAGTCCATGTCAATTAAACGCCCACCTTTAAATCTCAACTCTAGTCTACTCTAGCAGCCTTTTGTTATGTATTTTACCAATACCTGTAGATGGGAAAGAAGAAAATGGGGTGTAAAGCTGCTCGTTGACATTAAGAAAAAATTCTTTCGAATAAGGATGTATTTCAAGAAAGGTTGTGTTGTGGTGATTGTTTTTAACATATTTCTTTCAGGTTCATATGTTAAAGAAATCGAAACAGAAACAGAAAAAATCAGGAAATTTAAAGGACTCAAGATCTGAGAGCATGATGGTCAATGAAGTGGGACGCTGATGGAAAATGATATCCACAGAACAAATGCAGCGCACCTACTATAGATGAGATGGATCTGCCTGTTGTAAAACTGTATTTGTACAGTTCCAAGTTAAGAATTGGTTGCACAAGAGCCTGTTGTAATTATATTTCCATGTTTGTTGTACAGTGCCTATCCTGTAGCCGACATGAGATTTAGTTTATGCATCTCATGTTGGTCGGAGAAGTTCGCATTAGGTAGCCTTTCCATAAACCATTAACCAGTTTTTGCTTCATGCCCGTAGCCAATAGAGCAGAGATCCCATTATGCCGTGCTCTTTATATACTACGTTTTCCTCACCTTATTCTCCCTGGGAGTCACTTATTTTTATAAAATAAGTTTTTAACCCTTAAAAAAACACCTCAAACCTACTTAAAGAGTTTTAAAGCTACCCCGGCATTCCCCAAGAGGGAAACATGGTGAAGGGATAAAATTGTCACTTTTGTGATGTTGCTGATTACTTGTGCAATAATGCTTTAAGTAGGATTGGGAGCAAATGGATATCATTCCAGCGGCACAATCCCATTTTCTGCTGCACTAGGTGTGCTGCCACCATGCCAAGGTTCACTACAACGTTCCTGGTAGATTCCAGTTAAAGGAGGCTCTTCCAAACTGCATATAAAAGAGATCCAGCAGCTCCTTCCCAAGTCTGCAAAGCACAAATTACTCAACACTCCCTTGATTGGAAAGATGCACTCAGCAGAGAGCTGGCAGGCTTGGCTGAATGCAATGGGGATCACTTCCCGCATGCATAGCTCTGTATGGATTGTGCCTCGGATATTTAGCTACTTTTTTTATTTGCCTGCATGAACACTTCCACACTACTCAATGGCTGTACATGTAATGGTAAACAACGTCTTATCATCCAGACCAGGGATTGTGGTTCTCAGTTTCAAACCTAGCCAGCTGCAAACCATGATTCTGCTTGTTATATGAACCAGTTTTGTTTTAAGCCACGATCCCTTGTCCAGAAAGGCAAGACTGGCTGACATTCAGGAAAAGGAAAACTAAACTCTGGTGAAGTTCTTCTTCTGGTGTTTTGGGAGAAGAGGAAGCACAATAACTCTTGTGGCTCCTTCCTACATGTATGCATAGTGGTAAACGATGGCTTAATGTGTGAACATAGCCAGTGAACCCTAAAAACCTAATATAATTTTATCTATTTTTATACTGCACAATCTTTTTCTATACACTACAAGCTTCTGGTTTTCTCCATTTCTCTCTCTCTCTCTCTCTCTCTCTCTCTCTGTGTGTGTGTGTGTATGTTTCTTTTTTATAGTTCAGGTCCCTATATTGAGATTTTTCTTACTTCATTCCCTAAATTCTAATTTCATTCCCTAAATTATTATTCTAATTTCGTTCCCTAAATTATTTTAACATACAAAGAGACTATGAATGGCAAACCAATAATCAGTAAATATGGCACAATTTAGTAAACAAATCAGCATTCATTTATGTTAAGTATTGATACACTAAGTTGAAATATGCCTTAGTTTCTTCTCTATTGATGAACTGGTCTACATGTATGTTTGTCTTTAAAGTGTGTCTTATGTGACTAGATCTAGATGCGGCTGTACTGATTGTGCAGATAGAAATGCTACATAGAAAGGTCCTTGCTTATAACTCGGGAATCATTCCCTGCTCTATAAATACATTGACCATACAAGGAAAAGTTAATGCAGACTCTGTTCAGACAAAAGGCTAAGCCATGGTTTGTGGTTACGTGAACAAGCTGCATCAAGTCCCAGACTTGCACTCTCCCCCACTTCCTTCTCCAGTATTATCATGAGGAGATTAGAAGCTTCTACTTCAGCTTTGATTAATTGTAACTTGTTGTTATATCTGAACCTGGACAAACTATGGTTTATGAGTTATGAAGCTGGCATGTTTCAGTAAACCGTAGTTGAAATTGACCACCATTTAGAGCTTAGGCATGATGTGAAACTAGTTAATCCAAAATGGAAGTAAAGGCTTCCGATCGTCTCACAACTATGCTACACTTCATTCCTGTAATGATAAAACCATCATTTATCATTTCAGGGATCAGCCACTGCATGGATACGAGGAGATAAATCATAGTTTTTCATTGTGTCCAAATGAAGATAGTATCTTTCTGTGGATGCTAATCGCAGAAGGAAGATTAAGCAAGATAGCTGGTGACTGTAGCATTGTTTCTGATAATACCAATACAAGCTGTATTTAATTATGGAGAGAATATCATTACTCCTGAATGCAGAAGCAGTAGCAATACCCTCAAACAGGGTCAAAATCCTATAGATGCAACATTGCGTCTTTCAGATGCTTTTGCAACAAATAAGCTTAGGCTGCCTTTGTCCATCTGGAAGCAGCCTGAGAGGGCTGTGGTAGCCGCAGTACTGCACTCGTCATCTATTCTAATACCCCATTTCGTATGTAGTTAATGAGAACATATCAAGCTTTTGTGCACAACTATGGCTTTTTTGAAAACGGTGGCATGCACAGCATCAGGAAAGCAGTGAAGGTGAGCAACTCCTTTCCCACTCCACCAGGCATTCATGCCTGGGACACTTTGCAACCTAAAGGAACTGCAAGTTGCTCTGGTTTGCAGCAGGTATTCCTATGAGCAGCTGTCTCATTGCATGCGTAATTGCTGCAGAACAACTCTTCCTACACAACAGGAATGTCTGCTGGAGCACTGTCATTTTGACGCGGCAGTCACCGCTGCAAGAGTCTCCTGGGAGAAGGGTGGCGTCGGGACTGGACCCACCCAGTGAGACTCCGCGCATTGCCAGTGCTTTATCTGCACAAAGCTTCCAGTGTTGCTTGTGGGTCCATTTCTGATTTGCACTATGTTTACACAAAGGCTCTCTTCATGCACTGTGCGCCGCACAGCAAAAACAAAACAAAACACTGTGGCTTCTTTGTTACATGTATTTGTCTTCCAGATTGTTAGAGCACGTTGCAGTTTAAACGTACTTCCACACCAACCAGAGTTTAGCTGGGGAATGCTGCATATTTTGTAGACCTTCTTGTAACATTGGCAGGTGCTTTCTTTGCAAAAACTCTGAGCTTTGATACACAGATGAATGTGAATAGACCTTTAAGACCTTTTCATCTTGTTCGATCCTTCTAGGTATAAAATATTGTGCAGGTAGAATAGAAGTATTCAAGGGGGCTTTGAACTCATTTTTCTTGAATGGCAACTACCCCCATGAAATACTACTTTAAAACGAAAGGGAGTTTCATTTCGGATGATGCAGTTTGTTATATGGCTGGGGAGGGACCATCAAATTTCACTGAATATGCTCAAAGCCTTGAGCTATCTCACAGTACCTCTTTGGTTACCAAGCCCTGTATTTAGTTATTTATAGTTTCTCCCTGAAAGCATAAACTGCTCTTACCTTGGTTTATCATATTGTTGATTTTCACTGCTCGTTAGTGAAATTGCACAGTGCAATATGCTATTTATGAAGAGTGTATGTTTCCCCAAATAAATCCCTTAGATTGTGATATAAATGGCGGTAGCATGCTATGAATTTGTTGGCAGAAAGTAGCTGCAGCAAGTGACTGGTTCTTGTCATGCACAAATATTGTGCAATTTAGTACTGGTTTGCACAGCTGCTTGGCTAGAGTAAAGTTGTGCGCTACGAGAAGTACATCTCCAGCACAAAGTCTAAGTACAACCCAAGAGAGATTACTTTGAAGTCAAGTGGCAGCTTGTTTTGTCTTTGGTCCAACTCAACCCTTCATATGTGAGCTATGTGCCCCAGAACAAGCTAAAGCTGGCACACCAAGCAGTGCTTGTGCATCTGGTTTTTGTGTTTGGGAACTAGAACTTGTTGTTTGCATTACAGTTTCTCCACTTCATGTGAACTAAGGAACAATGTCTCATTAGGGGTCTGGGGGAGATGTATTGTGAGACAGCTCATCGAGCACAGCAAAGAGTGCTCTTCCCTGCAAAACTGCAGAAACTGCAGAAACTTGCAGTTCCTCCCTCTTCCTTGCATTAACTATGGCTTTGCATAACCGTGGTTTGTGATGGTGCACAGTAAACGCAGAGGTAATCCTGGTTTGCAAGCACACTTCAGCTTCTAGTCTACAAGGGAACCATGGCTGGTTTGACACAAATGTAAGGCAACCAAAGTGAAATCCAGGAAGACAGTGGAGGAAGGGGGGGGACAGTTTTTAGGAGAGAGCACATGCTTCTGATTTGTGAACCATGGTTTGCATGAAACTAGCATTTAATCTGTATTGGAGTCAGGAGTCAGGATTGTGGCTAATTAACACATTGTTTTTGTATGTGATGCACAGGTCCACACTCAGGTGTGCAGAAATGTGGAGTTTCTAAAATCGATGTGTGTGTACCATTATATACATTATGAAGTAAATGCATGGTCCATCTTTCCAGGACAAAAACCCCCTATCACCACTGGCGCAGCTTTTCTCACTGTACAAAGTGCTCATCTTCATGTCCAAGCTTAGGTCAGCATTGACAAAAATGTAGTGCTGTAATCTGTCTTCAGGCGGGGATCTTTGAAATCAACTGCATTATTGATTTCAGCCAATACTCTTTTTTAAAAACAAAAACACAGGACCTGCATCCATTGTTTACATGCTACCTTTGTTTTGCACTTGTAATTGTAAGAGAAATTGCATTATATTTGGTATAGCTTAATACAAAGCCCTTTTTGTACAAGTGCATTTTAGGATTGAGGTCGTGTCTGAAGTACACCACAGGAAATTCAGTTTTGTAATCCCAGTATATTCATTTATGCCTATTTAACTACCCCCTCCCTCCCTCCCTCCCCCACACCTCCTGTTGCCCACTCAGAGATTCAGGAGAGGAATATAGCAGGCTACTAATAAATTAACTGAAAGTTCACTTTTAAGCTCAGATATAAACTGCGTGTTAAAGATTTGTAAAGTAAAACCCTATACAGACATTCTGTCCGACGGACAGTGTTAGCTTTCAGCACTTGTATTGGACCAATGCACACACAGCTCAATGTAGCACATTGTGCTCTCCAATTTTGTGGTATACAGATCTTGTAGCTTGGGTGTTTGCAGATTGAGTTCTGTCTTTTTGAAAATGTGACATTGGGGCAGCACACTGGATCTACTGTGCATTGGATCAAATGTGTACAAAGGTCCTTTCTCTTCTTGAGCTGAGCAGAACTTAAGTCATTCCCAAACCTCTTATGTAAATTTAGCCCTGTTCAGTTCCATAGGAACAAATTACTGTGATGATTCTGTCTGCCCTTTATCTGCAGCCACACTGAGCTGAAGCACTACATCCAAAAAACATGTTATGTTAAAGATCCATAGCCAGATATTCTAACAGTTGTGTAAGATTCAGAGCAGCTAGTCTCCCCCAAATTGGGTCTGCGTGGCGCTAGAGAAGGTAGAGTTATATTATTGCTTGCAATGTTTCCTCACTTGAAATTTGTCCCAAAGCTGCTCTGGGTCATGTTGGGGGAACGCCTTTCGATGCTCCCCCATGGGAGCTTTGGGAGGTGATTATGAGTGAGGAAACAAAATAGGGATTTAAAAACAACCAACCTCATTGCTTAGATCCAGTTCTCAATCACATGCGGCTGCAAAGCCTTTGTCTGTCTGTCTGTATTAAGTTAGGGAGGTCTTCCAACAAAACGTGTAGCTGAAATCCATGTACTTCAGACTGACTAGGTTGTGAATTGGGTTATACTGGAACATGTGCTGCATTCGTTATGGTTTTAACTTCCTATAGTTCTGCGTTGAATGTAAAGCGAATCTTTGCATTGCTTACAGTAGCATAATTTAATGCAGTTAGGTTAGCAAATTTAATGTTTACAAGATGGTGACTGTTGATTGTAAGCTTCCATATCGATGCACTGCTTCCACTGGAAGGCTTGTCAGTCTACTTGCTTAATGGTATTAATTGCCTTTCTTGACACAACCTCTTAAGTAGAACCCTTCAAAAGCTGTGGGCGGTTTTTAGTTAAAAAAAAAATTCTTTTGAAGACCAGGATGAGGAAAGTTTGTGTTGACACAAATATTGAATTAGAATATTTTTAAGAAGGTTTATATTTTCTGAAGATAATTTATAAGGAAGGTTTTCTATGCAATTATAGTAGCGTTGATGTAAATGATAATTCAGATATTCATTCTGTAAACAACTAAGAGCCTGTTTTCAGGGTTCTGCCCCTCCCCATCAGACTTAATAAAAAGTATGTTTATAGGTCCCTTTAATGCTGCATTTTCTTGTAACATTTCAGTACATGCCAAACTTCATACACAAATATGGCTTCCAAAGCAGGGAATTTTAATTTCCCATGTACTTGCAATTGTATATGACAAGCACACATGCCTATTTCCCTGTGTAAAACACACATGATTGGATGGAAACCCTAATCTGGGACAGTTGAGGTCCAGAGACATACTAAAATACATGTGTGTCGATCACAGTGGTTGCATGTGCTAACTGTGTGCATTATTTCCTATATGGAAAGTGAAATTTGGTTTGTATAAAGCTGGTCCTTTTCAGCAGGGAATGCTTTGTGCAGTGTTATGAGGTGGATTGCATGAATCATTTTATGTAAATCATGCTTGGTCCTTCTTGCATATCTACAGTTGAGAGAACTTGGAACAGCTGCTTAGCTTTAAATTTCCATATATGTCTGTATTGAGCTGTGCTCATTCTTCTCAGTCAGTGATTTTCAAACTGGCCCAGCCTGGTAAAAGTTTCAGAGTTGTATCGTACAAATAATGAATGTGCCCTAGAACACCCCATAAAAGAATTGCACTGCACAATTACTTGTGGCGGGCAAGCTGTCTTTCAGGGGAGCTTGTTCACCATTGTGTATTATCTCACCAAAGAGAATCTCTGATCAGCTTGCAAGGAATCTTAGGTTTAACCTCCACAGCACAGTTTGAAGACCACGGCTATGAGTATAATGTGCAAATTCTTTGTGTTTGGTCACCTCTTGATGATCCTGTTTCTTTAATTTTTCAATAATTTGTTTAAACCAGATTGTTCTGATGTGGCCTTCTTAGAATTTATTCACTTTCTGCCAATTCTGGCCAAATCTATACAAACAAAGGACAGAAACAATTTTGTGCTTTTAGAGCCCGTGACTGCTCTGTTTCCAATAATAGCAACAGTATATATAATGTGTTAGAAATGAGCTGAGAGAAACTTAATTTGGCAAATGTTAAATGCAAAAATTAGTATCTGTTGTAAGTCGTTCTGCTCATTTCTTCATAACTAAGGGAAGATGTCTAGATACATTCTTCCTCTTGTTCGATAAAGGCTAAATAGGAACTATAATCTAGTGGAACTGCAAACTTCAGGCCACATCTACACTACAAATACATCAATTTTATTCCAGTGCGGTTGGGTATTAGAAGTCTAAATATATGCTGTGCACATATGTTCAGTGCTGTGGCTCATCTTGAACTGTAAAACATTTACTCATTTTGGTAGTAGATACAGTGGTTCTCATACTCTGGAGTTACCCCCTTTTCCTCTTTGGTGATGGGGGGGGGAGTTGCAGGGAGGTTATTAGGCCCAGCTGTGGAAAAGCCAGACACATTTTTGTCTTGGCAGCAGAGACTTTGCTTTGCAGCCACTCAAACTACCTTTGCTAACCCTGCAAGCTGTAGATAAGAGATCTTCTGGCCACTGAGCTTCCCTCCTTCCTGCTTCCTCCTATGGAAGACCTGGATTGGGAGAGAGATGGAGGTGCCGTGTTGGACTTCTCTAATGCTGGCGTTGAATTAATGGCTCAGTCCACAGATCCCACAGGGTGCTGAATACATGTCCTGATGTGTGAGAGGTTGTGTTTGCTCACCAGCCAAAGAGATGGCTTTGAAAGTGCAGTAAACTTAGAAGTGGGCCTGGGTTTTAAAAAATCAATCTGAGAAACACTGTGTGAGAAAGTTTGAGACCCATTTAAATAAGCTGAGCAAAGTTTAGTAGTGAATAGCTTTAAAAGCACCCCTGATTATGCCACAATGCAAAATTTACCACCTGCAATAGTTTGCCTATTGTGTAGTTCTTGCTCTTTGCAATCTGTGTGCTTAATAATTCGCTCAAGAGTAATTGTAAAATTATAACCGTTAGGTGAACCGTTTCCACATTGTGTGCCTAAACAGAAGCTAGAAATGCACATCATATTTGTTTACTTGTTCTTCTGTCTTAAACAGGGTTTTTATTGTGTACTAGTTTCTAGAGGTCTGCCTTGTAAACCCCTTCTTCTTGCCTTTGAATGATCAGTCCTGACACGCAATGACTGTAAAAGAATTATTTATATGGTGTGCTCTTTCTTTTTTATTTAAATATCAGTTTGTCTTCAGAGTATATACTATATTCGTAGAGAGATTCTGTGTATATTTTTGCTACGTATTTGTGTTTGGTTTCATTTTGATTGTATGTATATTTTTGCACTGATTTGAAATTCTGTATCGATTGCTTTGTGAGTATTGACCATCTGATTAGAATTTGTCTGTGACAAATATAACTGCTAATTTCTGTTGAGCCCTGAATAAACTGGCCCTGTTGTGTTTTGTGGCAACAAGAAGGCTTGTGCACGCCTTGGGGCACTTGGAGTGTGTAAGAAACTGTTCCAGCTTAGTCCACAAATAACTAGCATCGCTACGTGTAAGCAGGTGAATGTGTCTCTGTTCCCTATGGTGTAATAACTTGATAACGTCAGTTTATTTGCCAGGTTGTCTGTAAGGGAGACTTTGCACATCTCTCACACCCATTCTGTACCCCCCTGTGCTGGTCCTGGGGGCTACCGAGAGGCGAGGTCTGAGTCCAGTTCGAGGTCGATGGTGCGGTATGGAGGCTGTCCGTCAAAGCTGAAGTGGGGTCCAAGGCGGGGAGTTGGGTGGGGTCAGGAACTCTGGCAGAAGAGAAGGACAGAGTGCAGGCAGGAACAGGCTACCAACAACGTTGCTCCCGCAACCTGGGACTGGGGCTGGCTGGCTTTTATCTGCCCCAAGGCATAGGGCAGCCCCGATCCTCTGGTGACTCGCCTCTCCTGTCCTGGAGGCGAGCACTCCTCCTGTGGGAACTTAGTTCCCTCCGCCTCTCTGCTCTGAGCCTCAGCAGCTCAGGAGAGGCTGGAGGGTTACTGGACCCAGAGGCAACCTCAGCTTCCCCTGACGGGGCTGAGAGTGGAGCACCTGCAGGCAATGGGTCCTCCATCACCTCTGGAGCCAGAGCAGACTCAGCTGGTGCCTGCACCTGAGGATCCAGCACAGGTGAGGACCCTTCAGGCTCAGGCCCCAGCCCCGGCTCAGCTGGTTCTGGAGGCGGGGACTCCTGTGCAGGCTGGGATTCCTCAGGTTCAGCCTCTGAGTCCGAATCCCAGGCCATCACCCCCCCCCCTAAAAAATCAACACTACAAAGTTACTAAGCATATTCAGCCTTCATAGGGTGGGGGTCCCTCCTCGCATTTCCCCCCCTAAAGATTTTGCATCCTTTCGCAAATTTCTCCAGAGTCTGCTGGTACTTCCTTCTTGTGCACGGTTGATGTTTTCTTCGTTATATAAGCAATGCCACTCACATCCTCACCGTCAGAAACACAATTTATTTAATTTAAACATTTATAGATCACTTTTCAAACAAAGTTTCATCAAAAGGAAATATGCTGTTGCCCAACAATGGGAGATGCTGAAAATGAAGAGTTGCAGAACATTTGCATTCCCTCCTTTTTTCGCATAATTCAGGTTGGTATAAATATGCTTATTCCATTGAATTGCCCTTGGAGTGTAACACACTGGAAGAATCAAAATAGCCACTCTTAGTGAGTCTCAGACACTTACACATTTCCGCACCATCACTAAGGATTAAATTGTCTTTTAATGGGGGTAGACTCTTCTTGCATTCTGTCTTGAAAAAGACACTCTCCAACTGCTGCAGGGAATTTGGGCTGTACTTGTGAGAAGTTTCCTGTTAAGATAACCATCATCTTTTGCTCCAGTCAGTTCCCAAAGACTTATAACTTACTGTGCAACTGTGGCACTTGGGGTCTCAAAAGTCTTAAACTTTTCTCGAGGCACTTGGGTTAGTCCAGATTTCAACTAGAAGCAGTTCATTTTTCTGCCGTTACTGCAACATCCTCTTCTGATTTGTTGACTGAGAAGTCGTGAGATACTTCTGCAAAGATCCTCTTGTAATTAGTGTGAAAGGCAGCCACAAAGAAACATGCAGCCAGGCTGCAGATTCCAGCCATCATTAGTGTTGAAGCTGTGATGAGAAAGAGAGGACATTTCTACAGATGTATTGAGAATGAAACCCAGCAGCTTAAAAATATATGAGAATTACAAGATCAGTTTAGGAACGCCAGCTGCAATCCTGAGCCTACTTACCTGGGAGTAACTGCTAGGATTGCACAGTAAGGTAGGTCAGCATCAGTAACTATAGACCAGCTACCAAAACTTATTCGTTAATTTCCGTTCATATTGAAAATTCAATCTTAAATCTACTAGAATGTATAGCCAACTAAAATCAGCCATTATGCACTTTGAAGAAAATGTATAACTGAGTAGAAAAACAATGGCATAATGAACTATAGCAAAGATGTAATGGTTTTTTTAAAAAGGAAAGGTAAAGGACCCCTGGATGATCTAAGTCCAGTCAAATTCAACTATGGGGCATGGCACTCATCTCTGCTTTCAGGCTGAGGGAGGCAGCATTTGTCCACGGGCAGCTTTTCCAGGTCCTGAGCCAGAGTGCATGGAAACACCATTTAGCTTCTCGCCGCAGTGGTGCCTATTTATCTACTTGCAGTGGTATGCTTTTGAACTGCTGGGTTGGCAGGAGCTGGGACAGAGCAACGGGAGCTCACTCACATCACGGGGATTCAAACCGCCGACCTTCCGATCGGCAAGCCCAAGAGGCTCCGTGGTTCAGACCACAGCGCCACCTGCGTCCCTAGATGTTATGGAGAATGCACTCTCACAGCATTGCGAGACAAAATCCCTGTTGCTGTTATGCAGAGACGAAAAGAGAGGAGGGCCTCAAAATACATAAAAGACCTTAAGAGCAACTAAAATAACTGCATCTCAAAAATCACAAGAAAATCACACAGTGTAAACCCAGGGTGGGGAACCCTTTTCGGTCCGAGACCTTGTTGACAATCTGGTGGGTGAGCGACAAACTCTCCTTGCCATCTGGGCAGGAAAGAGGTTATCAGAGTTCAAGGTCACACTTTTGTCAGTCAAAAGCAAGTATAGTGAAGCAAGGCTGCTGGGGTATGTGTCCAGGGGCGAGTCTTGAGGGCCGGATAGAGAGGCCCTTGGCTGGAGGTTCCTCCAGCCTAAGAAGCTGGGGGACTCCTTGTTTGCAGAACTTTAGTACCCACACCAAGGCAGGGAAGGGAGCAGGTCAGGGAAAGAGACCTCTACTGCCATTGCTGTGCCTCAACCAACTGCTTCCCCGCCCCCTTGCAGCTGATATTCACCCCTGAAGGAAACCTCCACAGGTGTGTGTGTATGTGAGAAGAGAGAGGATATATTTATAATACGTGAAATAAATACGTAACAAAAACTTACTTGACCAGTCTAGTGCTTTGCCGATGGCTGAGGTGCAAGTAGAAAATGGAGCATCTTTCTTTTCCACAGCTAGGCTTTGCAGCAAAAGCATGAGCACAACACCTAGAAGTTGGCTGTGGAAACAAAAACAGTCCACCATGCAGGTCTCCTTTTCATGGTTATGTCACACACACACACACACACACACACACACACACACACACACCCATGTCCAAGACTGGCTCTTTTTTATGTGCACGGGGGAGGGGGGGAATATATTGTCTGTAACAGTCAAGATTCACTTTTATGTCTAGAGCAGACATTTTGGGTGGTACTCCATGCTAGTCCTGCGCAGACTAGACCCGCTGAAGGGAATGGGCGTGACTTAGAATCATAGGGTGGTAGTGTTGGGAGGGTCCCACGGGTCATCTAGTCCAACCCCCTGCCATGCAGGAATAAAGGGAAGGAGCACCGCAAGAGAGGAGCTCAAAACCATTCCCGCTTCTTTGAGAGAAGGGGCAACACCAGAGGATTCAAGAATGTTCCGCTTCGATGTTCTGTTTCTGCAGTCTGAAAAGCCTTGAAATGATTAGAAGCTTAAACTTTGGTTCGAGCGGCTGATTCCCCCATGTATGGAGAGCCCTGTTTTTTTTAAAAAGTGAGTTAAATAATTTCAGTGGCTCGGCTCTGGGGAGGATTTGGCTGAATTGCCACCCTCTGTGTACAGTGGTATCTCAGTTTTCGAATGTAATCCATTCCAGAAGTGGATTACAGAAGACCAAATTCTGAAACATTTGAAAACTGAAGCATGCATTTCGGGAAGCATTTAAGTCCGGAAAACTCAAAATGGAAGCTGCATGGCATGTTCGGCTTCCAAAAAGCTTCCCAAAACCAGAGCAGTTACGTCCTGGTTTTTGGCGTTCGAAAGCCGTAACATTCAACTTCTGACACGATCGAAAACCGAGGTGCCAGTATACTTTGAGTAGATGCCCCATCAAGTCTTGGTAGGAGATATGCCAGCCAGCCAGATACAACCGTACTATGGCGATTCTCCTCCCCATCCAGCGTCCTCTACTATTTCTGAGTCCAGTGATGGCCCTACAGGAAAGCTGTCTGAAGCTTTCCCTCACTTCACATCCTGTACTTGCCATGTGGTTCCCCTTGCCCATATATGGGCAATTGCATCACAGGAAACGCTGCTGCAAACTTGCCAGCCATGCAAAGGAACAGGTGCTGAGGACGTTTGGAAATCGGCTAGCTCTGAAGGAGCCAATGCTAATTCAGCCTCCTGCGGAAAGGGAGCTTTCCCAGCCGCCTTCCCAACTGCTACCTAACCAGTCTGTTTTCTTGAAACCGGCATTACTTGAATGAAGTCGTGTGTTGCAGCGTTATCTGTGCATTGAAACCATTGGAAGCCCAGCATCCTGTTGATACAGCCCTGCCGCTCTGGAAAAGGTGTCTCAATGGCACATAATCGCCAATACCTGCATGCGCACGAAGCCCCTCTCACAATAAGCCCATAGAGCATAGAATCATGGAGGTGGAGGGAAACCTGGAGGAAACAATGCACAAGGCATGATTTGCAATGCAGGATGCAACCACAGCATCCCTGAAAGATGGCTATCTGGCCTCTGCAGCGAAGGTGAGTCTCTCATCTCCCAAGGCAGCCAGTTCCACTGTTAGAACGTTTCTCCTTAATGATTAGCCAGAATCGGTCTCCTTGCAATTTCCACCCACTGGTTCTGGTCCTGACCTCTGGAGCAAGAGAGATGGAGTCTGCTCCACCTTCGGACTGAAAAGACCTCCAGAGATCTGAAGACTGTGGCCACGTCTTCCCTGACTTGGAAGTAATTAGTGATGTTCAGGGTCGGGGAACCTTTTGCAGAACGGGGACCAAATTGTCATCTGGGCAGCCACCTGGGGGAGCACATGCCAGAAGCAAGAGTAGGTGGAACAAGGAATTGTACCGTTGGCTAATTTCTACACACACACATTCTTTATTCAGGCAACCAAGAGGTATTATGAGAGTTCAGAGGCACATTTCAGCCAGGCATAAACCCTCAAAAGTAGGACTGAAGAGAGTGTGATGTCATGGAATGGCTGGATGCAGACGAGCGGTGGGAGACCCCAACTGGGGAACCCCCAGGGAAGAAGGTTCAGAGCCAGGGGGAGTGGTGGTGCAATGACAACGAGCAGTCAGAGGGAGCAGACTGGGAGAAGGTGGTGTCGGAAGCTGAAGAGGCAACAGGGTTTAGTGAGCAGGAAGAGGCTGTGGCAGAGAGCAGTTCAGAATCAGAGGCAGGAGAGGAGCGGGGCCAGGAGACACGAGATGAGGCAGGCTGCTGAAGAAGCCAGGGAGCCTCCCCCTCCTGTGGCAGCCAGCTCCCTCCCCCTGGTCTCCCAGTACATGGAGAGGAATGAAGAGGGCGGAGCAAAGAGAGACAAGAAGGCAGAGCTTTAGGAAGCAGGGGAGGAGCCTTAGAGAGCTGCCTCATTGGGGCAAGACTACTGGGAAGAGTTGCTGTGACCACTAGGCCTGCGTTGTTTTGGTTTCTGTGAATAAAGAGTTCGCTGACACTGGGTGTTTTATTGCTGACCTGCCCAATTCCAGCTCCTGGCAGTGGCTTGGGGAGAATCCCATGGGCCACACAAGAAAGACCTGGACAGCTGCAACTGACGCCTGGGTCTGAGTTTTCCCTTCCCTGCTCCAGTTCTTCTTTAACCTTGGCCTGGCAAGCTTTTGGAAAGAATCTGTATATTACCACTACAACTATGCAGCGCATAGTACAGAAGAAATCAGGTGTCCTGATTCTGCTACTTACCTGATCACAAAAATCAGCCCTGACGAGGATCCTTCCCCCACGGGATAAGAACATTCGACCGCTAGTTCCATAGCGACAGGATAGATAGCAAATCCAAAGAACCCGAAGAGTGAGCTGATGGTTGCCAAAGCATAGGTCTGGTTTCTCAGCTGAGACACCTGCATGAAGAGAGTCTAAATTGAGTACCGACAAGGCTGCAGAGCCGACTTTCAGCAATTCAGCTCCATCATGGGGTGCGCCCCCAACAATGTCAATTTAAGAGACCTAGCGTTAATGGCATTTACCACTGCAAATCCAATGCTAGCCAGCGCAGCTAGACAGAGAAAGACCTTGGTAGCTTCTGTGAATTTCTTTGTCCGGTCAACGTACAGCCCAAGGCAGAAGGCCCCGATGAGTCCGGACACAATGAACAAGGCGCCGCTCAGACCTGCAAAGAACTGTAAATGAGGGATTGATTAGATGATATGGCAGACTCCAGCGAAGAGCAAACCCATTGAAACCAGGGAGTGGAGTTGGAGAAAGTAGATCCACAACTGCAAGGACTTCCACAACTGTGCAAGGACTTCCACTCCCATCCTGCTCCTCCCCCCAAACCCTTCCCAAACCTTCTCCAGAACGTTGAGGAGCCCCAAAAGCAGATAGGGGAGATGCACATAGGGGAGAGGAGAAGGCAAGGAAAAGCCATCGCGCAGCCAAAAGACCTTGCACTAGCAGATCCACTTTGTTGGGAGACCCATAGCAGTGCCCATAGATTTCAATGAGCCTACTTTGATGGCGATTTAGTTGGCGTCAACCCAATAATTACGGCTCCTAAGAATAAGGTGCAGCATATTTCCCTCGCCCCACCCTGTCTCCCTTCACTGGAAAGCAATCAAGAGTCTTCTGATCTGGTTGTTAATTATATCGTACCAGACAAGATGGCGCTACACAGGGTCTCTGTAATGAAGGGATCCAAATTGCTTCATTTTAAAGCACAGAAAATAAAACTACATTTTTTATTTGCTTGACATTTATCCAACTAACATTAGTTTTAGTTGTAATTTTTCAAAGAAGCTGAATTACCAATATTTGTAATGATAGCATACTGAAGGCTAGAAATGAAGGCAATTTCCCCCCCGAACTCACAGTACCAGGCAGATCCTGTATTTACTTGAACCAAAGGATCTCCCCGGATCACTTATTACATTTTGTCCATTTACTTAGTACTTTTGTCCATTTACTGTATTTATTTTTCCCAATTTGAACTAGAAAATGGTGATTTTCTTGAGTCAAAATGAGAGTACCCCTAAGCATGTTTTGTGTTTTTTTTAGAAAAAAAGCACTGGGTGAAAGATTCCTGCATTGCAGGGGGTTGGACTAGATGACCCCCCGGGGTCCCTTCCAACTCTACAAAGCTGTGATTCTGTGAACCCAATGTTCACTCCCTGGCATCTCCAGGAATAGCTGGGAAAGTCCTCTGCCTGAAACCTGGACAGCAGTTACCAGTCAGTGTGCAGACAGTGCAGAGCTAATCTGGCTTGGTCTAAGGCAGAGTCTTCTATTCCTATTGTGGAAGGACTACAGTTCCGTGGGACAGCATCTGCTTAACATCCAGGTTCAATGGCTGGAGTATCCAGGTAGGGGAGGCAGCGCTGGTGAAAACCTCCCTGCAGAGTTTCACAAAAAAACGCCCCACCCCAGCCGCCACGGTCTCTGCACATCTCCCCGCTTCTCCCTGTGATAGGCTGAAGCTGAATTCCTGCAGTCCCCTCCCAGATTGTCTTCTGGATCTCCCGTCTCCACCTGCCCTCCCTTGAGCTTGCAAGACAACAAAAAGCCACAGATGAAATCTGGAGCAACTTACATTTGAATATCCATTGACACACAGGATCTGTTCCAACAGAGCACTGAAGCAGGTGAATATTGCTATCCCTGTCGCGAAGGAAAGGGCCAGGATGATGTAAGCTGTATTTCGCAGGAGCTAAAAACGGAAGACAAGGCACGAGTTGTCAGGGGGGGAAACAGCAGATCGGTCACCAGCAAGCTGGTATACACATTTATACAGAGTCTGCTAAAACTTGCAACTTGTTTTCCAGTGTAACTGACAGGTCTGCTGGAAACCTTAGACTTTTGTCAAACGAGAGATACGTTCAGATAGCTTGGGATAGAGACTGGGTAGGCAAACTAAGGCCCGGGGACTGGATCCAGCCGAATCGCCTTCTAAATCCGGCCCGTAGACTGTCCGGGAATCAGTGTGTTTTTACATGAGTAGAATGTGTCCTTTTATTTAAAATGCGTCTCTGGGTTATTTGTGGGGCATAGGAATTCGTTGATTCCCCACAAAAAATATAGTCTGGTCCCCCACAAGGTCTGAGGGACAGTGGACCGGCCCCCTGCTGATGGATGGGGGCGGGCATAGGCATAGCCAGGATTTTTGTTGGGGGGGCAGAACCTCAGATTTGTACAGTCATACCTCGGGTTGAATATGCTTCGGGATGAGAGCGTTCAAGTTGTGCTCTGCAGCAACCCGGAAGTAACGGAGCGCGTTACGTCCGGGTTTCGCCGCTTGCGCATGCACAGACGCTCAAACTGACGTCACGCGCATGCACAGAAGCGCCAAAATGTGACCTGCGCACGCGCAGACACGGGCTACGTTTGCTTCTAGATGCGAACGGGGCTCCAGAACGGATCCTGTTCGCATTTAGAGGTACCACTGTATTGATTTTTACTTATTTGGGGGACAGCTGCCCCCTTGGCTACGCCCATGAAAGGAAACAAGGTCGGAAGTGGACCATGGTCAGAAAAAGACTGGGAAACACTGATCTAATATGACACAACAGTTTCTTTCTTTCTGTCCTATAGAGGCACGTAGCATTCGTTGTACCTTTATCTGAGTTAATAATTCTGCTTTGCTTGCAACATACCATCTTCAAGCCCCTGAAGAATGATGGCGAATTGGAGTGGCTAGCGCTTGCTGACGGCGGTGTTGGTGGGACCTTGTCACGAACGCCCAATGTGGCTAAGGCACAGGCGAAGACAGCAGGCCCTGCGTACACTCCAAGCTGTAGAAAGCAGGAGGAGGAGGAAAAATGGCTTAACTCATCTGCCAAGGATATGTAAGCGGTGCAGAATACTAAAATTGATTAGCTTTCATTTACCATTAAAGGGATATCTTTTCCTCCCTGTACAAGCGCAGGTGACAGCAAGTTAGCGATGAGAATGCCCAAGGGATTGGCTAAATGGAAATTAAAGAGAGAGAGAGAGAAATATGTGACTTTTCCCTCCGAAGCAGCTGAAATATAATGCTGAGCATTTAAAAAGCAAGCCAGCTGACTGGAAAGCAAAAAGAGAGGCCACACGCCTGTACAGGATTAGAACTCAGAACCCCTTTCGTTGGGAGGCTTCTCAGATGTGTGATTTGAGGGCTGCTCCTCCAAAGATATCCCTATGGTGATACCAGGTATTTTGGGCCCTCTTCTTCAAGACCCCTTAAAGACACTAATAAATCGCAGGTGAAGAAGTTTCTGAACTGTATCACTTCAGATAGTGCTTGGGGGAATGGCTTTCCATAGGAAAAAAATCCATTCACACAGAAAACTAGGATGATGGGGGAAGAATTCTAGCCCAGCTTCCTTCCTGACATGATAATTTTCTATGTGGGAGATACAGAGATGCTTAACGGCTCCTTTTTGGAACGTTTCGGTTCCTGAATGCTGAAAACCCAGATGTAAATGCTCCAGTTTTCGAACGTTTTTCGGAAGCCGAACATCCAACGCGGCTTCTGCTTGAGTGCAGGAAGCTCTTGCAGCCAATTGGAAGCCACGCCTCGGTTGTAGAAAATTTCAGAAGCTGAACGGGCTTCTGGAACGGATTACATTCGACAACCGAGGTTTGACTGTATTGCTTTCTCCTTTCTTGAATGGTTCCATGCAGTCATGTTTCCAGACTGACTGCTATTCCTGTCAGGGAGGTCCCCAGTCCTCTGAGGGAGCAGGTGAGGAGCTGGGGGCACTTCTGAATCCATTACTGTTGATTTGAAGTTCAAGTGGCCATGTTGCCACAGAGTACCTTCCATCAGCTTCAGCCGGAGGGCCAACTCTGCCACAGCCTAACTTCGGTTGTCTACGCTCTGGTAACCTCTGGGTTGGACTACTGCAATACATTATATGTGGGGCTGCCTTTGGAGACGGTTTGGAAACTGCAGCCGGTGCGGAATTTGGTGGCGAGTCTGACGATCAGGGCAGTGTGGTCTGAGCATTTAACACTGATTCTGGCTCGACCTGCCCTGGCCCAGTTACTTACACATGGAGGCAATCATATTGGCTGTGGCCCTTTGGTGTTCTGGGAACCATAAGGCTGCCAGTTTGGTGGGTGAAAAAATGATGAGCGGCTGGGCCGTGCCACAGAGGCACTGTCCCACAAGCAGGTACACAAAGTTGAGGGAGCCCAGATCCAGGAAATCGAGGATGCTGAAAATCCGAATGACACTTCCCATCATGTTCAGCCAGGCGCAGAGTATCACCTGCAGTAGAAGAAACCATGTCACCAACACTGATTTCAAGCAGCCATCCATGAGAACGGAATGAATTTCAACAATTGAAATTCCAGAACTACCGTATTTTTCGGCCTATAAGACGCACATTTTCCCCTCCAAAAATTAAGGGGAAATGTGTGTGTGTCCTATGGAGCGAATGCAGGCTCCTTGGCTTCAGTGATAGCAATGTGAAGCCTCTGAAGCACAGAGGGAGTGCTCCCTCCACGCTCTGGAGGCTTCGTGTTGCTTTCGCCGAAGCCTGGAGAGCAAGGGGGTTGGTGCGCACCGACCCCTCTCGCTCTCCAGGCTTCAGGGATAGCCGCCTAAACCCTCCGGAGCGCAGCAGGAACTCGCGCTGCGCTCCGGAGGCTTCGGGTTGCTATCGCTGAAGCCAAGGAGACTTTGGGTTCCTCTTGCTGAAGCCGGGAGAGCAAGACTCCTGGCTTCAGCAGAGAGGGAGAGCTGCGCAGCGCCCCTTCAGCGAAGCGGGAGGAGAAATGGAAGGGGCTCCGTTTCTCCTGCCGCTTCGCTGAAGGGGCGCTGAGCAGAGAGGGGGAGATTTTTTTTTTCTTGTTCTCCCCCTCTAAAACAAGGTGCGTCCTATGGTCGGGTGCGTCCTATAGAGCGAAAAATACGGTATTTCATTTCCCTACATTTCTTTTCCGACAGGCAGATGGCTATAAGGCTGGCAGTGCGTTGAGAGTGAGGGTAGTAGCACAGCGGCTGGATGACCTGAATTGTGTACCTGGGCATCCTTCAGTTCAAAGTTCATCCAGTTCATTGCTGGCCTTTGGGAAAGCGCTAGAGGGCTTTGTACCAATGATCCCCAGATGGTGGAAATGTTGGGCACAATCCTGACTCCTAGGCACCTTCCCTTAGTCACAAGTGGTTGAAAGCCAGGTACAGAACATACCTGGCACCTGGTTAATCTTGAACACTGGCCAGAAGGCGTGGGAGTGGGAACAGAGAGAAAATTCACCTTTGTGCAACTACCTAGTTTCTACACAGACGCAAAGTCCTCTCTGTCTGGGCTAGCAAGAGGCCCTATCAGAGTACAAGGGCACATTCCAGCCAGGCAAAACCACTCGAGGGAAGGTGAGAGGGAGGGCTGGGGAGAGCTGCAAGAGCCTGAGAGAGACCTGGAAGGCTGACTTTGGCCCCCAGGCCTGTAGTTCCCCACCCCAAATCTAAAGCACACCCTGTGCTCTCCTGTGATTGTGTCTTCTGCAAGACGTCAGCAGCAGGGGCAGTCGTACCTAGGCTCCCTTGCACCCTTGTAGACCAGTATGAAGTAAGCAGCACATAAGCGCCACACAAAACACTACCAAATCATTCTACGTTCTAAATCTTAGCCAGGCTAAGCGAATAAAAATAAAATAAAAAGCTTAGTGAATGAATAAATGCTTAAGTCAAGAAAGAACTTAGCATATGAAGTTGAAGGTATGTAAAAACACCAAAATGTTGAGGGAGAATTTCCTGAAGAAATTAAATATTGTAGCTTAAGCCAAGAAGGAATGTAACATATGGACTGAAGGAACTTTAAAGACTGAATCTTCCTTTTGGACACAATTTGAATGAGTTTTCTGTTTGTGGCTTTTGTAGTAGATCTTGTACCTTGTTCTCTCAGTTTTTGGATTATTAATATAAGATTTAGAACATAGAATGATTTGTATTGTTTTTTGTGCTGCTTATGTGCGGCTTACCTCACACTGGTCTACAACGAGAATTAGCAGCATGGGTTCATTTCTTCAGTCCCTTGCACCCTTGGCAAGGAGCTCAGGAGATCCCTTGCAGAGAGCGCTATTTTTCTAGAAAAAGAGGTGCCAGAACTCACTGTGAACGCCTCCCTTGTTCTCTTATAATGGCAATGGCGCCCACCTGAGAGGTGCTGGAATTGAGTTCCTGGGAGTTCCGGCTGGAAAAAAGCCCTTGTCAGAGGAGACTGCAGCAGAGGATCCAGCCTGGGGAGGGTGGGCTCCTAGCCACTCCTAACCCCCAGGGAGAGGCACATTTTTTGTGTCCCTGCCAACCTGCCCAACCCCAAGGTAGGCCCTCCCATCAGATGTCAAAGAAATAAACAACTACAGTGGTACCTTCAGGTTACAGACTCTGCTAACCCAGAAATAGAACGTCGGGTTAAGAACTTTGCTTCAGGATGAGAACAGAAATCACGCAGTGGCAGCAGGAGGCTCCATTAGCTAAAGTGGTGCTTCCGGTTAAGAACAGTTTCAGGTTAAGAACGGACCTCCAGAACAAATTAAGTACTTAACCCGAGGTACCACTGTATCTGACTTTTAGAAGACATCTGAAGGCAACCCTGTTTAGGGAAGTTTTTAATGTCTGATCGTGTTTTTAATATTCTGTTGGGAGCCACCCAGAGTGACTGGAGAAACCCAGTCAGATGGGTGGGGTATAAATAATAAATATATTATTATTATTATTATTATTATTAGCCCCTGAGCAGGGGCAAGCAGAAGCCTGTTGACCATCTGTGATCTTCTAAGAAAGAAATCTGCAGTAGATTTCCAGGCAAGTTCCCAGGTTACTGCTCAAAAACTGCCGCTTCGCGCCAGTCTCCATTTCAACTTACGGCACATTTCAGCCCGACGGTGTCCAGAATCCATATTGCTATGAGCCCGACTGGAACGGATATCACGAGGTACACGAGGGACAGCCAGTTGACCATATCCATGGAGGTGTTAAACCGTTCTGCTGTTTTATCAGCCACTGGAGCGAACGTCAACCATAGCTGCAGATGGAGGGGGAACGAGGTTACAGCGTAACGACACAAAACCTGCAGGTAGTTATGTTTAGGGCGCCATCTGTGAGTAGCACTGTCTAGACACAATCAGCTAGCTCATGGGTAGGTAAACTAAGGCCCAGGGGCCGGATCCGGCCCAATCACCTTCTAAATCCGGCCTGTGGACAGTCCGGGAATCAGCGTGTTTTTACATGAGTAGAATGTGACCTTTTATTTAAAATGCATCTCTGGGTTATTTGTGGGGCATAGGAATTTGTTCTCCTCCCCACCTCACAAAAATATAGTCCGGCCCCCCACAAAGTCTGAGGGACAGTGGACCAGCCCCCTGCTGAAAAATTTGCTGACCCCTGAGGTAGAGAGACAGGAAGCCTGGATTGCGCAGGGCCAGGCAGGATTTCCTTTAAGATCTTACAGAGCGGGGCAATGTCACCACATGTTGCTAGACCTGAAGGTGACTTAAAGCATCCTGCTGAAGAACGAAAGACAAATCCAGGCAAACCATTTAGAACATGAGCAGCTCAATGTTCCGAGTGGATTTGTATTTTAGCTGGGAAGGTTCCAGGCAATTAATGCGATCTCAAATTAGTGTTTGGCTGGGGCTCCGGAGACTGATGCAAGACACATCTCTAGGCAAAAGGCAAATTATTTATTTATATTGATCTATCTACCCATCCATTTGCATCCTGCTTTTACGTTTTTCTTGTGTGCCCTGCCATACGGGCATATTTCCACAGGCAGGTGTCACGTAAGTCCCACATGATGACTCAGAAAAAGGGAGAATGAAAAAGGTTACATCCTCCCCTCACCCATGAAATTCAGTACACATGTATTCTAAGACACCTTTGATTTCTAGAAAAATCTGCAAACGAGGCATTTGGACGTCTCTTCGCAAACTGAGCGAGGAAGCAAAGCATCATATGCTAAGAGCAAAATCATTACCAAATTAGAGGATAGTATCAGAACGTTAGTATAGTAAAAGCTATGGTTTTCCCATTAGTGATGTATAGAAGTGAAAGCTGGACCATAAAGAAGGCTGATCGCCGAATAATTGATGATGCTTTTGAATTATGGTGCTGGAGGAGACTCTTGAGAGTCCCATGGACTGCAAGAAGATCAAAGCTCTCCAGTCTGAAGGAAATCAGCCCTGAATGCTCACTGGAAGGACAGATCCTGAAGCTGAGGCTCCAAGACTTTGGCCACGTCATGAGAAGAGAAGACTCCCTGGAAAAGACCCTGATGTTGGGAAAGATGGAGGGCACAAGGAGAAGGGGACGACAGAGGACGAGATGGTTGGACAGTGTTCTCGAAGCTACCAGCATGAGTTTGACCAAACTGCGGGAGGCAGTGGAAGGCAGGAGGGCCTGGCGTGCTCTGGTCCATGGGGTCATCAAGAGGCGGACACGACTAAACGACTAAACAACAACAACAATCAGAACGTTCAGGAGAACCTGCAAGTTAGCGTAAGTACAGCAAAACCTTTTTTAAAAAAGCAGAAACAAAACCGTACGGAAGGCCAATGAACCTGCAAAACTTCCAAATGGGCACAGAATGCTGTTATTTGAGAGGCAAACTATTCGGGGGGTTCTCTTGACCCTCCAAGCCATTTGGGGGGGTGCAGGGGGGAAACCCCATTCCGCTAGTGGGAGTCCTTAGTTGAAACCCACGCAGGGAGCTGAAGTATTTGGTATTTTGATTTATTTACTTTTTAATGCATTCGCAAACAGCCTAAGCATTTGCATTCCTAAGCACTGTACACAAAACTACCCATACATAGAAGAAAACACTCTTGTCTAGCAGATTTGGGATGAAGTACCTCAACAGTTATTTTAAATTATTATTATTATTTATTGAACTTATATACCGCCCTATACCCAGAGGTCTCAGGGCGGTTCACAGAACGAAGAAATCACATACTTTCTTCTGACCCTAAGTGCTCAGAAAAATCTGTCAAAATCTTCAGTCATTTGAAAACTAGGAAGTTAAATTAAAAGAGTTAACATCAACCTTTTCTGTGGTAAACAAGTATATTTTGCAAAATTGCAAAGAACACCTGCGATGTTCCATTCAAGGTCAGCTTGCAGCCTTTCTTGAAGAGACATCCTCGCTTGTCAAATTGTCAAGAGCAAAGAACTCTGAACTGAAATTGCCTCAGGAAATTAAACTAATGAAGCCTTAACGCTATCAAAGAGGTTCTCCCACAAATTGACAGAGCCTGCCAAGCTAATTATAAGTGGAATATGGTAATCCCAGAGTGAAGGACGCAGAACTCAGGAGCAGGTAAGCAATGTGCAGAGATGGCGAAAGAATATGCAGAGCTGAAGATGCAGACTATGCATTTTTATGAGAATTATAATGTCTAAGATACAAAATAAATGTACCAAGCAAACACATACATAAATATGTAAACTGCATGTCTGAAGCAGTACAGGGGTACCTCGGGTTAAGTACTTAATTCGTTCCGGAGGTCCGTTCTTAACCTGAAACTGTTCTTAACCTGAAACACCACTTTAGCTAATGGGGCCTCCCGCTGCTGCCGCGCCGCCGGAGCACGATTTCTGTTCTCATCCTGAAGCAAAGTTCTTAACCTGAAGCACTATTTCTGGGTTAGCCAAGTCTGTAACCTGAAGCGTCTGTAACCCAAGGTACCACTGTATAGGAAAAAAGTCCTGAAACCATTTTGTCTCTCCCAAATTGACCTCAAATGTTTCTCTGCAAGGAGGGAGGAGATGAGAAAAACCTCCTCATTGTCTCTTTGCTCACAAATCCTGCCTCAAGGGCACATTTAAGATATAGCCTGTGACCTGGACTCAGGCATTAAGTACAGTAGTACCTTGGGTTACATATGCTTCAGGTTACAGATGCTTCAGGTTACAGACTCCACTAACCCAGATATAGTGCTTCGGGTTAAGAACTTTGCTTCAGGATGAGAACAGAAATCGTGCTCTGGCGGCGCGGCGGCAGCAGGAGGCCCCATTAGCTAAAGTGATGCTTCAAGTTAAGAACAGTTTCAGGTTAAGTACGGACCTCCGGAAAGAATTAAGTACTTAACCTGAGGTACCACTGTATTTATCATCACAAAAGAATAGCCTGGCTAGCCAGGTAAAAACCCATCAACAGGTTTCATGTCAGACAGGATTCTGTTGTAGACCGCCCCTTCTGTGATGTATGTATGATGTTTTGGGGGGTGGTCTTGGGCTCCAGGGTGGGCAATTTCAAAATGTCTATATAAGGGCTTGCACACCATTGTTCAGGGTCCCTCCTGCCTCCAGCGTGTGGTTGTGAGCACCCTGTTGCAACAGATCAATAAAGATCAGGCTTACTAGCTGCTTTGCTTCTCAATATTCTCTGGTTGGCCTCTGTTATTTTCTCCTTCTGATAGAGAACCTACAAAAGGACTCTATATGGGCTCTTTGGGTACCCCATAAGGGAAAAGGAGCAGTTTTTTCATATAGCACATTAATAAAAGAGTGCTCTTTCTCTTACATGCACATGCACACAAAAAGCAGCATGGAAAAACAATAGCCATCTTCTGTTATTAGAGATGGGAAACCTTTTATAGCCAGAGGGTCACACGTACTTCTGGGCAACCCATGCTAGGCGTGGGCAAGGCCAGAGGCAAAAAAGGATGAGAGCATTCAATTTTATTTTATTTTATTTTACCTTTGTGCAATAGGCCTGTTTCTACAGACACACACATGCTCCTCTCTAGCCTCTGTCCAGGCAAACAAGCAACATTATTGGAGTGCAAGGACACATTTCAGCCAGGAGAAAACTATCAAGGGCAGTGCAGAAAAGGGACTGTAAAAGCTGTGTCCAGGGTGTGTGATACCTGGGGAGAGTCCCTGAGGACCAGATTCAGACCTCTGGCCTGACATCCCTCATCCTTGTTCTAAGATGCTGGATCCAAACCACCGTTAAAGACCCACAAGCGTCTTGGTGGTTCTCCCTCCCAGTTTTGCGCTCCTAGGAGTCCCTCCCCATGCTTTGTAGTGTGGGAGGTTTGTACCCTGGATGATGCACTGACTGCCTTGTTCCGTTCTGTCTGAATTAGCCCAGATGTGTGGGAGAAAACCGGTGGCCTCAAGAGAGCTGGAAGAAGGCTCTGAACAGATGCCTGCAGTAGCTGTCAAAATGAGTAGCTGCTACAGGCACCCGTTCATTTTTGTCACCTCACTGATTTTAACAGAGTTGGCCCACACATCGAGTTGAGGGTCATCAAGTGATGCACGTCAATGTGCAACATGGCCACTAGTCCACATCAGTCCTGTTGTTTAGTGCATCTTGTATCGCTGGTTGTTTACAACATAACAGAAAGCAGATTAGTTTAACTGGAAACAAACCCGGACGACTCCTTTTGCTTACAGAAACTTTAGCCTTTTTCTGGGTCACAATGAAAACAAAGGAGAGGTTAAGTGTGGCGAATAGGTTAATTGTCCAATTAGGCAATTAAGCCATGAGTAAAGTAGTCCAGAGTGTAACACAATTTTTGGAGTATGTATGACTAAAGGTAATAAGGAACAGAAGTACCTCGGCAGGCAATAAAAACTAAGAACTCTGCTGCAGATAAAGTCTGCTGTTCTTCTCATTGAAACACGACCAGTATCAGGGTCAGGAAGTTTTGCCGCCTGAAGCAAAACAGAAGATGCTGCTCCTGCCTCCTTCGTTGCAGCCCCTGCCCCACGACTGCCACCATCTCTTCCTCTGTAGCTCCACAGCCCTACATCCTTTTCCTCCGCAACCCTTTCCCTCCGCAACATGCGCTGGAGGTGGCAGGAGAGTAAGAGGAAACTGGAGAAGAGACAGCAGTAGCAGGTGCCTGAGGTGGAGGCCAGATCTGTCGCCTGAGGCAACTGCCTCACCTCACTTCATGGGCCGGGCGGCCCTGACTGATATCCTGGAAAGAAGCCAGTTTGGAACACCTCTAATCATCACTCGGCGTGTTTGTTGGGCCTGCTCTTTCATTATCCAGCACCAAGGGCCTTCTGGCGGTTCCCTCATTGCGAGAAGTAAGGTTACAGGGAACCAGACAGAGGGCCTTCTCAGTAGTGGCGCCTGCCCTGTGGAACGCCCTCCCAGTAGATGTCAAGGCAATAAACAACTATTTTACTTTTAAAAGACAACTGAAGGCAGCCCTCTTTAGGGAAGTTTTTAATGTCTGATGCTGTACTGTTTTTAATATTCAGTTGGAAGCCGCCCAGAGTGGCTGGGGAAACCCAGCCAGATGGGCGGGGTATAAATAATAAATTATTATTATTATTATTATTATTATTATTATTATTATTATCTGAACTTCTCATTATCTTTATCATCGTTGCCTTTTCATTACTGCTTCTCCACGGCTCCACCACACTCTGAGCTCAAACCAGCACTCTGTTTCTCAGCATACATATCCCTCAACCAACCAGCACAGGCAGGAAGTACAGTGGTACCTCGGGTTAAGAACTTAATTCATTCTGGAGGTCCGTTCTTAACCTGAAACTGATCTTAACCTGAGGTACCACTTTAGCTAATGGGGCCTCCCGCTGCAGCACGATTTCTGTTCTCATCCTGAAGCAAAGTTCTTAACCCGAGGTAATATTTCTGGGTTAGTGGAGTCTGTAACCTGAAGCGTTTGTAACCTGAGGTACCACTGCGCAGAGTTTGGAGAATTTCTAAGGAGGGAGACTGACTTTCGACAGTGCTTCGATGACGTCAACTGCTAGCTCCAGAGGGTAAAGGACCCCTGGATGGTTAAGTCCAGTCAAAGGCAACTATGGGGTTGTGGCACTCATCTCGCTTTCAGGCCAAGAGAGCCAGCGTTTGTCCACAGACAGCTTTTCGAGTCATGTGGTCAGCTTCTGGCGCAACGAAACACCATGACGGAAACCAGAGCACACAGAAGCGCCATTTACCTTCCCGCCACAACGGTACCTATTTATCTACTTGCACTGGCATGCTTTTGAATGACTACGTTGGCAAGAGCTGGGATAGAGCAACGGGAGCTTACTCCATCACAGGGAATTGAACCACCGACCTTCCAATCGGCAAGCCCAAGAGGCTCTGTGGTTTGTCCCACAACTTTGCCTTACCTTTACTCTGCTGTAGCAACCTTCAGCAAAGAGACTTGTGGTCCCTTAAAAACAAACAGATTTATTGCGACATAAGCTTTCACATGTGCTGTTGTTTGCACAGCAAGGAGAAAGGCCGGGCGGTGCTAGAGATAGCTGCTAGTGTGTCATGGTACTATGGGAAGCATAAATGAAGAAAGAATTAACATAGGAGCCATTCATGGCAGGTACAACCCGTTCCTGACTAGAAGTCGGTGTTCTCTTGGCCTCAATTTGTTAAAAAAACAAGCAAAAGCCGAGCTGGTTGGAGAAGTAGACAGTTGGCATGAGGCTCTTCTTTTAAACCTATGGCTTACCGTATTTTTTGCTCTATAAGACTCACTTTTTCCCTCCTAAAAAGTAAGGGGAAATGTGTGTGCGTCTTATGGAGCGAATGCAGGCTGCGCAGCTATCCCAGAAGCCAGAACAGCAAGAGGGATTGCTGCTTTCACTGCGCAGTGATTCCTCTTGCTGTTCTGGCTTCTGAGATTCAGAATAGTTTTTTTCTTGTTTTCCTCCTCCAAAAACTAGGTGCGTCTTATGGTCTGGCGCATCTTCTAGAGCGAAAAATACGGTATATTGGTAATTCCTTGAGAATATTTTGTATTATTTTGAGTAAGCCACCTACTGTACAGTGGTACCTCGGGTTACAGACGCTTCAGGTTACACACTCCACTAACCCAGAAATAATGCTTCAGGTTAAGAACTTTGCTTCAGGATAAGAACAGAAATCAGGCTCCGGCGGCACGGCAGCAGCAGGAGGCCCCATTAGCTAAAGTGGTGCTTCAGGTTAAGAACAGTTTCAGGTTAGGAACGGACCTCCGGAATGAATTAAGTTCTTATATAAATCTTGTTGCATACATAAATTACAAAAACAAAGAGCAAGAATTGTTCTTTGCATCTCCACCTGAGATAGAACGAGGATCTTTCCTACTGAATATATATTATCTTAAACAAACCTAGTGTTTTTATTTTCCAGACTCAGAGTCTCTCTGTGTGATTACTTCCAGGGGTAAAGTGTGCTCCTCCAGCAGTGAATCAGTGGCTGAAATGCCTCTCTCCCTCCCTGGACCCTGAGGTCTCTCCCCAGGTCATCCTGCTCACTGCTTTGCAGTCTCCTGGGCTATAATGTGTCCCGGAACACTCAAAAAAATGCTTCTTGCTTTCCTGGAAGGAGGTCAGAGAGTGGCATAGAAACTTGCCTCCTGCACCAAAGGCAACTTTTTCCTTCCTTGCTCTGCAACTTCGGACTCCACTTTAAATAATACTGATGGAAAAGACTGTCTCTTCCTTTTGAGCGCTGCCTTTCATGGTGTCTGGTTTGCGTCCATCCACTCTCTGGCACCCAGCTTCTGATCTGTCGGGTCTCTAATGTCAGCAAGGCCTGTCTGGCAGATGACAGCATCTCTGCTGCTGGAGAATGTGCAGGTAATAAAATAAAATAAAATAAAATAAAATATTTTTATTGTTGCCCCAGCCACATTGGGTGGAGCCAGTGTGGTGTAGTGGTTAAGAGCAGTAGTCTCATAATCTGGGGAAGCGGGTTCGCGTCTCCGCTCCTCCACATGCAGCTGCCGGGTGACCTTGGGCCAGTCACACTTCCTTGAAGTCTCTCAGCCCCACTCACCTCACAGAGTGTTTGTTGTGGGGGAGGAAGGGAAAGGAGAATGTTAGCTGCTTTGAGACTCCTTAAAGGGAGTGAAAGGCGGGATATCAAATCCAAACTCTTCTTCTTCTTCTTCCTCCAGCATATACAAAAACATAATAAAACTTCCCTATACAGGGCTGCCTTCAGATGGCTTCAAAGGTTGTACAGTCACTTATCTTTTTAACTTTGTTGTCAGTGTTGCGGGACACAGAATCAAGACAAAGAGATTTGTTGTAGGGGCAAGTTCCTGAGTCGGACTCTCTGTTTGTTGGTCTAGTAAGCAACTGCTTCAGGGTGGCCTTTTTCAACCTGGGCAAGCCTTTCTGCCCATGGTATGTGAGAAGACAAAGTCATATTTCCAAGATTAACAGCAGAAATCGCTTTGATGGGACGCCGGGCAGGTCTGAGCTGGCATTGCCAGGACCAGCAATGTTCCTTTCCCTGCAGATTCTGTGTGGTGAGGCAGTGACTCGGGGATGAAAACTTCAAGCCAGTTCTCTGAAGGCCTTAGCTTGGCGTATGCTTGCTGCTCATGTCTCTGACCATCACCCAAGAGAGTCCAAGCCCGCTTGTCCTGGTCAGTGGCTCCATTCTTTGGGTTTCTTCAGTAGAAAATGGATCACCTCATTCAAGAAATAGATATATATACATATCATTTGTGACAATTATAAAATATACTTTTATATCTTATACAATTTTTTTACTTCCGCCAATCACATCTGAAAAATTTCCAGTCTTTTCCACTTAATTTACATTTCTTACTTTCACTATTACTTTTAAATATCATAACTAATGTCTCTCTTCTTTATCCTCTTTGCAATATTCCATATATTCCTCCTTACCAAACTTCTCGTAGTCCTACTAGCGTAATTTGTTGATTACAGTTGCTCTTCAAATAGTTCACATATTTATTCCAATCTTGTGTGAATCTCTGGTCCAGCAGGTTTCGAATCCTTCCTGTCATCTTATCCAATTCGTTCAAGAATCTTTTATCTTCTGGTGGGGCCACTTCCATGTTTGAAGAAACATCTGAACGTCTTTACTGGATCAACCCCAAGGTCCATCATATTTGGATCGCTTGCCTCCACATTGGCCTCCCCATGTTTTTCTAACATACATATGAAGGAAATGAATGGCAAGGGTGTGAGCCTGATACTTGCCATAAAAATCTTGTGGCAGGGAGTTCCACGGATTAATTACTCTTTGCAGAAATAGCTACTTCCTTTTCTTGGTCCTGGATCTGACAACCAGATTCCTTACGTGACTCCATGTTCCAGTTTAATGAGAGGGGAAAACATAACCCGCTCATGGCACCAAGAGAACTTGTTGCTGGGCTACAACTCCCTTCTGCACTGAACATTAGCCATGCTGCCTCAGCTCTCAACCAAAAAGCTCCAAACCTTTTTGCCTTTTGTCCTAAGAAAGGGGCCTTTCAACCCCTGGAACAGTCACAAAATGAGCCCCACCTGAAATATTGTCGCTCTGCAACTGGAGCCAGCGTTTTCGTTGGACCACCTGGCTAAGCAATATGTTTCCCACAGCAGCAGAGACCTGATTTAAGTCATTTCCTTCCCAAACTTGAACATTCCAAGCTCTGAAAGCTGCCGCAGCACAAGAATTCAACACCTGCACCTTCCGAATAGTGATTCACACGCCATTTTGCTCCTTGGCGCTCCAGTAAATCAATGAACAAACGAAGCAAACAAGACGCACCTCTTAATTTAGTCCCTGCTGACTCTGTCTAAATTTGCAAATTGAGAGGAGTCGGGACTTGAGCTCATCTCGGGGCTTTGGTGTAGGGGAGGAAGCGGCAGTCTGCACATGTTCAGAGGCTCTGGATTGTTAACCTCGGATTACACTTCCACCGAAACAGATTCCCACGAGAGGTGGTGGACTCTTCTTTCTTGGAGGCTACTAAGCAAAGGTTGGGTGGTCATCTGTCAGGTATGATCTAGCTGAGATTCCTGCATTGCAGAGGGTTGGACTAGATGACCCTTGGTATCCCTTCCAACTATAAAAGTTTATGATTCTCTGGTTCGGTCAGACTGCGACCACAGCCAAGGAATGGTTAGCTCAGGATTTAAAATACCCCATGCAGCTTAGAACATCCGGTCCCCAGAGCTTTGAGAAAACTGGGAGGTCCCATGCACACAATCCATTGAAGGTGCTCTTTTAATAGTCATTGCTTCCCCCAAGGAATCCTGGGAAGTGTAGTATCACAAAGGTGCTGGGAATGGTAGCTCTGTGCTATCTTAACAATCCTCAGCACCTTCAACAAACTACAGTTCCCAGGATTATTTGGGGGAAGCCACAACTGCATAATGTAAGACTAACAAATGGTCTGGGCGTAATGGGAGTTGTAACATCTGGGAACCCGAGGTGGAGAAAGGCAGGATTTAAGCATTGTACCACGGAAACCCCCATTAAAATCCCTATCAGGCCAGGTAATAAAAGCATTCTGGGAAATGATATGTAATGAGATGAAAAAAATGTTTAAATTAACTTTTATATATATAAAAAAACCAGAGGCTTTTTTATTAGCAATTGTAGGTGCTAAGGGAGCAGAAAAGACTTTATATGCATGCAGCGACAGCAGCACAGATGCTATTAGCCCAGAGATTGAAAGAAAATAAAGCCCCTACCAGATAAGACCGGCAAATTAAATTGTAGGACTATGCCAAAATGGCAAAACTGACCGGAAAGCTCAGGAACCAAGAAGACCAAATTTAGAAGGTTTTAACAATGTATTTGGATGGCATGCATATCTGTGGTACGATAAGGTCAAAGCACATAAAGCATTTAAAAACCACATTGTCAGGAAAGCATTGTTTAATGTTTGGATAAGATATAAGGATTAAATGGAAAATAAAACCCCAAGGTGGCTGTCACCGATGGAAGTGAAAGCTCTGAAAAAGCTCAATATGGAGGTCAAATGGCCGAAATATTGGGAAATTTTGGAACAAGATGGAGATAGATTGAAACTGCAGAGTTTTGAAAAACTAAAAACAAAGTGCGAGACTGGCTTCATTATTATCAGATAATGGAGGCATACAATTTGGACAAGAAAATCGGCTTCCAGGTGGAAAAATCAAAATTAGAAACAGAATTGTTAGAACCCAAAACTAAAATTTTGTCAAAGATGTATAACTTGCTGTTGAAATGGAATACTCAGGATGAAACGGTGAAATCTGCTATGATTAAATGGGCACAAGATGTTGGACATAATATTATGTTTGCTGACTGGGAACAGTTGTGGACCACAGGTATGAAATTTACGGCATGTAATGCCTTAAGAGAAAATATTATGAAAATGATATACAGGTGGTACATAACCCCAGTCAAGCTTGCAAAAATCTATCATGTGCCTGATAATAAATGTTGGAAATGTAAAGAAACTGAAGGTACATTTTTTCACCTTTGGTGGACGTGCCCAAAGATTAAGGCTTTCTGGGAGATGATATATAATGAACTAAAAAGTTATTAAAATATACATACTTGAAGAAACCAGAGGCCTTTCTCCTGGGCATAGTCAGCCAATCGGTGTTAAAAAAAGGACAGAACTTTCTTTATGTATGCTACAACAGCAGCAAGAATACTCATTGCAAAGCATTGGAAGACACAAGATTTACCCACACTGGAGGAATGGCAGATGAAATTAATGGACTATATGGAATTGGCAGAAATGACTGGCAGAATCCGGGACCAGGGAGAAGAGTCGGTGGAAGAAGATTGGAAGAAATTTAAAGACTATTTACAGAAATATTGCAAAATTAATGAATGTTAGAATGATGTTGGATTGAAGTTAAGTGCTTTCTAGCTGTATAGGTACAAAAGAATATGGAAAAATTGGTTTTTAATATGTAAAAATATAATGTTACAATATATCAAGATTAAGGATTAGGATTAAAAAGGAGGGAAAGGAATTGTTGGATTAACAAATTGAATTGGAATACAAAAGAGGGAGGTATGAGGAGGTCCGGAAACAAGTAAACGTAAAAGAAGTGAAGAAAAGATGGAATTGTTTTTAACTGTTTTTTCTTTTTTCTACTTTGTATTTTTCCTTTTTATTGTTAATTTTTTTTTATTAATGTGATTTTTTTTCCTTTGAAACTTTAATAAATATTATTTTTTTTTAAAAAAAAAGAAAAAAAAAGACCAAAACTTTAACAAAAAATGGGGGAAATTTATCATTTATCTTGGAGACCACTGTAAACTGATGAAAACATTAGCAGGACTGCAATAACTCTTGTAAGGTAGCAAGTACTATGGAAATAATGGAGTTATATTCAATATAGAATATTGGGGGGGAAAGCAGTAGAAAAGGTTTAATAATAGGACCCATGAAGGGGAAGGTGGGAAGTCCAGAGATTCAGAGGAATCTGTAAATGTGGATATGTATGGTTGTACTGTTATAACTTTATATTTGCAAAATCAAATAAAAATTATTTCCAAAAATAAAAATAAAAATCCCTAACAGGGATTTTTGTCTGTCTCTCCAATCCTAATCTACCTCGCAGGGGTGTTGTGTGGATCATGCATAGCTCAGTTGGATAGAGCATGGTACTGATAACACCAAGGTTGCAGGTATGGGACAGCTGGAGCATAAAGAAGGCTGACCGCCGAAGAATTGATGCTTTTGAATTATGGTGTGGAGGAGACTCTTGAGAGTCCCATGGACTGCAAGAAGATAAGAAGAAGAAGAGTTTGGACTTGATATCCCGCCTTTCACTCCCCTTCAGGAGTCTCAAAGCGGATAACATTCTCCTTTCCCTTCCTCCCCCACAACAAACACTCTGTGAGGTGAGTGGGGCTGAGTGTGACTGGCCCAAGGTCACCCAGTAGCTGCATGTGGAGGAGCGGAGACGTGAACCCGGTTCCCCAGATTAAGAGACTACCGCTCTTAACCACTACACCACACTGGCTCTCCTATCCTCTCCTAAAACCTATCCATTCTTAAGGAAATCAGCCCTGAGTGCTCACTGGAAGGACAGGTCATGAAGCTGAGGCTCCAAGACTTTGGCCACCTCATGAGAAGAGAAGACTCCCTGGAAAAGACCCTGATGTTGGGAAAGATGGAGGGCACAAGAAGAAGGGGACGACAGAGGACGAGATGGTTGGACAGTGTTCACGAAGCTACCAGCATGAGTTTGACCAAACTGCGGGAGGCACTGGAAGACAGGAGTGCCTGGAGTGCTCTGGTCCAGGGGGTCACGAAGAGTCGGACACAACTAAATGACTAAATAACAACATATGGGACAGCTACATATTCCTGCATTGCCTGGGTTGGACTAGATGATCCTCCGGGTCCCTTTCCAACTCTAAAAAAAAAAGAATTCCATGATTCTAAGCCATAACATGGGGCGGCGAGACTTTCTGCCCGGCGCCTCGGAAGCCAGAAAGGCAACGATTTAAAACGCAAGCTTCCAGTGACAGGCGCTTTGACTCATCCGTCAGGCTTGCTAACAACCCAAGAACATCCGGCTGCGCCGCCACCTCTCCGCTTCCGAAGTACCTCCAGCCACTTCGAAGTCATTTTTTAAACTTTGGGGTGGCCAGATCGTTCAAATTTCCCTCTCGGCTCCCGAAATCCCTGCAGCTCCAAGCCGGGCCAATCGAAGGGCTGCTTCGATGGGGGGAAAGCGGCCGGCCAAAGGAATCCCGTGCGCAATCTGGCAAGTTGGAGACGAGCGAAAAGAAAAGACAACCGCGCGCGCTCTTTACGCACCATGGCATTGGAGCAATTGAGCAGGCAGACTACGCCCAGCAGCAGCCATCGCCGCTTGTAGACCTTGTACGACTCGGCGACGATCTTCTCAGAAGAAGTCCCGGGCAGGAGGCTCCCTCGCCGGTTGTTGTTGTTGTTGTTGCTGTTGTGGCTGCTGGCGCTCTCCGCATCCATGTTGCGCGCTGCCTGCGCTGGCCGGTTTGTTGGCGCCGCGCTCGGGGCGCGCTGCTTTTCCGGGCGAGAATGGCTACGACGCCCCCGCTGCCCTCCTGCCCGGAGGAGCCTGGGGTGCGCCCTGGATCTGCCGGGCCCGGGGAGGCAGTTGCCACATCGCCGGCGAGCGGGGCTTGAAAAGCCGGTTCCTCGCGCGCCACGCCCCTAGCCTCGCCGCGGCTGCCCCAGACACTAGTCTGGCACGGAGCGGAGCTGGTTTTCCCTTCCCCTTCTCTCTGCCAGCCGAAAGAAGCCGCCCACTTGCCGGCTTGTTCCGAGGCACTCCCGGAGCGCCCTGCAAGGTCCTAGCGCCTGTTCCTCGGATTCTTTTGCGTTTTTGCATTAATTTATCGTTTTTATTTGATTTTGCAAATGTAAATTTAGAACCAAATACAGTTCCATATAAAGAGGTTTCTCTGAATCTCGAGACCTCCCCCCCCATCCCCTCCATGGTTACCAAACTTTTTCAACTGCATTTTATATCATAATCTATGTTTTATATCTATCCATAGGATCCACAGTATTTGTTACATTACAAGTGAGATTAAAATCCTGCTAATGTTATCTTTTCTTTTTTCCCAAAAAATTATTGGTTTTCCAAATTTACAACAAACACACATAAAAGAAAAACATTACAATATTAAAAGGTAAAAACAAACATATAAACACCTATCTGTTAAGAACCCAATTTAGTTTTCGTTGTTAAAGGACTTTCTTGAATCCCCGCTGAGTTTCCATAGATCTCATTGTAGCAGTTTTCCAATATCCACTTTCTAATAAAATTAACTTCATCAAGTTACTATCTTTCTATATCCTCATAATATTTTCAGTCCATAATGTTATACAATTCAGCATATTTTACTCCTAGGCCAATTTGGAACTTACAAATAGTTCTACTTATAGTATATTGGAATATCTAGCTAAATCGTCCTTAAAAAATCCTGCTAATGTTTTCATCTGCTTACAGTGGTCTCCTAAATAAGTATTCCACCTCCCAAGTCTTTTATGAATTCCATGTTTTCTGTTAAATTGTTTTTATTTAAAAAAAAATTGGGTTGCAAAAGTCTTTGTTTTCAGATCATAAAGTCCTTTCTACAGATTAGTTACATATATTCGATGTGAGACGTGAATGATTTGGCTTTTTAAAAGTAGCTCCCTGCTCACAGATCTGCAGCCTCTCTGCTGCCTGCCCCAGGTCAGCCTTTTTCATAGACTTGTAGGGTTGGATGGGAACCCCAAGGGTCATCTAGTCTAACCCCCTGAAATGCAGGAATCTTTTGTCCATTGTGAGGTTTGAACCCGCAACCCTGAGATCAAGAGTCCCACACTCTAGTGTCTGATCAATTTCTTATTTCATTTATTTTGTGAAATTTGATCACAGCAAAAATGGATAATGCTGCCAACTGAGGTGTAGCTTGAACCCGTTTTCTGAGAATATTGTTCCAATAAAAAATTTGGACCCTTGGGGACAGATGAAAATGCACCCCTCTACTTCCACATCCTCTCCAATAACAGGAAGATTGATTGGAGGTGATGCAGGACAGCTGAACTGCAATTCATTTGAATTGCCACATGCAATTCATTTTCAGTGCAAGCCCTCTCATTCTGGCTGATACTGTTTTAAATATCTTTCCCCTCCAAAACCTTTCCCATTTATTCGGGGTGTGGGCCTCATCAAATCTAAATCCAGCCCTGCTCCAGCTCCCTGATTAAATGTCAGCTCCTGAAAGCCTGTTACAGCAAGAACACCTTTACCTGTTGGTGGAAGGATAACAAGGAGAGAACCAGTCTAACTACTCTACCGAGGGAGTTCCAGAATCTGGGAACTTGTGGGTATGCCCCCAGTGGGGACCTGCTACTTTAGATGGGCTTCCAGTACGTTTCTGAGCACCATTCAAAGTGTTGGTGCTGACCTTTAAAGCCCTAAATGGCCTCAGTCCAGTATACCTGAAGGAGCATCTCCACCCCCATCGTTCCCTCACTGCGAGAAGCCAAGTTACAGGGAACCTGGCAGAGGGCCTTCTTGGTAGTGGCACCCGCTCTGTGGTACGCCCTCCCACCAGATGCCAAAGAGAAAAACAACTACCAGACTTTTAGAAGACATCTGAAGGCAGCCCTGTTTAGGGAAGCTTTTAATGTTTAACTGACCACTGTATTTTAATACTTTGTTGGAAGCTGCCCAGGGTGGCTGGGGAAACCCAGCCAGATGGGCGGTGTTAAGTTGTGGGCGAACATATTAGACGACACAGCGATTCTTCCAAAGCAGCTCTTTATTTGTAAGCTGGAACAGAACTGAACTGAGGAGCTCAGTCAGCCTGCTTATATAGAGCTCCACTAGAATGCAACAGTAACCATTTTCTGTAACTAGCCAATCACTGAACGTCACTTTCAATCCTTCATTTGCATACAAACTATCCAATCACTGAACGTCACTTTCGATCCTTCATTTGCATAACTATCTACAGTATCCCCCTGCTGGCCCAGGGTGAGAACTTCAGTACATAACAGGCGGGGTATAAATAATATTTTTTTTTTAAAAAAATGGTCATGTATATCACTTTACTTACTTGAAAATGTAAGTCAGGAGCTCTGCAGGTGTTGTTGTTTTTTTTGGAGGGGGGGCTTCCTGTCCATGAGCATAGCCAGGATTTTTGTTAGGGGGGGCAGGCTTTTGTTGGGGGGAGAACCTAAGATTTGTATTGATTGGGGGGCAGCTGCCCCCCTCCTCCCTTGGCGACGCCCATGTTCCTGCCAACCCTTGCCAAGGGGGCCTCTTGGCTTCTGCCTCAAAGTAGGTTCATTAACTCTGAACCCCAAATTTGGCACCCCCTCCAAACCTGTGCCAAAGTTTTGCAGTCGTTTTTGCAGTATTTGGGGTGGGGGGAGCCCCCAAATGCCAGCTTTTTGCTGCAAAATAACTGCAAAACCTTTGGCACAGGGGGGATCCCAATTTTCGGAGTTCATAGTGAATGAAGTTCTTCAAAGTCCA